TTCTCTCTGCCGACTTGAGTTACATTCGCCATTCTGTTTTTGGTCTGATTGAATCAGTGAGGCTAGAAAGGAAGCACATTATCAAGGATGTATTAGAGTTGGCGGACACGTATGGGTTGAATCGTAATGAGGTACACATGAAGTTCCTTCCTCTATCTGTCCTCCAATTCAGCAATCCATTTGTTAGCCTCCAGTTTCTGAAAATGCTGTACACTTATGTTCTTTCTTTAGGTGCTTCGGTATTATCTCAGTTGCATTCTTGCTTCTGAGGCTTGGACAAATGATGATATTGTGATTGAAATTTCAGAATTTAAAGGTGAAATTATTATTTCTACTGATGAAACCATCAAAACTGTTTCATCAGTTGTTTACCCTGCAATTGATGGTCATAACAAGAATCGTGTGTCCTTCATATATGCCCTCCTATCTGACTGCTACTTTCATCTGGGGAAAGCCGAAGCACCATCACCATTCCCATCACCTTTATCCAACTTCCAGTTGGCTGAGTGTTACAAGGTCATTGGGCAAGAGTGTCAAAGAGTTTCTTTTATCCAGAAGCTAGACTTCAAAAATATTGCTGGATTAGGAGGTTTGAATTTGCAGTATTTCCGGGATGAAGTGTTCGCTAACATCAATGATGAACGTAGCTTAGAAGCCTTGGCAGAAATGGTGAAGAATCTGGTCGCTATCCATTCTGCTCCAGTACCACAAGGCATGATTGTGTGGCAGGATGTATACAAACAATATATTCAGAAATTGTTTACAGAGTTGGAAAGTAGAGCCAAGACAGAATTTAATGTCGGAAGCTCTGAAAAGTTTCAGGAGTTCATTGGTCAAGTAGAGGGAACGTTTGGTTATTGTGGACAATTTATTAGCCATTTGGTGACAACAGATGCTATGGATGTCCTGAAGCGGTGCTTCTCTATGATTCTAATTCTACCTGGTGCTTTTGGGTGTATACCTGATAACTCAATGTGGCAGGAGTGCCTGATCGACCTCTTAAACTTCTGGTTCAGGTTGTCCGAAGCAATGATCGAAATAATATCACGCGGGAGTTCAATGGAAAAATTGAGTTCTCTTGATCCTGTGTGCCTAAGAAATTGTGTGGAGTTATTTGTGAGATTTGTGTCGGATGATAATGTATCGCCAAGTCAGGCCTGGGGGACCATCATAGGCTATGTAAATCATGGTTTAATTGGTGATTGCATTGTTGAGGCCAAGGCCTTCTGCAGAGCGATGGTATTTTCTGGTTGCAGTTTTGGACCTGTGTCGGATATGTTCTCAGAGATGACATCACATAGTGCAGCTGTCAGTTCAACTGCAGAAACTAATATTTCTCAGCTCTATACAAGCATGCTGGACTCAGTATTAAGGGACTTGATCAATGAAGGAACACGTGGAAGCAAGGATCTGTATAACCTTCTATCTTCGCTGAGTAAGATAGAAGGTAACAAAGTTGAGGATCTGCAGCAGCACGTTAGGCGCGTGGTTTGGGAAAGATTGGCCCAATTCTGTGATGATTTGCAGCTACCGAACAACATCCGAGTCTATGTCTTGGAGATTATGCAGTTCATTGCAGACAGAAGTCATATTAAGGGGTTCTCTGCTGAGCTGCAGTCCAATATCTTGCCATGGGAAGGTTGGCAAGAGTTTCTCTCTACAAAGAATGACTCTGCAGGAAGCGTCGGATTGAAGCTTGACTGCGCGGACAATTCCAACAGGTTTACAAGCACCCTGGTCGCCTTGAAATCATCCCAGCTCGTTACAGCCATCTCTATCAACACAGAAATCTCCCCTGAAGATCTTTCCAACACCGACACAGCCTTCTCTTGCTTCTCAAAACTGTGTGAGCTCTCCTCTACGGATCATCATTTGGATGTGTTGTGTGCTGTTCTGGAAGAGTGGGAGGGGCTTTTTGCAACTACTGTAAGTGAACCAGGTGATTCATCTGTAGAGGCTGCTGAAGTAGCAGGAAACGACTGGAGCAATGACGATTGGAACGAAGGATGGGAAAGCTTCCAGGAAACAGATGAAACTAATATCCCAAAAGAGAAGGTAAAGGTCGTTGGTGGTGGTCATCAACATCTGCATCCTTTGCATGCGTGTTGGATGCAGCTCTTCAGAAAGATGATCGAGCTATCTCAGGTCGACAAAGTCCTTGCACTGGTTGACCAATCACTGTCGAAACCCAAAGGAAAATTGATCGATGAAAATGATGCCAGGACTTTGAGTGAGAGCATAGTCGACTCCTTTGTGGCTCTGAAACTCGTGCTGCTTCTGCCGTATGAAGCTCTGTGGTTTCAGCGTTTGGATGTGGTCGATGAGAAGCTTAAAAAACAAGGGTGGAACCAGGACACAAGTGCCGCGGACCATGAGCTCTTGACGCTCATACTATCCTCCGGCATCGTAGTATCTGCCATTTTCACCCAGAACTCATACGGCACTACTTTCTCTTACCTCTGCTATTTGGTCGGGAACTTCTCCCGTCAATGTCAGGAATCCCAGTTGTCGAAGCTGGCAGAGAAGGACACGTCCTCGTTCCTCTTTGCAAGGCTTTTGTTCCCCAGCTTTCTATCGGAGCTCGTGAAGGCCGATCAGCACGTCTTGGCAGGATTCCTCGTCACCAAGTTCATGCACACCAACACGTCCATCAGCGTAATCGACTTGGCCGAAGCCAGTCTGCGACGATATTTGGAAGGGCAGCATCGTGCTCTCGTGGAAAAGGAATTAGGCCCTGACGAATTGAGTTCGTGTGGGATATTGAAGAACACAGTGGTCGGATTGAGAGACAAGTTGGTCGATTCGATCCCGTCTGTGCTTCTACCGGTCTGAGATGAAAGTTGAGACAGTTTTGCATGGTAGATGAGTAACTGTGGTAATTAGTTATACAAATGTGCATACGTTTACTTCGTAGCAAGTGATAGAAATAGTGGCTGGTTTTGCCATTTTCCTTTGGTTTGGAAAGCTACAAATCACAAATTCGGCATGAGACTATTCTTTCCTGTTGATTAATTCTATTAAGCACTTATTTGTGAGGATTTTTTTCAGGTCTATTTTTGGTAGATTCCAAAGGGCTACTACCATCACATATTTTGGCGGTTTTTTTTATGTAATTTTTCTTGGATTTTAAAGTTTACAGATCACGAATTCAGCGTGAGGCTAATTTACACTGATGATGAAGTCTATTTATCGCCGATTTGGGCAAAAAAACAAATTTGGAAGGCTTTGGTAATTTTGGGTGATTTTTTTGAAATATCATTTTTCTTTAATTTTGAAGGCTACAGATTACGTATTCAGTCTAATGCTATTCTTCATTGTTAGTTAAGTCTATTAAGTACCGATTTGGCCAGATTTTTTTCGAGTCCATTTTTGGCTGATTCCAAAGGGTTACCATCATAGATTTCGGGCGATTTTTCGAAAGTCAATTTTCCTTGGATTTTGAAGTATGCAAATCATGGATTCGACGTGAGGTTATTCTTCATTGTTGATTAAGTCTATTAAGCACCAATTTGGACGGATTTTTCGGGTACAATTTTGGCATATTCCAAAGGGGTACCAACACATATTTTAGGTAATTTTTGGGAATGTTATTTTTCACCGATTTTAAAGGCTATCCATCACGGATTTTGGTCGATTGTTTGAGATTCTATTTTTCTTCGGTTTTGAAGGCTATCCATCACAGATTTTGGTTGATTCTTTTAAATGGTATTATTCATCGGTATTGAAGGCTATATCCATCACAAATTTTGTCCAATTTTTGGGAATGTTATATTTCACCAATTTTGAACGCTATCCATCACAAATTTTGGCTGATTTTTGGGAATTCTATTTTTCACCAATTTGAACCCTATCAATCACAGATTTGCCGATTTTTTAGAATGCTATTTTTCACCGGTTTTGAAGGCTATACATCCAGATTTTGGTCGATTCTTTTGAATACTATTATTCACCGATTTTGAAGACTATTCATTACAGATTTTGGCCGATTTTTGAGAATGCTATTATTCATTGATTTTGAAAGCTATTCATCATAGATTTTGACTTATTTTTGAAAATGTTATTTTTCACCGGTTTTAAAAGTTGTCCGTATTATATTTTAGCCGATTCTTTTGAACCCAATTATTCACCGACTTCGAAGGCTATTGACTATAGGTTTTGGCCAATTTTTGGGAATACTATTATTATCGATTTTGAAATCTATCCATTACAAATTTTGACCGATTTTTGTGAATGCTATTTTTCACCGATTTCGAAGACTATCCATCACAAATTTTGGCAAAATGTTTTGAATGTTATTATTCACCAAAATATTGCAGGCTATCCATTACAGATTTTTGGCCAATTTCTAGGAATGCTATTTTTCATCGATTTTGAAGGCTATCAATCACAAATTTCAGTTGATTTTATTGAGTACTATTATTCATCATTCATATTTTGGTCAAGTTTTTTGAATGTTATTATTCACCGATTTTGAAGGCTATCCATCATAGATTTTGACTAATTTTTTTAAATGCTATTATTCATATATTTTGAAGGCTATTTATCATAGATTTTGGCCAAATTTTTGAAATGCTATTTTTCATCGATTTTGAATGCTATTCATCACAGATTATGGCAAATTTTTTGAATGTCATCATTATTGAAGGCTATCTATCACAGATTTTGGCCGATTTCTGTGAGTGCTATTTTTCATTTATTTTAAAGGCTATCCTTCACAGACTTTAGCCAATTTTGAAGAATTCTATTTTTCATTGATTTTAAAAGCTATTTATCACAGATTTTGGTGCATTTCTCAAATGTCTATATTTTATAGGTATTGGAAATATCACTGTAACTATATGTGTATCCTAATCCGAACATTAGCAGGTCTTTCCGATATGAACCACAAGTTCAGAAATGGAAGGGGGAAAAAAACCCCATAATCACATTTCTTCCTTTTACCTTCTTCCCAGAAATCCTGGCTTGGTTGTAGAGAGGGTCACCAAACCCACTTCACAGCAATGGCTACTGCACTTCCTTCAATCAGTTCTTCTACCCCTTCACATTCTTCTTCTTCCATGGATACTTCTACTGCTTATCCTTATGGAAAACTCAAGAGGGGAAGATTGTCCAACTCTCACAGAACGGTCCCGGTAAGGCTTAAGATACAATGTGCAGCAGCAGCAGCAACTATGCCTGCTGCAACATCTCCAGAAGGTAAAGTGAAGCCATCACAAAGTCTTCATGAAGATGATGATGATGATGGTAAAAAACAGTCGATTTACTTCGATTTCTCACGTTTGAGTTCTTGCTCTTCCGCTGTCACGGGGAAACTTGTTCACGCCCACGCCATCAAATCTGGGTTCGGAGGTCACGAGTTCGTGAACACCAAGCTGCTCCAAATGTATGGGAGGTGCAGTTGTTTGCAGGATGCGAAACAACTGTTTGACGAAATGCCGCTGAGGAGCTTGCGCGCTTGGACGGCTATCATTGGCGTGCATTCGGATCATGGGCTGTTTCAGGAATCCATTTGGTACTTTTTGGAATTGCTGCTTGAAGATGTTGCGCTGGATTTTTTTGTGTTCTCGTCGGTTCTGAAGGTTTGCAGCGGGCTTCAAATGCTGGAATTTGGTTGGCAGCTGCATGGAATGGCGATTAAGTTTGGGTTTGATATGAATGTCTCTGTGGGGAATGCTTTGATAGACATGTATGGTAAGTGCGGTAGTTTGGAGGATGCTGTTAAAGTTCTGGAATTGATGCCAAACCCAGATAATATTTCGTGGAACTCTGTCATCACTGCTTCTGCTGCTAATGGAATGGTTCATAAAGCACTGGAATTTTTAGAAAAGATGGGGACTACCGACGATTTGAAGCCTGATATGGTTTCTTGGAGCGCAGTGATTGGTGGGTTTGCACAGAATGGTTATGACGAGGAAGCCATAGATTTGCTATCTCAAATGTTAGCAGAGGGTCTTCAACCAAATTCAAGAACAATGGCAAGTGTTCTTCCAGCTTGTGCTAGATTGGAAAGGCATGAACTTGGCAAAGAACTTCATGGCTATATCATGAGGCATGGTTTCATGACCAACAATTATGTTGTCAATGGATTGGTTAATGTATACCGGAGATGCAGTGACGTGAGAAGCGCACAAACAATCTTCTCCAAGTTCGGAGTGAAAAGTAGAGTTTCCTATAACACGATGATTGCCGGATACTGCGAGACTGGCGATATATCCATGGCAAGACAACTCTTTGATCAAATGGAGCTTATGGGGATCCAAAGAAGTTTAATTTCATGGAACTCCATGATTGCAGGATATGTAGATAACTCCCTATATTCCGAAGCCTTGAGCCTGTTCAAAGATCTGGTGACCATGGAACGAATCGAACCAGATTCTTTTACCTTGGGCAGTGCTTTAACTGGTTGTGCTGCGATGGCTTCTTTGAGAAAGGGTAAGGAGATACACTCCATTGCTACTGCCAGAGGCTTGCAAAGCAATGCATTTGTGGGAGCAGCCCTTGTGGAACTGTACTCCAAGTGTGAAGATATAGCCGCTGCTCAGTTGGCCTTTGATGAGGTGATGCAGAAGGATATCACGACGTGGAATTCCTTGATCTTTGGATATACTCGGTTAAACGACACTGGAAAGGTCCAAGCTTTGCTTCAGCAGATGAAAGAAGATGGTCATGAACCAAATTCATACACTTGGAATGGCATTCTGGAATGCCACTTACAAAATGGCAACCTGGATTCAGCAATGCAGTTGTTTTTGTCTGAAAATCAGAACGCAACCCCAGATGCTTATACAATGGGAATAATTCTCGGCCATTGCTCGAAATCAGCCACATTAGAGCGAGGGAAACAATGTCATTCCCACTCCATTAGAAGAGGCTACGACTCTGATCTTCACATAGGAGCAGCTCTCGTGGACATGTATGCAAAATGTGGTAGTATCAAGCATGCAGAGATGGCTTACAATCGGATATCAAACCCCAATTTGGTATCCCACAACGCAATGCTGACTGCATACGCCATGCACGGATATGGAGAACAAGGAATCGATCTGTTCCAGAGTATTCTAGCAACTGGATGCACACCTGACGACGTCACCTTTCTCTCTGCTCTGTGTTCTTGTGTTCATGCTGGGAACGTGGAGATGGGTCGCTTGCTGTTCGACTTGATGGACGATTACGACATGAAGCCCACATTAAAACACTTCACAGCAATGGTTGATCTCTTGAGCCGTTCAGGGAAGCTGGCAGAAGCCTATGAGATGATACAGGGGATGCCTATGATGCCTGATTCGGTACTGTGGGGCGCTTTGCTTGGAGGGTGTGTGGTCCATGGCGACGTGGAGATGGGAGAAATCGCTGCAGGGAAGCTGTTCGAAGTAGAACCAGATGAGAGTGGGAACTACGTGATGTTGGCCAATCTGTATGCTTATGGGAAAAGATGGTCGGATTTGGATAGTACGAGGAATTCGATGAAGGAAAGAGGGTTGCAGAAGGTTCCGGGGTGTAGTTGGATCGAGGAGAGGGACGAAATCCACCGGTTTCTTGCTTCTGATGTTTCTCATGAGAGGAAAGATGAGATCTACGTTGCTTTGGATACACTGGCACTGCACATGAAAACAGGGCTGTTAGTATCTTGATGAGTAGGTTATATGCCACGGGTTGCACAGTTTGATAAAATATGTTTGTAAAAGGACCAGAAAGAGACTACTGATATTCGGCTCCCTGATCAACTCAAAATGATGAACCCAATACCCCTTTTAATTTAGATGCAGAATTTAATCAATGTGTTGAGTAGTTTATCACGAAAACGAACATGATATTGAACTAAACATACAAAGACGATACGTGTTTCAGATGATTAAGATACTAACAAACAATTAAGTTGAATTTTGATCTAGTTTTTATTGGCAAAGAAAAAAAAATTATATCACATATTGTCACCAGGTGGCTTAGAGAAAAACAATGATTTTGATGCTGCTGTTTGATAAAGGCAGAAAAGGATACCCTAATCCGAATATCAACAGGTCTTCTCCAATATGAACCACAAGAACAGATTTTTTAGAGAGAGAAAATATCCATACTGCCACATCTGCTATTGGCTCCCGCTTGCCTTCCTTCACATAGCCATTTCGTAAAAGGAAGGATTCGATCACAAACCCATTCTCATTTAACCATATCAGTATGGCAGCTGCTGGGCTTCCTTCCATCAGCTCCCCCTCTTCTTCTGCTTCTTCTCCTAATATTCATCCATCACAGACAGGTGCTCGAGCACATAGTCCATCCTTCTTCACTGTCAGATCATATGGGACACTGAAGAGGAGACAGCCAAACTCTCACAAGGCTGTTCCAGGTGGCATTAAGATCCTATGTGCAGCAACTAAGCCTGCAAAATCACCAGGTACTATGGCTCTATCCTGGATTCTGTTTAATAAGACTGTCCTACTGCCGCATTTGTCACTAGTGGTCGCTATGAACAATATCTTACAGTTTACCTTGTCTCTTGCTGAGTGACCCAGCTGAAGAAGAGTGGAAGGTGAAGAGAGAGTTATTGCTGCAGAAGAAGGTGAGGAGTGTGGAGGTGAAGGAAGCTCTTCGACTTCAGAAAGAAAACAACTTTGTGATCCTCGACGTGCGACCAGAAGCTGAATTCAAAGAGGTAAGTCTGTTAGAGCTTGTATCTTACAAGAGTTCAACCCATTGAACATAGGTTTCAGTTAGAAAGAGAATCCAGGGAAGGGATGAAGAGTACTTACAAAGACTGAAGCCCATCTGTTCTTCTGTTGTGTGGATTTTCAAGGGTCATGCACCAGGTGCTATCAATGTCCAAATATACAGGCTTATAAAGGAGTGGACGGCCTGGGACATTGCCAGGCGTGCTGCTTTTGCATTTTTTGGCATATTCTCCGGCACAGAAGAAAACCCTGAGTTTATTCAGAGTATGTTTCAGTAGAAACGACCATGGTTTTACATTGCCTGATGTTCCATATTGTGCATTTAGCATTGCTAGCTGATACTTATCTGCTTATATTCCTATCAGCTGTCGATTCCAAACTTGGAAAAGATGCAAAGATAATAGTGGCTTGCTCAGCAGGAGGTACAATGAAACCATCACAAAATCTTCCTCAAGGTCAACAGTCGAGGTAATTCCAACTCCTCCAGATTCCAAAGTGCAGAAATTGCACTTGTATATGATATATCTAGTGCTTGATTCACGGCAATACAATAGTAGAATCAGATTTAGGATGACTAGCTAGGTAACTTCATCTACACCCAATCGATCACCATCAGCGTGATTAAAGTTTAATAGAATGAATGGGAATCAGAATGACGGGCTGAAATATAATCATTAATCATCGAGGCATCTGGGTAAATCATGCATGTTAGCTTCTTCAGAGTAAGGGTATCAATGGTTCTGCTTATTCCTGCAGATCACTGATAGCTGCATACCTGTTAGTCCTCAACGGTTACAAGAATGTCTTCCACTTAGAAGGCGGTCTCTATACATGGTTCAAAGAGGGGTTGCCGGCTGAAGCTGAAGAAGAATGAGTAAGCATTGTAATTTTTTTCATAATGGTGCTTCATGACAAGCAGAAGTTTTGCCCCCCAGCAACGGAATGTTAATTCAGGTTAACAGATTGGAGACATTACTGGTCTGGTGTGTATCCTAAGATTGGTATCTTCTGTAAATGACAATGCAACGTCTGACTATTCTTCGTCCCTCTAGATTTCAGGTAAATAATTAAAGGAACTAGTGTTGTTACCTGACTAGGAATATAACATGTTAGCTGATAGGGTAAAGCTTGATAATCCAGCGACACTATAGACAAAGAAATTTAAGAAAGACAGACCAAGCAAAAGTTCAAGCCTGCCTGCCTGCCTAACAAACAACACAATGGCTTTATTTTGCGGATGGCAATATTCTTCACGCATTGCATTCTACTTCTGAGTCCACTCGAAAGAGAATGCATAAAAGTAGAGATGAATTCAGGCAACATGCAAAATGCTTTAGATATTAGCTAGGACTAATTTGGTGAGCAAATTTCCTCTCTGACTTTTGTGAAAAGTGAAGCACCAGATGGAAGAATTCATGTGAAATTATTCCATGGTTGGTACCGTGAGCCATGGTTCAAATCATAAAGAAGAAACATGTCATTCAACTATACCAGGTTCAAAAAAGCAACAAGGTCTTGAAGCCACATCTTTACAAATGACGAAAAGGTGAGAGATCTTGTTAGAAATAGGAGGATCTTTGAGAAACAATTCAGTGAGAACAAACCAACGAATTGTTTTGCTAGATGCAACATTTGGAGGATTGTACCTTTCTCCAACAAATCATCTGCAGATGGTTTCCAACAAAATTCCTGTTATTTAAGCCTTTAAAGAAGCTCTTGCCATCTCAAGAGCACCTTCATAACTTCGGTTTCCACCAGTAAACCCACTTGCATGGACAAACACGCAGCCAGGGATCCCTGATACTTCCAATAGCTTATCATTTTCCAAACCTCTCCAGTTAACTGGTAACGGTTTCCTGCTTCGAAAATCATCAGGTGATACAGCTACTGCCTGTATACGCCAGTTTTGAGTCCTATCATCCTGCAAACAGAAAATTGGTGCCATAAGACCACCGTATCTAAAGACGGAAATAGGAAGATTTTGCGATGGTAAACTAATGAATTTGGAACTGGTATCAGTAGAGTACTAATCAGAAAATGAGATGCAAATACTAGAGCGTCAAATACCTTGTAAAGAACATACTTGATGGTTGGAATCACCCCCAGCTCTTTCTCAAGGTCAAATATGTGGAGCTTCCACTGCAACAAAATCAAACACAGTGAACTTCCAAGAATTGATAAGAATGTCTTTGAAAATTCGGATGGTAATACAATTCATGGTCATTCAAAAAGTCGGATAGAACATTCTGTGTATGACCAGCAAGGATACTTTGGAAAGAAACTTCACACTGAAACCAACTACAATAGTTTTCAACGTATAAAAAGGTTCACTTACAGGGCAAGATCTATGCATAACCATGATTTCTCCGCTGGCATCAACTTGGTATCTTGAAGCAAGACACTCCTCCACAATTGATCTAGCTGGTAACCAAGACTTTGCATGGAAGCGGATACTCTTCAACACGTGAACATTGTTAAATCAGCTTCCCTAACTTGTTGCTGTCACTCAAATTCGCCCAAGAAAGCAAAGTTCTCCAAGCTGCTAGCTTGGCAATTGAAACAAGTTAAAGAACAAGGGAAACTCAAACCTCTAAAAATTCAGAACCAGCGAGCCCCATAGCACGTCCAAACGCTTCATTCTCTTTCTCAGAAGACTGATCAGGTTCTGTCCATTCCGGATTCAGCCTCGAAACTCGGCTTGATAAGCTTGTATTGTTGACATATCTAGGAGGCTTATCACTGTCAAACTGATTGATTCCATTGTCAACTGCATCAACTGCCTGCCACATGCCACCAAGTCTCAATCAAACTTGAAGCAACACCAGCTCGAAACAAGAAGTTTCATAGCTAAATAGGTCAGTCGACAACGGTAAAAATTGTATCTTTTGCAGTACCTCAACAAAGTTCTTGTAAATGGATAGGTACAACCGATGCACGTCCAAGTGACCTTCATCCAGCTGAAGCTCCTTCGCAATTATGTGAGCCCCGTAATGCTGAAAGGTTAACCAAGCACTTCCCTAAGTTCCACATCTAGATTACCAACTTCATTTCATGGATTAACGAAGGCAGGGTTTACAAGCTAAAACCTTGTAGACGAGGCCAGCGCTGCTGAGTTTGGTGTTAAACCCATGGCCAAACACTTGGTCGAATCCCTTCTGGTGATGATCAAACCGATCCCGGCTCGGATCGTACACACCTCCAACATCAACCACCGCATCCAGCGTCTCCAGCACCTTGACGAGAATTATCGGAACAACAAATTGAAAACGGCGCAAAAGAACTTCAACCGACGAATTACTAAGTTCCGTATTGACAAATTGAATTGAGAGAGTTTATTTATTTACCTTAGGGTCCCTGGTGCGGACGATTTCGGCGCCGGAGAACTTATCGGCGAGGCGAATCATGAAGCAAGCGAGGGCTTCGTCGCAGTGAAAGCTGCCGTTGTGGGTGCCAACTCGCTTCTTCATCGTTGTGGTCGAGAACCAGCTCGGTTGAAGAGCGAATCTCAGCGTCGTAGTTTTGGAATGCATTACCAAATGCCTGAAGCTGAAGCAACTCAACCCTCGAGCTCCAATGGCACCAAACATGGCTTCCACTCAGTTCGTTCAGGTTCTCGGGATTGTTCTTCTGCGTCTCTCCCAACTGCGGTAAGCCGGTAACCGCTAACGGCGGGAACTGAAGCGTCAAATTTGCTCCACCCTTCTATACGGAGTCGTTTCGTTCAGCTACAAACCCTAAACTATGGTGATTTACCTTAAGGTCACTAAAATTATCTATTTTCTACAAGTGTTAGACTAGCGAAATTGAAACTTCGTCCTTAACGGTTCGATATGATAGAAAGGATTGAAATACCGCACTGGAGGTTGTATTGGAAAAATCAGCGGTATGGTATTATTTGATAAAATCATGATTCAATATTGCTTCAACCGTTTCATACCGCTAAATTTCTCATATCGGTTTAGTCTCCAATAAGAAATTTTTCCGGTCGAACCACCGGTACGATACAGTTTTTTAATCTGATAGTTTATTTGCATTCCGAAATTCCTCATGCTTTAAATCAAGAAAAAATTCCTCCTACTTCACTTATCCCGCCTCCATTGACTCCTGATCTTTGTTTCAGGATAACTAATTTTCATGTTCGAAGTCTAATTCAAAGAATTTTTTTTTCTATGTCACTCCACTCGCGTGGTTTAATACGACACCGATCCAAACTCGACCATACCGCAACATTATTACTCCCCCTTTTCGTACCGCTTCAATCTATCTTTCTACACTTTGTGTTTGTCAACCAATCATTAAGACTCGAAGTTAAACCACCAAATCCATCTCATTCTAACTTCTTCGAAATCTCGCTGGCTAATATATATTTTAGAAAAGTATAAGTAAGATGCCCGACAATTCATGAATGTGAAAGTTAAAGCAAAATAATTCCCATTTAACCACAAACAAGTTATCTTGTATAGATTACATACCTCAAATTATTTGCTTATATATCACATCAATTTTCATCATGATTGAAATATCAACACAAATCTAACAATAATTCACATATGCAAATCCCATCCTCAAAGAAAGAGAACTTTTCTAGTTGCAAGGATTGGTCAAAAGGCTCAAAGCTTCCCCTGCATCCACCCTTCCAGCATCTGCAGCGCGGCCTTGGGCTGGTCCATGGGCACCATATGGCCCGCATCGTACACCTTCAAAAAGCCCAGCGGCCCATACCTCTTCACCTCCCCCGCCGATTTCGAATTTCCCGCCACCACGAACGGCACGCTGGCCGCCGCCTGAAAATTCCTCTGCCCCGACCACTTCATCCCGTCGACCCAGTTCGAGTTCCCCAGCCAGTTGCAGATCAGGTCGTACTCGCCGGCGTAGATCAGCACTTTCACCCCGCTCTCCAGCAACGCCGGGATCCCGACCTCGAAATCGAGCATCCAGTCACCCATCATCGCGTCGTAGACCTCGCTGCTGCAGGAGACGAATTCGATGTCGTTTTCCACTCCCAGCGCCGATTTCACCGTGTCCTCGCTCAGGAAGTTTTCCATTCGGGAGAAATCGTAGCAGAGCTGGCCCTCGCATTGTTTCCTGATGTCGTAGTACTGCACGGGAAAAAAAAATTGGTTTCAAGGTAGGAATGGATACTCTGTTAATGTGATTTAATTATTTATTTTTTGGGGGTTACGTTTATGTTGCCGGCGATCTGGAGGATGGACTGGAAGATTTGGTTGCAGGTGTCGAGGGCTTCATCGCAGGAATCCTCGCTCTGCGGGCTGCAGGCTGCAATGGCGGATTCGCAGGGCGGGACGAGGTCGCTGGCGATGGAGTCGCGGTCGGATTGGGAGATCAGTTTCGCGGCGAGGGCGAAGTCAGGGTAGGCTCTGTATTGGTACGCAGGGTCGGTGAGGCCGTTTCCGATTGCGAATCCCTGTCAAGCAGTGAGAAGCAATGTAGTCAAAATCGCGATTCCTCGTACAAGCGTTTTAGTAAACCTGAAGCGTAAAAATGTAAACTTTTAAAGTTTTAAGGCATAGGTTCGACTGCATTTGTACGTAAAAAGCTCAATTCTGTGTAGAAGCGCTTTGGTTACATAAAGTTTTATGTTTTAAAACGTAATTTTGACTACATTGGTGAGAAGTAAGAACCCATTTGAATTTTGATCGAGAAATCGAGCCGGCCAGACTAAATTAAAGATTTCTTACCTTCATGTTGATGTGAACTCCTTCCTTCTTCTGATTCCCCTTGAAAATCCTTGAAGCCAGAGCAGGGATGTAATGGCCGGCGTAGGATTCTCCGGTGATGTAGAAATCATTTCCCGCGTATTTCGAATGTCCTCTGAAAAATTCCTGAAGGAAGTTGTACAGATCGTTGCTGACGCCGGTCTCGTCGTGCCTGATGTCACTGTCGTCGGTCGTGTAGCTGAAACCGGTCCCCGTCGGCTGGTCGACGTACAATATGTTCGACGCCTGATCCCAACCATAATCATTCCACTGCAGAGCCATGTCCTCTGTAATTTTGAACGGACCGTTCTCGTAGAACAGAGCAAGCTCGCTGGCGCAACCCGGCCCGCCGGTCAGCCATATCACCACCGGCGCATCGGTGTTGTTCACCCTGGATTCGAAGAAGAAATAGAACATCCTGCACAAACCAAAATGCGTCATCAGAAGGAGGATTAGGATTGAAAATTTTGGTGGAGTTAATTAATGTTCATGTCTGTCTGTCCACTTACTTGGCGCCTTTGGTGTCTGGAAGAGAATAGTAGCCGGCGTAATGACCGAACTGCTGAATTGACGGGCCTGCGCCGCCGGTGACGTTGAAGCTGAACCGCTTCTCTTTGATTCCCGGCTGATGATGATCGTCGCTGTGACCCGAATGGTTGTTCGAAACGACGTTGGCTGCGTGTTTGGGGAACAAATTCAGGGAGCGAATCATCCTTTCCGCTTGCCCTTGTCCTCGTTTTGCCGCCGGAGAAACGAGTTTTAGTGGAGAAGGGGATGATGGTTGGTACCGCAGGGCAGCAGAGAATGAACATGAGAGCAGAAGAAACAGAGTGAGAGAAAGGCATGATGCAGAGGATTTAGAACAAGAAGAAGAAGAAGAAGCAGAGGAAGCCATTGTTGTTGTTTGGTGGTGGATGGGAAATGAAATGATATGTGATGGAGTGGCGATGTAGGAGGTATATATAGTTTCATTTTCAGGGGTCCAGCCATTAAAGCAGCTGCTGCATAAGCTGTCATTTTCTTTCTTAATTGACTACACTTTGGGTTAGGAGAGGATTCAAATGCATGATGAAAGGGCATCAAGCTGGTGCTTGGAACGTTAATGTTCAGAAACATTCCTAAAATGGGAATTCATTAGGAGAATGTTCAAATTCAGACTCTTTAACCGCATTGCTGGCACGAAATTCCTAAGTTAATAATATCACAATTAGGAAGAGTATCCTAATTTATTATGAACATTTTGTTCTTTTAACTTTCTAGTTTGTGCACAAATTCATTGTGAATGCTGAACAAAAAAAAAAACGGTTGGGTTACGAGGAATCAATTTCAAATCCTCTCCTCTATATTGATGTATGAATAGTTAATTACGAACACATTGTGTAGATGAGATGACAACAAGATACGGATGGATTGATCTCCTGTTTATCGTTCTTCTCCAAACCGCATAATAATTTGGCCTAGACAATAAGATTACCCTAAGTTATACATAAAAAAAAGACAGACAATCTTTCGTTTCTTAAATGTATTGCTTCGACCTTCCAGTAAACTCGATATTTTGTTTACTTGGCACCAACGATCAAACCCACGAATGATAATCACACGGTAGGCAGTCACACAAGTTGCACCGATAACAATACGAAAGGTGAAATTCCACAATAGATAATCGCTAAATGCATCAAAATGATGGAATCCCGAGCATATGGTATTGAAAATCACCATAGAGGGGTGGGTTGGCTAACCCATATGTCATTTGCACACCTATTTTATACACAATCTCTTGCACAATTACATCAAACCAAACAAATTCCTTTCGAAATAGGATTCACATGATAACATGCATGATACAACTATCATTCCTTCACAAGTACATAGTCAAGAAAACCAAACCAAACACATCCCAAAGCATAATCTAGGAAACAATCTACTCAGCAAATGCAAAACTAGCATGTTGTTCCCGCTTGCCGTTTCAACAACTAAATTTAACCTTTGTCAGAATGCTTAACTTATATAATTAATTTCCCATAAACACAGCACAAGAAAATATCCCAGCTACATCCTAAACTACTAAAAACACTTTCGCATCACCCGCTGTAACAATCTCTCCAGCCAACATGTATTTCATTCTAAACAGCAAAGCATAACTACAGGCAGCTGCAAGCAACAAAGGTTAGCATATGGCAGTGCAGAAGCAACAGGAACGAGCATGAGGCATCCCTCACTCTCAGCTTCTGCCACCCAGCGTAACTTGCACCAGCCACGTCACAAGGTTAGATTTCGTAAACACGAGGTACTACACCAGTAGCTTCCAGCAGAGACAGGATCATCGACCCCCACTAGCTTCAACTGTAACTGAAGAAAAAGCTTTACAATTTTGTCAAATGGTTGTCAATCTTTTCTATATTCAGATAAAACCTTCATCATCCCAAGTATGGTTGCCTTGAATCAGGAATCTTCTTGCATCCTGTATATTGTAATTTCCTGCTGCTTAAAGTAGCGACGGTCCTCTTCATCCACTAGAACAAGGTTTAGATAATACTTCACACTGAACTTGTTATTGATATTGCGGTGCGTCGGTGTCAGGTCATATGGGCTGAGGAACAGTCTGATTGGAATTGATTCACCTGGACAGAAGTCACAATGCATTACCAAATGCATCAAATCAGATCCAGCTATATCTGAACTTCAAAATAAAATGAAAACTTATGCGTACAGTTTCCAATTTTCAGTGTAAATCTGTTTTCATTTTTCGTTTTTTCTCCACTCCTTGTAACTTTTTTTTTAGTTTGTAGACATTTTTCAAAGAGTGCTACGGATTTTGCTGCCCTGGTGCTCAAGATCTTGTTTCGACTAAGCGTGAATTGGTTTAGAAAAGAAAGTTGAACATACCCCGTACAGGAGCTCCGTCCATCAGCTCGAATTTAGCTAGAGTCTCTGTCTCAACATGTGTATTCGCCCCTGACCCAGTCGACTCTCTGCGCCGGATCTCAAGATCCATATTTTTTATCTTGATTCTTACAAGAAGAAAATAGATTTTACCAATAATCACGTCTTTCAGATGAAACCTGCACAAACAATTAGGCCCATTGATCATTGAACAGGACTACTATGTGTATCCACTTAAAGGTTAACCCAGTTGATTCCCCAAAATTATTATCAAACCAATATGGTTTACAGCATGCTGTATTCACAAACCCATCATCACAATATCATTTATGAAAAAGCTAGTGCCTTTCTAGTGTACCACCGCTATGAGAGTTTAAGTAGCTGACACCGCCATTATATAATTCAACAACCATACTGGATCTTATATGAAACAGGAAAGCTCGGCGGCCATAAATAAATTCCCAGTATGGATCACGAGTACCACGAACAACACTGACCAAAACCAAGTGTAAAGATCAGATGACTTACTTGCTTTTGTTGTACTCAAACTCAATATGTAGACAATCTTCAATTCCAACTTCCATCTGCACAAGTGAGCAACATGGATGTAATTGCAATGCACTACGATATATATTAAAGAAATGAACTTTGGACCATCATCAGATCATCACTAAATTTCTACCCTATGCTTCTACCATGTATTAGAGTAAAATACCAGTTTAACTTAAGTCAGCCATCATAGTGGCAAGTTGGGAAACAAACAGTGACATCTATTCCCTGTGCATTTCTAGATACAGCACTAACCTTGATACTGTTGTTAACAGGTGGAGGTGGAGTATAGTTTCGTACCTGGAACAGTAACTTGCTATATCAGTGAACTTGATCGCAAGCAGAATAATAGCATAGAGCAAAAAACAAGGCAAAGATGAACCCAGCAGTTCATTGTTTAGGAGAAGATGAATCCAGTTGAAAGCAAACCAATTCCACGCCCCCTCAACAGGACCCCATTTCCTGGCAAAAATATTGCTCAACTTCTTTTTCCACTCTCCATTTTCTCAATTTTAGTTCTTGCCTAAACTAATAATGAAAAAGAATATTATTCAGGAAATTATTGCTCAAACAAATTATAAGTTAAGCTTTACCCCCTCGCTTTTTCCTTCTCAAACTATGCTGTAACCATCTACTAAAATCGATTCCTCAAAGCCTCACACTATCCTCAAAATTCTCACATTCTCCAAATTATACCTCCCTATTTCCATACCAAAGGTACACGAATTCCCTAAAAACAAGTCAAGAACGTCAAACAATGACAAGTGTGCTTGAGGGAGGGAAAAGAAATATATTACCACAAACTCCTGGTATTCAATTATGCTCCCAGCATAACCACGACTTACAGTCACTTTCAGCACATACCTGTAATATAAAAGGGAAAAGAAAGCAAATGTGTTTACCAATAGAGTATTTGCAACTAATAAGAACATAATGACAGATATTTGTTGTGGTAACAGGAGTACTGCTTCATTAACTGAGTGGGCAAACAAAAACAAACTTCCAGTTGTTGAATAATATGCTGGCGAAGCACTTGAGCCACTATAAAACAGGTATCACCTAGAAGGACCTAATTTTTTGGAACATAAACAAACACAGTACTCCGTGTGAAGTATGACAGGCACCCTGTACTCTAATGGATTATGTACCATGTTCATAGTAGGTCTCCCTTGCCATCTAAATTATAAACCCTAGAAATCATATCTAGATTTCACCTGTCCAAATCATCTTGGGTGAGTTTGCCTCAGTATCCTAAAAGAAGCAACCATAACAAAAGGCCGTATTCTACCTCCTTCAACACAATCTTTCTCAAAGGTGCATCTAATCCAACTAAAACTTTTAACCAATTCGCAAGTGAAGAAATTCATCTCCAGAGTAAATAAATAAAGAAATACCTGAGCCTAACATTCACCCCATTATACGTCTCGTATGGCATTTCTACTGTGGAGAATTCAAAAGGATATGTTTTCCTTTCGTATAATTCTCCAGGGACCTCCAGTTCACGTACTGCCCACAAAGCAAGGAATCAAGTCATCAATGGTTTGCTTAAGCCAAATTCATTGAACTAAACAGAATGATTGGCCTTTGATAACCAACTCCAAAGGAGAGACAAGAAGGTAAGAATGAGACTGAATCTTGGAATAACATATCAAAAAGAGAATTGTACTCACCGAGAGAGGTAAAGTCATAAAAATTGCCTCTGTCAAAGTACAACTCTGCAAAGCAACAAAAACAGAAAAACAGTTACCACCGGACAAGAGAAGAGAACACTAGCAGACAATTAAAAACAAGTCATACTGCTGAGAAAACCACAGTTCCCAGTGTGACAAGACACAGAAAAAAGCCTTCTCTATCCAATGCCGTTTCGTGATAAAGACTTTCGTCAGCAAATTAACTAGTTCTCATTATTTTTCTCTTTATAGTTGATTGTTAGCTCCAAGGTCTTGAACCTAGGACGAGATAGATGTTTGCATCATGGTGAGATCAACCTCGTGCCAATAACTCTGGTTTCTTACTAGCCTTGCCTTAGATAACCAGCTCTATCAAACCCCCGTAAAGGAAAGAAATGCCAAAACCAAGCATACGAATGATTTGAAACACACAGTACTTTGGAGACAACAAGAGATTTTGGCTTCTCATTACACCCTGTACTTTCTCAGAGCCCCGATTCAGCAGTTTATACAAAAGGAGAGCAGTCCAATATTTGTTCTTGGCACTAATACAAAATACTTTTATGTTCTTTGAAGAAAAAAATAAAAAAAGTGATATAAAATCAAAACCAAATTTAAGCTCAAGACCTCCATGGCTCAAACACCTTAGTGGGGAACAGGTCCACAACAGGTCACTATCTAGCAATCTAAGAATATCTTGTTCATGATCATAATATCAAAGAAGAACAAAAATGAAAAAGCAATCTCTGTTTTATCAACTTATAATTCAAGAAGAGTGCATGATAAAAGAATATAGAACCCGATGAAGATGCCCAAATCTCACATTCACTGGCACCTTTAATTGTAAGGGGAAAAGTAAGGTGGTTAAGTTACAAACTCACCAATCTGACCAAGAAGCTCAACCTTAACACCATTGTGTTCGACCTTCTTCCCCAGAGGTGGTTCAATCACAACCTAAAACAATCCCAAATCCAAAAGCTTCTTGAGAATTCAGGTAACCAATCTTGCATTGGACAATCACAAGATGCAAAACATAATGCTCAGAACTAAAATAATGATAAGACAGTGATGCATGCACCTTGCCAGCAACACTTTCTTGGCTCTGAAAAAGTGGAATCATAATGGTTTGGCCATTCTCCTTCTTCACAGGAACCTATGCACCATGATAATACATAAATCAGAGCAGCAGAGGTTGCCACAAAATAAGTGGTATACAACAGTCTGATATAATGGGTATTAATAAGAAGTTACAGTCTGAAAACAATGGTCGAAGACCAGGCTACATAATAAACTTTCCTCGTGCACAAAAAGTACTATGTACAAAAAGCTGTATCGGATCCTACAGACCACAATAGGTAACTTGATTATGTGGGAGCTTAACATTTCTATGAATAACTTCCTTTTGTGATAAGAATCACATGGTGCAATCAGAAAGTATATGGAAACCACTAAGCACGTTCATGAGCTGATAAGGTCCTCTCCAACTTAGTCAAGGCCTTTGATTGAGATCTGGGGATACAGCTATGTTCAGGAGGAATCTAACATTATGATCAATATTCAAAAACCTGTGGTAATAAGAAGCATCAAATCAATGCCACATTGGAAAAGCTTCCCAATATCCTAAAGACCATAAGGCAACCCAAGTATATGGGAGCCTGACATTTGGATGGGTACTTTCTCATCTATGCACAATATGATCTCAAAACTCCAGTAGCAGCACAAAGAAAGGAATTCATACCTGTTTCCGCATCTTGGCGTCATTTAATGTGATTGATATGTTACACGCGGGCTTGAAAGCTCCAATAATGTAATTCTGTGGGGCAAAGGAATTGACTATCAGTTCAAGACTGGCAAAACAGAAACGCGCCCAGATGAAAATTCCCACAACTGAGCACGGGATCATTACCATGCTTTCTATCACAGCACAATGCCGGTTCAGAATCCCTAGTCGCCTGCAGGGAAAAAGGGGGAGAAATAAGTAAAGGGTCGTCGAATATGGAAGTCAACTTCAACAGTTCAACCGCAGCCGATGGAAAAGGGTTTTTCTGAAATGACGCGAGATGAAATCCCTAACACACACAATCTTCTTCCAACAGAAGCAATCGCTCCAAACGATCGACCAATTGGACACAATCGCGGACAGCGACGATCAATTGGGAACTCGAAATGCATAAACTGAGATTAGCAAGACTGAAATCGGAACTGCAGATCAATTTGGAAGTGATGGCCGTACGTACCTCGGAAGAACTGTGAGAGCCAATGAACCAAAGACTGATCTTGGAACAAACTCGGGCAGAGACTGGGACTTTAAAGGTTTGACAACCCGCGAGAATCGAGATTTCCGCTTTCTGTGCGTCTTGTAATTGGATGGAAGATACGCCGGAAGGGGATATACCGGAACTCTGGAAGTAGCCGGAAAAAAGAACGAGACACACGGCTTTGATTCGTTGGTTGGTTCTTCGGTGAAACAATCGGGGAGTTGGAAGCTGAATACTGAGAGCGGATCTGGTGACTTAAGGGGGGTGCTTAGTCACTTGACTAAGCTCCTCCCAGCCCTTAGATCTGGACACTTCAATCTAATGGTTAAAAAGTGGGAAGAGCTATTTAATTAATGACAGGGGTAGTTTGGGTATTATGGAAAATTACGAAGTATACAAACCAGATTTACAATCAGTACAAACCATACAAACATACGAACAGTACAAACTAGAGCGACAAAACATACAAACATTACAAACGTATGAACTGTACAAACAATACAAACTAGACCGACAAACAATACAAATCATACAAAAAGAAAAAACAACCGGGTTGACTTTTGAGGCTCCATCCCTATATAGAGGGGCTCCTTCCCAAAGTCAACCCGGGTGTTTTTTAGACATACAAACAGTACGAACATGGTGGACAAAAATGACAAACTAGACCGACAATCCATACGAACGGGAAAAAACACTCGGGTTGACTTTGGAGGCTTCATCCCTATATAGAGGGGCTCCTTCCCAAAGTCAACCCGGGTGTTTTTTAGACATAAAAAACATTACGAACATGGTGCACAAAAATGACAAAGTTTACAAACATGGTTAACAAAAATAACAAAGTTTACAAACATTACAAAAAAACCCGACAAACATTACAAAATAACAAAGCATACAAACATTACAAAATATGTCAACAAACATCACAAAATTAGCACTGTCGCCGGGAAATTCTTCTCCGGTGACGATGTTCGCCGGGAAAAAATTTCCGATCAAAAAATTGTCCGACCAAAAAAAGTCTCTCTCTCTCTCTCTCTCTCTCTCTCTCTCTCTCTCTCTCATGGAATAATGGCCCCCAGGAGACCCTTGAAATAATGGCACCCTCTCTCTCTGGGATGGAATAATGCGCCCAGGAGATCCTTGAAATAATGGCGCCCAGGACCCAGGAATTACCTTAGTCGGAGACGGAGGCGGGCGGGAGGCGACCGACGCAAAAGGACGGGGACTGAAACGGGCTGGGTTATTTTTTATTTATTCCTTTTATAATTAAAAGTTAAAAATAAACATGCAATTACTATACTGCCCTTCATTAAATTGGATTAATAGGAGCCCTTAGATTTTAATGAGGTGCAAGGGTGGAGATTCACTTAGCCATGTGACTAAGGGGACCCCCCTTAGTCACCTGATCTCAGCCCCTGAATACTGTCGAGTCCCGCTAACTGCTAAGTGCCAGCAGTTCGTAGCCTGACCCGTCTTTCAGGTTTAAGGACCGAATGGTAACTACAAAGGCTGGGCCGACCTCGTATTTGTTGCGGTTGTTTGTGCCATATGGTTATGTGTAAAGTTGTGAAGGTAGAGTGTTAGGAAGTGAAGGTCGATGGTATTATCTTTTCTTAGTCGGCCTGTTGTTCGTTCCTGGTTACATTTTTTAAGATGAGTTATGTGTAGCGCTATTAATTGGCCAAAAATGGTCGACCTCGTATTTGTTGCGGTTGTTTGTGTCATATGGTTATGTGTAAAGTTGTGAAGGTAGAGTGTTAGGAACTGAAGGTCGATGGTATTATCTTTTCTTAGTCGACCTGTTGTTCGTTCCTGGTTAACATTTTTGAAGATGAGTTATGTGTAGCGCTATTAATTGGCCAAAAATGGTCGACCTCCACAAGTTAACTGGTCGATCTCTTTTACTCTGTTTTTTGTATTACAATCATAGATGAGATTGGAGAAATCATTTCATTACAACTAAACTCAAACATTCATAATAAGTCTAGAACGAAGGAGATTTAGGAGAAAGATTGGAGAAATCTACAACTACTAATGAATTTCAATATTCAATATGACATTAAACTAGGAAATGAGTACATATTTATAAGATAGAAAAACCCCAAAATCCCAATCCTTCCTCTATAAGGATGAGCCTCTCTCTCCTTTTTCCTATCCAAAACATGAAACCCAACTCACAAGGAAATGATAATAAACTCATAAAACAATAATCCAAATCCTACTTTTAAGTAATGGAAACAATAATAGAGACAAATAACAATAAAAGACTATCTATAAAAAAAAACAATAGAATACGCGAGACCAGATCGAGGCCCAATAGTTACAATGATAGTTACAATGACTTGCTTCTCGTATCACTCATCATCATCACCCAAGAGACCCATCAATTGTTGGGAGGAAGTTCGACATCGGGGGAGCTGGACCTGGAGCAGACCTACTTCATGAGGCACCATTTGCTGCAAATTTAGAATCATCTGTTGCACCACGTGGAGTTTGGGAAGAACACGTGAAACTCGAGCCAAAGCCCGGACATGGTGTTTTCCGTGACCATTATTCAAGACAGCAGCGGAATTATGATACTGTTGGAGTAACAGCTGTTTTCTGTGAAGTAATGGAGCTAGCTGTCGACCGATTTCCGCAGCAATGGCAGTGGTGGAAACCACGTCTCTGTTCACTCCTTCGAAATCTGCCATAGGAAGAGCAGCAAAGACGAGAAAATGAAGGATATGTTATGAGGACCTTAGTGGAAGAGTATGTGATAGTTGAGAAGAGAAGAAAGTCTTGTCCGTCCGTATATTTATAGGGAGGAATTATCTTATTATCTTTATCTTATATATAAAAGCTAGCTACACTTTTTTCCTAAAGTTACTATTTCAATTTTTGTCTTTTAGTGAAGATGAAAAAACTTGCCATCTTACCCCATCCCTCACACACTCAAATATATTAAAAAAAAATCTTTATCATTTGGTCAAAGATATTGTATGTATAACAAAGGGGAAGATTGAATCGTCAAGAGGTTTAAACGGTTCAATTTGATTTCAAGAAAATGAAACCCGAGGCTTAAGCGGTTCAATTTGATTTCAATTATTATCTTATATATAAAAGCTAGCTACACTTTTTTCCTAAAGTTAGTATTTCAATTTTTGTCTTTTAGTGAAGATGAAAAAACTTGCCATCTTACCCCATCCCTCACACACTCAAATATATTTAAAAAAATCTTTATCATTTGGTCAAAGATATTGTATGTATAACAAAGGGGAAGATTGAATAGTTAAGAGGTTTAAACGGTTCAATTTGATTTCAAGAAAATGAAACCCGAGGCTTAAGCGGTTCAATTTGATTTCAATTATTATTATCTTATATATAAAAGCTAGTTACACTTTTTTTCCTAAAGTTACTATTTCATTTTTTTTGTCTTTTAGTGAAGATGAAAAAACTTGCCATCTTACCCCATCCCTCACACACTCAAATATATTAAAAAAAATCTTTATCATTTGGTCAAAGATATTGTATGTATAACAAAGGGGAAGATTGAATCGTTAAGAGGTTTAAACGGTTCAATTTGATTTCAAGAAAATGAAACCCGAGGCTTAAGCGGTTCAATTTGATTTCAAGAAAATGAAACCCAAGGCTTAATTGAATATTGAGTATTTGTGTATTGGTTGTGATTTTATTTTTATTGTTTTTAGCTTTTTCAGTTTGACCAAACAAAAAACGCTAAGCACAAAAGGTTTGGGACCGAAACCAAAAAACGATAAGATCACCTTATCTGTTCGTTTAGTTGAAATTCAAGAAATTGAATCCGAACTGATAGTCCTATGTATGGCACACTTTGCCATCTTTCATTTTGGTCTTCAAATTATCCAGAATCTTAATTAATTTATTTTTTCATTGTTGCCATGAGGAAAGTAAACATTGATGATGAATTCATTTTCTTTTTATTACAAATTAGGTCAGGTGTCAACTACTCTCAGGAAAACTCTTTGTGTGGTTGGGTTAAGCCATTGAAAATCAGTAATCGCAAATAGGATACCACAGACAGAGGATATATTCAAGTTTTTTAGGTTTGATAAAAATGTAGTAAAGAATTAACTGAATTTTAGTGAGGATGAAAGGGTTTGTCATCTTACCCCATCCCTCACATACACTCAAATATATTAAAAGAAAAATTCTTTATTATTTGATCAAAGTTGTTGTATGTATGACTAGGATGGGAAATTGATTTGTGAAACTAAATCGAATCGAATATAAAAACCAAAAAATTTGAACAAGTAATATCCTTAAAAATGAACTATTAAGAGGCTTAAACAGTTCAATTTGATTTCAAGAAAATGAAACCTGAATGAATTTAATAATGAGGAAAATTCATATGCTAATATATGTTGCTCACTATGCACATCTTACTTTCTTTTTCCGATTTACAACGTGGTCTTATTAGTGGTTGTTGGTCATGAAACTTAGTGCTTTATATTGCTTTGGATTTGGTCAATTTGTTCCTCTGTTCAATTGTTAAGTTTTGCTACATATATAAGTGATTGCTACAATTCTATCATTTTGCTTCCATCTTTACTTGATCGGATTTGTGTATCCAACGAGTTAACTGGTTGATAGAACTTGGATCCAACAAATTATATTATGAATGTTCTTTATTTTATCTTAATAAATTGGACTTGCAAGAGACAACGATTAGTGGTGTCTTAAGTTGTATGGACAATGAAAAAAAATTATTTTTTTTTGTTAGTGAATTAGAGGTGAGGTGTTGTACATGTTAGGCTTATGAATAATAATCATATGTATGCGTTCACTTTTAGTGTTGAATTCGCTTATCATATGGATATGCAATCGCTCTATGTAGTAGTTAATTCATTGTATGTTTCATGATCCAAGTCAAAGTTGTGCTCGATCGATAACCTTCTAACTCTCTTCCTCACTCACAACAAGTTGAATGTTATTATTCAATGATTTTTTTTTGAAATTTCACCTGTTTTCTCCAAGAGTTTTTATTATATGAGTCCTGATGGTTAGGCGTAACTTTCCTATTTATGCATTGTTCACTCAATATATGTTTATTCACCCATTTTACCAATGAATGGTAACTAAGTATTGTTGGAAATCATCACGGACTACAAAAATGGTTAATAATATAATAGATGTCGAAAGACATATGAGATATTAACAGCTGCTTCACTCCCCATTTAGCGAGAAAGACCAACTAGATAACAAGAAAATATAATTTTTTTGTTCCCAGTTTGTTTGGACCTACCAAGGTTCTAATAAATCATGATGATTGTTTCTTACACTTATGTCATGTAAATGTAGAATAAGCTTTTTATCAATTTTTAATTTGTTTTATGTTGTTTGACATCTATTGTGTACATCATTGTTTTTCTTTCCTTTCGTTAGTTTTAAGGAAAGGAGACCAATAAAATGAACTATGATTAGGGGTCTACATGAATCGGGGTGAGTTAGTTTTTAACCCTCTCAACCATGCAACTCATATGCCTTAGGTCAAGTGATGCACTACCCAAATCGAATTATATGACACATAAATCCATGTGTTTCAGGTGATGCGCCGGTTGAATTGGATTGATACTAGACATGTCTATACATTAACCAAATAGGGTTGAACCTCGGTTCATTTTATGTTAATCAAACCAAATTGGTTGGTTATCCAAAACCGAATTGCTGTCATTTTAGCAATTGTAATTGCTGTTGTTGCGATTACTAGAGAATCGAATATTATGATCTTTGGTTATGTTGCGGTTAACTGCGTTCAACCAATTAACCTATTTGTCATTCTTTTTGGTTTAGGTTACCTAATGGGGTAGGCCATTTGGCTTTGGGGTAGTTTAATTTTGCGATTATATGGGAATTTTGTTTTGCAGTTTGGTGTGCAGTTACACCAAACACCAAAGATTATCTAAAACCAAATCTGCAACTATTCTATTCCTTCATTTTATTGTTCTCGATTAACTATTAATCGTAAAATTCGAATCAGACTTCGGTTAACTTGCATGACCGTAACCAAATTTTCTATCCTATAACCAAATACTCCCTGCAGTGTAGCCGCGGGTATTGATTCTAGTATATGTAAAAGGTGACTACACTTTATTGGCAACACTGTTTCATTATTTGTCATGTTGTGATTGAGGCCCGCCCAATACAACTTCTCCAAATTTACCCAAGTTTTGCTCTTCTCGGCCGAAACTCTGAGACCACCATGCTTTCCGTACGGCTACGCCATCCCTTCACCCCTACGCCATCCCTCCAAATTTACCCAAGTTTCCGCTGCTGCATGTTGCCTCCTGCATCTCATCACTCTGGGGCGCTTCACAGAGTTGGCGGTTTCGTGTGGCTACTCCCACACGCCACCACCACGGCCATACTTTCCATATTCACCATACCGGCATACCCTCACGGCTCATCCCAAAATCCCCAGCTGCGGCGTCACCCAGCGGTGCCTTCCGTCCTTGCAGTAGGAACCCATGCCTTCCATTCGCGATCGTACCCCAGAATCCTCAATTGCATCCCACCCATGAATCGTCAGTTCTCGCCTTGCTCCACTCGATTAGGGGCCTGCCGGTGCCTAAAGGACGATTAATCTCCTCTGGCTCGCAACGCCTAGTTCACCTCTACCTCCCTTCCGATTGTTTTCTCACTCCCCTCTACAGACCTAGCTTTTCGACCACAGTTCCTTTCCATAAAATTGCATCTCTTCCACTTTCATATTTGCTGCTGAATCGGACTGAGCGAAAGTCTGTTTGCGACCATAGACAAGGGATATCGTTGTAGGTGCCTTTGTCTCTCTCTCTCTCCTTGATGCCTCCATGGCAACTCTTTTCCTCCCCTCTCTGAACCATATGGGCTTTGTTTGCAGGTTTTGAGGTCGACCTGTGTTCGGAGTTAGATAATCGGCCTGGAACTCATAGCAGGAGACCGGAACGCAGCCGATGACTTTTTGGATCTCTCTCGCTCTCCCTGGCTCCAGCACTGGCTAAACCAACGCCGACGGACAAAATCGTCTAATGGTGAGCTCTTACTTCTCTGCGTTTTTGTCAATATGGTTAATTTCAATTTCTCAGTTTTGGACTCTCGCTGCAGAGCACGACGGTGGCAATGAATATTCTGATGATATTATTTATATGCCGTGGGGTGGGACAACCGGTGCCGGTGATGGAGCAGCAGGAGGCCGATGTGGGAGTTGGTGGAAGCACCAATGTTCAAGTTGGAAGAAGAAAGAAGCTCGACGACAGCCGAGGAGGGGCAAAAGACCAGAAAGCAAAAATAAAAGCCAGTGAGAGGTATGCAGTTTCTGTTTGTTTGCGGCCCAAATTTGGAAGGAACACGATTTTGTGACTTTAAGGGTCTGTTTCAGGGGACCTATCAAGTTGGAGCATCGTGTTGTCGGAAGAGAGTTAACAAAACAGCGGTCGAAGCCAAGCCCAACTGAAGTTTCGAGTCTCTATTGTCGGAGGTCGATTTGCTCGAGGAGGAGCTTAGTTGGATGCCCAATTTCTCGGTACCTTACTAAAAATCAATCTAAGTGTTGAATCCTATTTCACGCAGTTCAAAATAAATAATCCAAAGCTCGATTCCTGTGATATGGATTGGTTTTAACTTTGAGGGATTCTTGGTGTTGTTTCTCTGCTTTCATATTCCTGCAAGTTACTATACCAAGCAAATGACGGAGGAAATGGCTTTCTTGGGTTATAGTCGGGCTCTTAAGCTCTATTTTATGGTTATAATAATTCTTCACCATTTTGGATTTTATTAAATTAACTGCTTTGCTGCAGCTACAATACCATGTCAGAAAGGTTGTTTACATATCTGGAGAAGGGAGGTAGTCTATTTATGTTAACCAAATTGTTCTTTTCAAATTCAACTGAAGTTTTGCCATGTACATGTTCGTCCTGCAAATTTGCTAGATGCAAATTGTTTCTGTTTCCCTCTGTGTTCTGCGTCCTTAAGTTGAAGTTTTTACATATAAATGTTTTCTATAATTTTCAGTTGGTTTATGTGTAGGTGGTAGTCAATGATGTTGTAACAGTTGCCGATATGAAGTTGTGCCAGCCAATGATGTGTAAGTGATGTTCTGTGTTTTCGGATGGTGGATGGATATAAGGAATTTTACTCTTTATAACAGTTTAGTTTTCAAATTGCTTTTCTCTTTCTGGGATTTGTTTCAAACCAACTGGATCCTGAATGCTATTTGTTGCTTCATTGGTTTGTAATTTGTTAGGCCTTTGTCAGCCTCACGGTTGTCCAATGTCGAGTCTAATTCTAGCTAATTTATTCTGTGAAGTTTGTGTTTGATTCCATGTCAATAACTATTACAATTAGTTGATGCCTCACTTGACAATTTCAAAGGATGGGTACTGTCATATCATTGGCAGCAAAATCTAATGATATTTAAGATCTTGATTCCAGTTTCAAAGCACCATTTGGATTTGTACAATACTAAGTACTTATGGCAGAGTGTTCTAGGACGAGCCGAAGTAACGTTACGTGATGAGTTTGTCATTAAAAGGTTAGGTATTAACAATTGCCTCTGTTTTTGTGTGATTTTGATGTACCGGCAACGAAAGATCTTTGTGTTTAAATTCTACTCCTAACCTTTTCGCGATTTCAATTTGTGATTTTTTCTTTAATTTAATCTTGCATGGGTAAGGTTGCTTTGTGGCAAGCTCTACTCTATAAACTGTTTTTTCTCTTCCTTTTATAGAAGTGATGAGTCGGTTTGATTTTGCATTCTTTAGGTGCTTCTTTTATGGAAAGGGATGGTTAGCTTTGCTTAGGATGAAAACAGGAATAAAAACTTTGTAACTTGATTTGGTTTGAAGAAAAAAAGGAACCAAATTGTTTGCTGAGGGAAAGTAAATGACCACAAGAAGAAGAAGGCTGGTCAGGATAGGTCAATGTGTAACTCGAGGGGATTCTGATCTTTTCTCCTTCATACTTCCCATGTCCCTTTTATGGGTTACTTCCCTCCATGCCGAAGTCGCTCACAAAAGGTAAACAGAAAATTAGCTGTTGTCAGTAATCATTTCTAAATTTTCATTTATATCGTAGCTTTGTTTGAAGCAACTTATCTAATCATATCAAACTGGTCTTTCATATTTTATGGTTCTTCTTTTGGTTTGGTCGAATTTGCTTTTTGAGTTATCCTACGTTTCTTTAATGTTGCCCTGGGTAATGTGGAGTAGATGCATTTTTATGCATATCCAGTATCAAAATCTCAATGGTCAATGATGCTTTAGTTTCAAGTTTGCATTCTTTTACCGCTTAATAATCTCGGTTAGATTATTGAGTTTCGTCTTGCTACAAATCTGGATGATTCTTCTCAAATAATTGCTTTTACCTTTGGGGTAGGGGTTCAAAAATGAAACTGAACTAAAGTAAGGCCAATGGAATTATGTATATTTTTCCAGTGATTTGTTGATTGTTGAACACATAAGGCATCTGATTTTATGTTTACATTCCAATCAAGTACATTTAGAAAGTCTTCACAATGGTTGCTTAAGTTCATTATTAATGCTGCTAGCTTTCTTCAATCATTGTCGTTTCCTTTTGTTTGAATTACAGGCTGTGATTTCTTTGTTTTCTTCGCTCTCTTACATTTTTTATGACTTTTTCCAATAGTACAACGGTACAAGTCTCCTACTTACAAAATTTATGAACCCACATGGTTGTTCCACTTTGTTGTCACCTAAACTTTCCATGATATATGATCATGTTGTTGCAACTTTAGTTTGGGTATTGGTTAGTAAATGGAATGATCTCAAACATGACTCTCCACCTCCTAATTTGACCATAAACTAAACTGCCCATCCATTCATCACGACTCTGCAACTTAAGTTCCCGCGGCGTAGCAGCGGGCATTTTTTTCTAGTTATTATGTTATTAGTAGTTGTCCTTGTTGGACAAGGACAAGGACATCTGTTAGTTCTTGTGAGGAAATAGTCTAAAACCATGTATGGGAAGGAAAAGGATTTGGCTGGCCGCAGCAGAGCGCAGCAGCTCCACACTAGTATTCTGCAAACCGTGAGTTATTTGGCCTTCAGAAAACCCTCTAAAGAATCCTTCCGTTTCAGTTCATCAGGGAACAATGGAGGACGGCAACTCCGACTCCGACGTCATCGAGATTTCCCCGCCCTCCCTCCCGCCTTCCCACTTGGCCAGGAAGAGAAAACGTCAACAGGTTTTAGAATAAGAAACAGGCTTTTTCTTCTAACATCCTTTGTTTTCTCACCGTCCCTTTTCTTTTTAGCTGGGTTTCGTTTATCTTCTTGCCTGGATTTCTCTTTTCCCCACCATTGATGATGCGTTCGATCAGGGGCTTTTGCCCCTTTTCCCTGGGCTTCTACTATCTGTTTTGAGGTGCTGAATCAGTTTATTAAGTTCTTGGAGATGCTAATTAACTTATCCATTTGTGTGGAATCACTTGGGACCCTTTGCTCTTTAGATCAGCAGCTAATAAGTTCCTTCTGAGCAACGTACAGCGTATGTAATGCTTACTTTGGAGGTCCAATTCGTTCATTTATTTAGCAGATAGATAGATAGATAGTTTCTTTTACTATATCTCGTCAAATTGCACAACTAGAGTACTTTCGGAGGCTGCTTCAGCTTTTAGGGTTGATGGGTTTTCTGTATGCATGTTGTGGCCTACAGAACTCAGTTGCAGATGCTTGTGCAGTGTATTATATTTACGTGGATCGATATTCCTTTAGAGAGAATTGAGTGTGATTAATTTCTTGTGGATGCTAGTTCACAAGCATTTGAATGGAACCGTTCTCTCTAGCTAGTAACACTAAATTGTTGTTGTTTGTTGCTGCGATGGTTTCTTTTTTATTTATGTATAGGCTGTGCTCCTTGAAATCATTGATGTCGATGACGAAGATGATGTTGTGATCCTGAATGAGAAGGATGAAGTTCGCAGGAAGTTCGCCCTTGACAAAGGGAAAGCTATCAGGGACGATGATAACGCTGTCAATCTTGTTGAAAATGAGGTATAAACAGCATACATCATTCACTACTATATAGACACATTTTGTTATCATTGTCGACTCCGTCTCCAACTCATCACCTCTATGTAAATGTCCATTTAACTTGATCCTCAGGCCCTAGATACAAGCTTGTGGAATCTTGATGGAAAGGAAGACACATTTTTCTATCCCACTGATTTTGCTTCTCTACAATCATCACATCCGAGTCTCCCGGCAACTGGAGTTGAGGCAAGCCAACCGAATACGAAGAATTCGCGGGGTTCAAAATCAAGACAGAAACTACTTGGCAGTACCAAATCCCTGGTCAAATCTGCCAGCAAACAGAGTTTTCCAATGATGAGTACTAGTGCAGGACTTCGTCGACTGAATATGGACTGTAAGGAAATTTTAAGGAAATGGAAGCTCTTCAAGCATTTCGATATTGTTGAAGACTATTCAGACCATTACTACAGTTGCAGCCGGTCTTCATCGGAACAGGTGACTGACTGCATGCATAGTGTTGCTACCTGTAAGCTCGATCTTGAAGTTAACCATACATGGTGTTTGTATTATATGATGTATCAATTAATTCCTCTTTAAGTTGTTCTGCCTGCCAGAGGAATGAGAAGAAGTGGGCAAAAGCAATTCAAGACGAGTGGAAAAGGCTCAAGAAAGATTTGCCAGGTGAAGAAATTACATGCGTGCATGTTCTTTGATCACATCTAGTCTAATTACAACTTATGATAAGTTTCTTCTATTCTGTGACATGGTCATCTTTCATTCCCAATTTATATAGTTTGTTCAAACAAACAACAGATACGACGATATATGTGAGGGCGTACGAGTCGAGGATGGACCTGCTGAGAGCCGTGATTGTTGGGGTAGATGAAAATAAAAATATAACATCAATATGCACATACAAATTATCCACATAAAAAAGACTAATTTAGTACATACAAGCAAATTATCTATACAAATTATCCATACAAACTACAAATTATCTATACAAATTTTTTAACATTAAATATAAACATCCATAAGCAACATGATTAATTGAAAGCTTCTTCTTCCTTGAGAACTTGAAAATTGATTTTATGGGTGTGGGCGGGTACAATAATGTAGTCAAAATCGTGATTTCACTTAAAATCGAAAACTGAGGTAAAATCGAAATCGTAGATTAAAATCGTAAAATCATAAGATTTTTAAGGTTCGTATTAAAATTAACACTTAAAATACCGGATAGTAACTACAGCAATACATATTTTGAATAACAGTCAACTGCATATCACTTAATTACTTCACAAGATAGTTTGTATGCTAAATAAACACAAATAACTCCATAGATTTGTTCTAGTACATGACCTAATGTTTCCTTACCAATTACTGTTAATGTTTGCTGAAAATCTTCGCCGAACACAATAGACATTCCTCCAAAGGTCATGTCCTCGCTGTTTGGATTTTTCACATGCAAAATATCTTCCTATCCGTTCCCTCTTAGTTGCGAAGTAGACAAAAAACCCAACACGAGCAGATGGAGAGGGAAATCCTTTCCGGCGATGAGCAGACGGAGAGGAGAATCTTTTCTGATGACGAGCAGATCTTTTTCGGCGGCGAGCAGATGAGAGGGAAATCACCAATCATTTCCTCTCTCTTTTTATTTTTCACTTCTTGGTGATGGAGGGGGAATCCATCGGCGACCAACAGATAGAGAGGGAAATCACCGATCTCTTTCTCTCTAGCAGACGGTGGACATGGTTACCTTGCTCTATTGCTTGATAGCGATCTCGTTAGTGTTCTAATTCGACCACCAGGATTTGTAGCTTTCCCTCTCATGAATGCTCGATTGCTTGATAGTGATTTGTCGGTGGTCTGATTGGAAACTTTAATTTACGATATGGATTTTTAATTTCTATTGATTGTCAAATGTGATTTGAGTGTTCATCTTTGTTGACATGTAAATTATGCCCTGGTTACAAAGAGAGCAAGAGTATGACTAAGAAAGAAGCTAAAAAGACGAGGGCAAAAGTGTACTTTGATCAGATGCTTCATTTCTCATATCAAATAACAAACCAAACAATACAATTCCGAACAAATTTCTCATACAATCGTCTCATTTTCCAAAACGAGACTTTCGTCCTAAATTGCCCCATTTTGAGAATGTTCTATCCAAACGACCCATTTTGCTTTTAGATTAGATGCGTTCCCAAGTCCCAACCCTAACACACGTGGGCTGTGCATGTATCTCTGCATGGGCCTTTAATGGGCTGGCTCTCTCTACACTACTAAACAGTAAACACATACCGGCATACGTACACTACGCTAAAATACCTACATATAACATTTCAAAAGGCGGCGGCCTTCTTCTCTCCGTTCTCCTTCCTCTTCCTGTTTGGGATCAACTCCGGCCGGCAGGCGGCAGTAGAAAAAGGGCATCATCGACAGTCGGATTGAGGTTGCCAGCGCCGGAGATAAGAATCCGGCAACGACAGCAGCGGTCAGAGGACCGGGAGAGCTCGGCGACGGCATGGCAGGGGGTAAGAGATTTTTTTGTTGCTTAGGGTTTAAGTTGAAATTGCGACTAGGGTTAAGAGTGTCAATTTGATACATTTTAGGGCGCGACAAAATTAAAATTTTACAGCGCCACAATTCAGTGTGTATATTAGGATATTGGCAGCTGGAGTGTGACGATAAAAAAAAAACCCTACCCTTTTATTTCAGTTCATCAGGGAACAATGGCGGACGGCGACTCCGACGTCATCGAGATCTCCCTCCCGCCTTCCAACTTAGCCGGGAAGAGAAAACGTCAACAGGTTTTATTTATAATAAGAAACAGTTTATTATATTTACATGGATCGATATACCTTCTGCAGAGAGGCGAGTGTGATTGATTTCTTTTTGTTACTATGGTTTCTTTTTATATATGTATAGGCTGTGCTCCCTGAAATCATTGATGTAGATGATGACGATGACAATGATGAGCATGACGACGACGACGACGATGATGTTGTGATCCTGAATGAGAAGAACGAAGTTCGCAGAAAGTTGTTCGTTATCAAGGATGATGATAACGTTATTATCAATCTTGTTCAAAATGAGGCAAGCCAACAACCGAATTCCACGAACTCGCAGGCGGCCGGTTCGAAAACGAGCCAGAAACTACTCGGCAGCAGTAGACCTAAATCTCTGGCCGTCAAATCTACCAGCAGCAAAAAGAGTTTTCCAGCAATGATTAATAGCGCAGTACGTCGTCGACAGAATATGGACTGTAAGGAAACTTTAAGAAAATTGAAGCTCTTCAAGCATTTCGACATCGTTGAAGACCATTCAGACCATTACTACAGTTGCAGCCGGTCTTCTGACAGGCAGAGGAACGAGAAGAGGTGGGCAAAAGCAATTCAAGACGAGTGGAAAAGGCTCAAGAAAGATTTGCCAGGTGAAGAAATTACACGCGTGCATGTTCTTTGATCACATCTAGTCTAATTACAACTTATGATAAGTTTCTTCTATTCTGTGACATGATCATCTTTCATTCCCAATTTATATATTTTGTTCAAACAAACAACAGATACGACGATATATGTGAGGGCGTACGAGTCGAGGATGGACCTGCTGAGGGCTGTGATTGTTGGGGTAGACGGAACTCCTTACCACGACGGCCTCTTCTTCTTCGACCTGTTCTTCCCTAACCTCTATCCAGATGTTCCACCGGTACGTACGTGGTCATGTCGCGATCTAATTTAAATTTCACTACACATTTTTGAGTCGCATCACCGAGACAGGGTTTCTCTTTGTCCCTGCGCAATATGAGACAGATTTATTCATATTTCGCCTGTTTCGCATTTTCCCCCCTCCTCTCTGGTCATCAGGAAGTCCACCTCGATGATGAAGATTCTCTCTTGTTGAACCCAATTTTCAACCACGGATACGTGTGCCTCAGCCTTCTCGATCGAGGAATCGGTGGTATCGACGAGTTCGAGAATTGGCAGCCTGGGGTTTCAAGTGTGATGCAGATTCTGCTTTCGTTGCAGGCATTGGTATTGTGCGAAAAACCCGTCTACACTGATAGTTCTGATGATATGATGGACGATGAGGTTATGATGGACGATGATGATATAACGGACGATGATGATATAACAGACGAAGACGACGAGGATACAATGATGGGCAACTTGATCACCACCACCAGATTCCGCCGAAAAAAAGAAGGGAGAAAGGAAAAAAAAGAGTGCATCTACTCACTGCATTACAGCGAGACTGTATTCCTCGAATCGCTCCGGCTAATGGTTCGTACAATGAGGAAGCCACCAAAAGTAAGCCTTCTTTCTCCGATGGATCAAACCTCATGTCGTAAGGGAAGAAGAAGAAAAAAGTCGTTATTTTTGCTAATTTGATCTCATTTGTGTCGGTACGTCCACGACATAATAATGTTTGTAGAATTTCAAGGAGTTTGTGAGGGGACATTTCCACAGTCGGGCCAAGGGGATCGTGGCGGCGTGCAAAGCGTACATGTCCGGCGTTCAAGTCGGCCGGTGGTGTGTGGTGAAGAACGGCGAGGGCGGCGCCCGCGGAGGAGTTGGATCGGCCGGTAAGAGTTGCCGGCCGGAGTTTAGGGATTCCTTAGCTAAAGGAATGGACGAGCTGAAGAAAGCGCTTACCAAGATTGGAGTACAGAACTTGGATTAATTTTCTTTACATTTGCATATGAAAATCAGTTTGATGATTATGTTATACACTACCATAGTTCACCATTTTTTTTTAAACTCTAGTTCACTAACATTGCACCAAAATAACAGTTTGTGCCTAGACCAAACATATAGAGTCAGGCGAACGAGAATGTTGGAAAAAAGGCGCATTTCGGAAACTAAAGGGACAAATGAAGCTGTGTAACCTCCAACCCGATCTAACCTTGGATGTGTGTAGCCCGCTTTTCTCATTGCGTAAATATCAAAACAGGTTAACTCTCGAGTTTTAAACCTTGATATTCATATGCAACTAGAAAGTGTAACAATGAAGGTGACATGATGTCTTACATTGGGTTTCACCTCAACCAGTTGGACTCAACTACTCATTCTATATTTTTCATTTACGAATAATTTATTCTTTTCTTTTATTGTAAAATATAAAACTTTTGTGTATATCTTCTTCAAATAACATGCGATAATAATTCGATCTGTCCTGACTTGTAATCATGTGTGTATGTATGTATCATCGATATGACCTGAGCCCTCACTTTTAGTAATGACCAATTTCTTACTCGAGTTGCGGAATCCAATCGCCCCCGAACTATTTGTGATAGGTAGTACCCGACCTCCAGTAGCGTGAGGAGAGGTATATATATTGCTTCCGACCTATCGAGCCTCGTCACATTCTCCACCCGTTCTATTACAATAAGACTCTATCTAATAATTATTTACACTCATATATTCCTTTTACTATATTTGTCAGTAATTTATGAAGCATTTTCTCTATGTGTTCTCGTAAGATAGTTAAATCTCGACGTTATTTTTTCAAACAATTTCTAAGAATCGGTCAACCCATCCCATATCTACATGAATATTACTCAACCTAACTCACGTTTAATGCGAAACGAGCATGAAACTTGAGTTACACACCCCACCCATTCCTATCCCGTTTCATTGCCATCGCTACTCCGACTCGATGCCGGACCGATTGGGAATTGAGAGTTACCGAACCCGCCTTATTCCCAACCGCCCAAGATCGACCCTGAAACTCAACCGACCGGCTCAACCAGCTCCTCCCTCTTCAGTCTTCCCCCTTCCCTTTTAACCTCCCCGCCAATATTTTCCCCTTTCCCTTCTTCAAACTCCAGGTCCAGCTGCCAATTCAATCAGTGTCCGATCAAATGAAACAAAATACCAGGTCGACAAATTGAACAGCCTTCTCGTACTTCAGATTCACCCTCACCGGCCGCCGTAGGAAGCTGACGGGATCTGCTACTGCTTTTCCACTTGCAGAGGGAGTCAACGCATCGGCAAATTCAGATTTCGCAGCTCCAAATTGACAGCGGGGGAGTAATATGGAGTCTCAAGGGCAACGTGGAAGTGGGAGCAACAGGCGCGTCGGAAGGTACGAGCTCGGGAAGACGCTTGGGGAAGGAGCTTTCTCAAAGGTCAAGCTTGCCAGGAACACCGAGACTGGGGAGACCGTTGCCATCAAGATCCTCGACAAGGGCAGGCTCCTCAAATATAAGATGATCGCTCAGATTAAGCGAGAAATATCAACCATGAAGCAAATTCGACACCCAAATGTCATCCGTATGCATGAGGTAGGAAATTAGAGCCCATTTTCTCTCTTTGTTCTGACAGGTGGGAGGATTGGACTTGAAGGGTGAATTGGGTTTTTTTCCCTGTGACTTTTGGTCTTAGTTATCTTTCTCATTCCATCATAGCTCAAAAGAGAATTTGTCTGGTTCTTGGGATTTCCTTTGGGATCTTTGTAAGTGCGAGCTAGTTCCTTTTTTTTTTTTTTATCAACTGTCTGTGGTAATGTGCTGCAGCTCTTCTGCTTCAGGTGATGGTAAGCAAGGAAAGGATATATATAGTCATGGAGTTTGTGGCTGGTGGTGAGCTTTTCGACAAAGTTGTATGTTGCCTATAATCTTGACTTTGCTATTTTGCGCAAATGACGAGCAGAGTGCATAAGGAGTTAAGGGCTCAATACATGACTATTCTCTTGTTTGTTTCTTGAATCAGGCAAGAGGGAGGCTGAAAGAAGCTGCAGCAAGGAGGTATTTTCAGCAGCTTATAAATGCAGTCGATTATTGCCACACTAGAGGTGTGTATCATCGAGACCTAAAGGTACTAGAGCCCTTGATTTTCTTTTGTCACGTGACGTATGTTTTCTGCTTCAAGTTTTCTTAACAAATCTTTTCTTGATGAATGTGTTGTCCCATATCGTTTATCAGCTTGAGAATCTGCTTCTAGATGGTTCTCGAGTACTTAAAGTTGCGGACTTTGGACTTAGTGCATTGCCTCAGCAGCTTAGGGTGAGTAAGGATGAGTTCATGGTCAAGTTAGAATTTTCTCACAAATTCATATTATATCATGAAGCTGCAAACTTCTCTGAACTGATAGTTTCCTCTTCGTCCACTAGGGGGATGGGTTACTTCACACAATGTGTGGCACCCCGACTTATATTGCTCCAGAGGTACATTAGATACGTTGCCATTATATTCATTTCCTAGCCCGTAAATGCTTTGTTCTCGTTCTCTTAGTGTGCACTTCTCCAGGTAATCTCCAGGAAGGGTTATGATGGAGCCAAAGCAGATGTATGGTCTTGTGGTGTGATTCTTTTTGTCCTGATGGCTGGCTACATGCCTTTTCATGATTCGAACATATTGGCGATGTACAGAAAGGTTTGATTTCTTTCTTTCTTGCAGAAACTAATGGCTGTGTATATATGGTGTGCTTTTGTTTAACATAGGTTATTTGTAGATACAGGTCAACTGAGGCCACTCTCGCTTGCTGTACATTGATATAAAGTTCTAGGGTCTTACTAACTGTTATGATCTGTTACTTTGGATGCAATCATCCTTTGTCCATGTTTTGACCTGATAATATCTGATTGCAGATTTGTAAAGCTGATTATTCATGTCCTCCTTGTTTCTCCACCAGTGGAAAGGAACTCATTAAAAGGATATTGGATCCCGATCCAGCTACTGTACGACGTGGTCAATTTCGTTTGGCTCTCATTTGATATTAATTGCACCACATTTAGTGAATTTATGTATTATTGTTATGATGATGAAACAGCGAATCAGTATTGCCGAGATTATTGAAAATGAATGGTTTAAGAAAGACTACGAGCCACCTGTTTTTGAACATGCTGACATTAGCCTTGATGATGTGGACTCCTTCTTCAATGATTCAGCAGTAAGGTTCTCAGATTCCACACCCTGCCTCATGCGCACATGATCTAATAGGTTATAGCACATTTTTTGAAGTTGAAATTGATATTTCTTTTAATGGACAGGACACTCGGAATCTCGTTGTGGCTCCTATGGATCCTTCTGAACTGATCACTACATCTCGGAGTCTCAATCTCAGTAGTCCATTCCAGAGGCAGATGGTATGATTTAATAGGCCCTGCTCATACATTGTCATGAAACAGATCCCTCAACTTTAAGCCATATCAAACCTCATTGTGGTTCCTTTCTCTGTGTTCTTGCTTCGTAATTAGCATCATCCTTCAGATGATATGCCTGGTTTAGTAAGATCATTTGTCCTAGATAGCTTTATCAGCTTTGAGTTGATCTCATTGTTGGGCAATCATAATGTAGCTAGCGTATAGATTTTTGGGTGTTGTTTACGACCTTTTAAGTTGTTGATTAATAGCATGGAGCAAAATCGAATTTATTCTTCCTTTTGTGAGCAGGGACTTGATAAACGTGAAACTGGATCTGCATCAGAAAGAACTGCTAGTGACATAATGTCACAAATTGAAGCAGCAGCAACATCTCTGCGTTTTCACGTGAAGAAGAATAACTTGAAGGTTTAATCTTCTCTCGCTGTCTCTATGGAATTTTCAAAAGACATTAGTATTTCCCAAAATTTTAACGGCTCATCTGTTCTACAACCTAGATGACTCTTCAAGGAGAGAAGACAGGACCTAAAGGTCACCTGTCAATTGCAGCTGAAGTAAGTTCAAGCCTTCTTTCAGTTCTGTTATTGGATCCTGACCTTAGTTGTACGAGGGCATTTACCCATGTCTTCCATTCAGATCTTTGAGGTGGCTCCTTCTCAATACACGGTCGAGCTTCGCAAGTCTGGTGGCGACGCCCTGCAATTTCACAAGGTATTTGATTGTGTTCCGTTCGCACAATAGACGACACAGGTGTCGTCTGTCAATTTGACAGGAGGAGGGCACTTGGCATGCTAAATCACTGGCTTCAGCCTTCTGCATTGTTTGCCATCTGCGGAGAAACTAGTATCAGCTTTTTGTGGGGTCTCTGGTCTTTATTCTATTTAGCGAAAGACCTGGGTGATCTGAGTTTCCATGACAGCCTCAGTCGGAGTTTGATGTTTGCTTAAGAGTTTCAGTAGGTTGGTCACCACATTGTTCATTTTTGTTTCTGGTGCAGTTTTACAAGACCATCTCGACTGGCCTGAAGGGTGTTGTTTGGAGAACAGTGGATGAAGTGAAGGAAGAAGGGAACGTATAGGTTGGAAGCACTAGTTGAAAAGGTGTGCAATATGACACTACTCTCTCCCTTTCCTCTGCAAGTGTGGATCCTCACCAACCCATGATGAAGATCAACTCGAGGTTCCTCATTTTCATTCCACTATCAGTATGAAAGCCTCCACAATGAACTGTATAATCCATTTCCGAATCAGACCGACCATTCGTTTCGACCGAAAGATCAAGAATCAGAAGGATACTTTACACTGCAAGCTTAGATAACAATGGATGGAATGGAACCCTGGCATCAATAATATAGCTTCTATTCTTACACGCGAACATGCAATACAACCATAAAAAGAGAATCCAACTTCTAATGAGGGTATATTATCACCCGCCTTATCTAGCCTGACTGGTCAGTTGCATCATTGTTATCACTTAACAGGACAAAATTTCCACGATATGGTTTCGAAATCTTAGATCGTAAGGCAGCAGCAATAATGTTACTAATGTTCATCTTCCACCTCATCCCGAGAATCTGGTTGAAGATTCAAGATCTGGGAAACTACAAGCTTAGACAGCTCACTTATTGTGGCGTGAACATGGTCATCGTCCGAAGACTGTATGGGCCATACTGGAGATTGAGATCTTGACCTGTTGTACTCGATAGCAGCTACTCCTGTTCTTTTCGATGTAGCCAGAACTTTCTCCAGGTCTGCCTGGGTCATTGGACGTGGTTCCTGGATTAAGAAAGGAATTGTAAGAAATCTCTGTGAAGACACTTGTTTCTACCAACAAATATAAAAGAAGTATCAACAAACATGTAGACCAGCTGGTCATCATGCCACTTGTTAATTTTGGTGAAAACAACCTAAAGAAATATAACAGAGGATAGATTATCAAAAGCAGTTCACTCGCCTGATGTTTCTTGCCCTTCTTCTCCTCATCTAGTAGGTCCCTGATAGGAAAATAAGCAGCCTTCTTGCAGAGTTCAAAAATATCAGAACCTGTGTAACCATCACAAAGACTCGCTATATAGTTGAAGTCGATGTTACGTTCAACACTCTCGTCCTTCAAAATCACCTTCAATATTTCAGCCCTCTCCCTGCAATCGGGCATTCCAATCTCAAAGGCCTGTGGAAGGCGTCGAAGTATTGCCTCATCGAGTTCAGATGGACGATTAGTAGCAGCTAGCACCATCACTCTTGCATTACCTACATTATATTTTGAACTCACAAAATTAGCAGGTCATCTAAGTGCCAGCAAAAGAATGAAACAGGCATAGTTGAAAAAATTGAATAGAAGCAACTCACTGTCTGTCGTGAAGCCATCCCACAAAGCCATGAACTCAGTCTTCATATTTGTCATTGCTTCCTGATCTGAAGTACGGCGCTGTCCCAGAAAACTGTCTACCTCATCAATGAATATGATAGCCGGCTGGAGTTTATAAGCAAGGCTAAACACAGCAGCAACTACAACAGAAATATTAATTGTTTTGTCTCAGTTCGACCAATCACTCAAGGGTTTAAGGGACTATAAAAAAGCAGATAATATGGCACACATGCAACCATGGATATGCACGGTGCATAAGAACCACCAGAGTTCCAAACTCACCGAGCTTTTGAGCATCACCAAACCACTTGCTCATCAGATTTGAAACCTTTACATTGATGAAAACAGCACCAGATTCTTTTCCAATAGCTTTAGCAAGCATCGTCTTTCCTGTACCTGGAGGTCCATATAACAATACCCCCTTCTGAGGACCCAGAAGCTTCCCGTGTGAAAAGAGTTCAGGCCTCCGAAGAGGAAGAATAACAAGTTCATATAATGCTTCTTTGATGCTGTGTAATCCGCCAATAGAATTGAATTCTACATCAATGCTATCAGGATTTATAACATCACAAGCTATCACATCCTGTCAAAATATCAGAGACAGAACGAAATCAGTATCAAGAAGCTTCCAATCCCACCCTGTTTCATTCAAGCGGAAAGAGATAGAGCCATTAAATTTTCCAAATCAAGCAAGGTGACATTCTAAAAGCTGGAAATATCTGAGCACTAGTTACAAGATTTTCACCATACAGTAATCACTGGCATTGATGATGCTGAATCTTGACAAATTTAGCTATCAGCAATTGAGGCTGGGGGCTCAAATTCTTTAGTGTAGATGAATTTCATCCTAAATACTGGCATCAAGGACAGAACTTCAACGACACTGATTAACAGAGACAAATCATCAACATCAAATTCAAGTATGCAATTGGGAACACTCAAACTGATTTCCAAATTACTCTCAAATTTCCAGTGCCATCAAAGTTCCCAAAATGAGAAAAGCATACAGCTCAATAAATCGCTCGCACAGAACCCCACACATTACCAAGAGCTGAGAAACTTCAGAAGAGCCGATAAGAGAAGTAAAAAAAGGCATGCTCAAAGCTACATTTATAAACCAGAGAAATAAACAAAACCCAGTAGTACTATGCAACCAGAAGAAAAATAAGAACAAAAAGCGAGATGATAAAGGGAGATGGAAGGCAGTCTCGAGCTGACCGACCTCGTAAGGATTGGTCTGTATAAGAGGACGACCCAGCCGCTTGGCGATTTCCTTCTTCTGTTCAAGGGATTTCTTCGCAGCATCCTTATTGGGGTCGAGATGGCGGAGCCCGGCGAACAGGACAAGACAGCTCAAGGCGGCGCTCGCTGCGTACAGCAGCAGCTCCTGCAAGACCTTGGTCTCCGATGAACCACCCATTGACGGGAAACCCAAAAAAAAAAAAAAAAACAACAACCACCGAGTGAATAAGAGGGAAAATTTCAAGGGTCCTGAAACTGTGATGAATCTCTTGGGGAGGTGGGTGGTGGGAACAGCAATTTGGTTTTTGAAGGATGAGATAGAGAAGAGGGAAGCCAAAGGGCAAAGGGGGGTTGGGGTTATTTCGATTGTTTCTGAAATTCGTTCCTTCTTCTTGGGGACGAAGAAACCAGAAACGGCGAGATGAAAGGAAACGCGCCGCCTTCTTCAGAAGGTTTCGCGGCGTTCTCTGTATTGGACTGTTCGCCTTCCTTCCCATTTTCCCCTGGTTGGGCCTCGGTTGGGTCGGTAAATTATCTGGCCCATTATACACTGTTACGGGCCGATGAATAAAGGCCCGAGTGAAAAGGGAATGACTGCCTCTAAAAAGGCTGATCAGCAAGAAAAATGTGATAGATAAACGGAATCGTTGTTCGTTGCACCTAAAATTTAAATTTTGTTGCGCCCTAAAATGCACAAAATTGATAAGTTTAACCTTAGTGCCAATTCCAACCTAAACCCTAAGCAAAAAAAAAAAAATCTCTCTTACCACCTGCCCAGTCGTCGTTGCCGAGCTCCTCAGTCCTCTGACCGCTGCTGCCATTGCCGGATTCTTATCTCCGGCGCTGTCCTACATCAGCCCGACTGTCGCTGATGCTCCTTTTCTACCGCCGGAGTTTGATCCCGAATAGGAAGAAGAACGAAGAAGAAAACGTGATTAGTATGTGTATTATTTTGGGTTAAAGACACATTTGGTCACTGAGATTACAAAATCGGGACATGTTTAGTCACTAGAAAAAGTTAATATCAAATTTGGTCACTACAATTACTAAAACTGGACACGTTTACTCACTCGCAGTTAGTCTCCGTCCAACTCCGTTAATGAAGTCCGTTAAGTGCTGATGTGGCAAACAGAATTGCCTAATCAGCCGGATATAACCCAACAAAAATAAAACCCGACCCGCCACGTCATTAAAACCAACCCAACCCAACCCATGACCCAACCCCACCAAACCCTTCTTCCTCCTTCCTCCCACCTCCTTCTTTCCCGAAAACCACCACCGCCGCTCTCCTCCTTCCTCTCACCTCCTACCGCAAACCTATTCGACCTAACCCAGCAGACCAATCCTCCTTTGTTCTTCTCTCTCTTTGAGTCGCCTCTAATTCCTCGCCGATTTTATTCGATCCGTCGTACGCCGGCGCCGGCGTTTTAGTCCCCGACAATCACTCTCTCACATATCTGCTGCGTTGCGTCGCTTTCAGGTATGCCGTTTGTTGTTTGGCTTCCGCGAAATCACTACCAGCCAGAGAATATTTTTTAAATACAAAAAAGTAGAATCTCATGCGCTGAGCAGCAGTTTCTCGATGCTCTATTTGCTTTGATTCGTAGCTGTTTCGGGGGAAAGGTCTCCAATTGTCGATCATCTCAATTCGAAGTTGAAGCCATGGCTTCGCTTGTTTGATTGGATTTGCTTCTTTGTTTGTTTTGCTGTTTTCTTGAATGGTAGAGTACCGCGAGTGCATTTCGATCAATACATGATATCTTTTGACAAAAAAAAAAAAAAGAAGAGTACGGCGAGTGCAGAAGCGGCGCCATTGATGGAACCTTTTCGTTGGTGAAGGATTGGTCTGTTGGGTTAGGTCGAACAGGTTTGCGGGAGGAGGTGGGAGGAAGGAGGAGAGCGGCGGCGGCTGTGGTTTTGGGGAAAGGAGGTGGGAGGTGTCGAGGTGGGAGGAAGGAGGAAGAAGGATTAGGTGGGGTTGGGTTGGGTCGGGTTGGTTTTAATGATGTGGCGGGTTATAATGACGTGGCGGGTCGGGTTTTATTTTTGTTGGGTTATATCCGGCTGATTAGGCAATTCTGTTTGCCACATCAGCACTTAACGGACTTCATTAACGGAGTTGGACGGAGACTAACTGCGAGTGAGTAAACGTGTCCAGTTTTAGTAATTGTAGTGACCAAATTTGATATTAACTTTTTCTAGTGACTAAACATGTCCCGATTTTGTAATTTCAGTGACCCAATGTGTCTTTAACCTGTATTATTTTAGTGAAGTGTACGTGTGTGTTTAGGAGTGTAGTAGAGAGAGAGAGCCAGCCAGCCCATTAAAGGCCCATGCAGAGACACATGCACGGCCCACGTGTGTTAGAGTTGGGACTTGGGACTTGGGACTTGGGAGGCATGTGTTTGGATTTCACTACCCTCTGTTTCCGAAGGAAGGGAGGAAAAGGAGGGGAGGTGGAGGAAAATTAGGAGGGGAGGGGAGATTTGGAGGTGAAGAAAATTGGGAGGAAAATGTTGTTTTATGGAGGAAAGTGGAAAGGAAAGTATGTATTGAAAAGTGTGATGAATAAGTTATTTTATTGATTATGTAATATTAAAATAATTTGATTGTATATTAATATTCTACTTATTGTACAAAATGAGAGTTTTAAACACATAATAAAATACACAGTGAATTTGTAGTTTGTGATTTATGTCATTTGGGTTTTTTCCATAATATTGTCTTAAAAAAAAATTACTCAAACTACTGTATATCTTAAAATAATTCCAAATTTACAGTCCTATATACAATTAGCTTCAAAAAGGGGTAAAAATGAATTGAGACGTATCATCCTTTCCTATCTAAATACACAACCCTAATTCCTCCCCTTTTCCTTATTTCCTTCCTTCCATCTTCGTTCCTGTTTCTCAAAAAAAAAAAAAAAAACCCCATTTCCTTGTTCCTCCGCCAAAAAATGACCCCATTTTTCGACCACTCCTTTCTCATCCTCACCCAGAAACGACCCCTCTTTCTCATATCACCCACATCCGACGACGAGGCGGAGAGATCCGGCGACGAGATTCGGTGACGATGGAGGAGAGATCGAGAGGCGGCAACTGACAAAACGATTTGTTCCGTTCTTATTTCTTTCTGCATGTACAAAGAAGATCCCTTTTCTCCCACCCTATCTTCTTCCTCTCCCTCTCTCGGCCTACAAAACGATTTGGGTAAACCCAATCCAAAAAATAAAGCATCGATTCTGGTAAGATCAAGGCATGCATGTATCTTTTATTTTATTTTTTGTATTTTTCTTGATTTTAATTGAATTTAGTTGTTTTGGGGTCTTGATTACAGATGAAAGGAGATAACCAGAAATGGCCGTCGACATCCTTGCCGACGATCGACGGTGGGACAACATAGTAGATTCAACTGGAATATGTTTTTTCTGGGTTCGTTTTTATTCTGTTTTTCACTTTCAATTGGTTTCCAATTATTTTCTTCCTTTTGCAGGTGAGGAGTTTCTGTGTTTTGTGAAAAGAAGAACAAAGAAGGAATGGGGAAAAAAAGAACGAAGAAGAAAGATAAAAGAGAGATGATGCAAATAAAAAAAATAAAAAACTAAGCCCACTCAGCGCTTTCCCTCCGATTTGGAGGGTAGGGTAAAACAGTGTTTTTTCCCTCCCATTTTCTTTCCTCGCGCACTGTTCCTCCCTTCGGAAACGGAGGAAAATGTTTGGGAATTTCAACTTTCCTTCGCCTTTTTCCCTTCCCCTCCTTTTCCACTCTTAAAAAACAGAGGGTATATGTTTACTGTTTAGCTTATATACAACTTTTATTTTGGTCAATGTTATTACCCATATGTTGTTAGATGAGATTTGATATAAATTATAATAAGTATGAATAATATAACAATTTTTTTCATATATTTGGCCTAAGATGAATGAACTGTTAATACTCAACGCACTTACTCGATCGGGGCAACGGATTAAACCGAGTTGAAAACCTTAATGAAGGTGAGTATTTATAGTCCACTCGGTGGTGGTTCAAACATTGAATGTCATGTTAGGCGATCTCGAGACGTCCAATCAAGCGATTATACCTCCGACGACATTTTACATATACAAATATACACTATATGAGCAATAGTGAGCTTTATATTTTAAGAGTCTAAAAGGGATGAACGTTAACTCTTGAGTGGTTATGCAAAGTATTAAGTATGTGTATATAATATATGTTAGATATATGACTAGTTACTTAACTGGTTAGTTTGGTTTGACTGGTTAGGAGTGTCTTAAACCAAACCAAACAAATTAAAAACTTTAACCAAACCAAACCAAACCAATTATTCAAATTAACCAAACCAAATTATCCAAATAGTACTGGTTAAAACGGTTACCACGGTAACCAAACCGTTTGAACACCACTACTAAAATTGGCAAAAACGTTGAGAATTCGACAAAGAAGATCCGATTTCTGTAGACTCGAGATGGAGCCACTCTGTTTTCTCTCTGGGTTGGCACAACATCACTATCCCGTTTTCATTCCGAAACAAACCCATCGGGCAATCATCTGTTGTGGGTTTTTTTTTCCTGTCGCGGCCATCATCCGCCATAGCCAACGTTGCAGATAGCAGGAGTTAGAATTTAGAAAGGAGGAGTCAACGAAGGGGAGAGAGAGAGAGAGAGGGAGAATTGCCAGGTGGGTAGATTCACCGCCAGCCATAGTTGGTAATGGGCATTCAATTCTCGGATTTAGTGTGTAGTGCTACTAAAAGCTAGTACTGCATTTTTTTCCCACTGTCCGTTAAGTTTGGCTAACTCTGTACTGCCAAACAACTTTTGCAGTACAACATTGATGATGGTCAGTTGGTCACTAATCTCAGTAATCTGCTTTTTTTCTGGACTGTGGCCGCTTAATGCTTCGCTTTGGTGGATTGGTTGGAAATCGACGTTTGACAATCGCCTCCTTCTTCCCCCTCCCACCCTTCTCTGTTCCTTTTCTGATGATTCTAGTTCTTTATAAATTCGAGATGTCTCTGTTCCAGTTTTGATGACATCCCCACACGCCCACCTCCTCTGCCTGTCGGGTATATAAATCACCATCTCCAGATTCCTTCAGTCTTTCTGTGTTCACGACATTTAGCTCGGAATTCAATGCTTTTGTAGTGAAGGGTCGCCGCAAAGAAGAGCTGAATCAGCGCAAGTCTTGGTCTTTCTTCCTTGTGATAGTTGATTACATCAAGTTGGAATGGTTTTGGCTGTTTTCAAAATAAGGCCAAGAATATAACAGACAGGATAGGAGTAGGGAAGAAAAATCCAAGCCAGGAAGAAAACGAAAGCTGGATTCTTGATTTGGGTAATGCACTACTACACCTCCATGTTACTTGCGGTTGATTGGTCTGAAAGAAGAAAACAAAAGAGTGAAACAGAATTGGGTCTGATTTCGCTGTCAACTGATTATTGATTGTTTGTGTGTACTATACAGGCAAAGAGAAGAAGTGAGGGAGCTAGCAGTCCTCTGAGCAATGAGTCAAGTGGGGGATATGGGCAGTAATGGGGAGGAAATGAAGGAGATTCAAAGGCGGGAAACAGATGAAGTAAGTGAGAACATTATGGGTAAAGACAAAGTTGAGGTTGCTGCTGCTGCATCAGCAGTAGGGGAGGAAGAAGAGGAAGTGAAGAGGGTTGTTCCCTGGACGAAACAGATCACGATCAGAGGGATGGTGGCCAGCCTTGCAATTGGGTTTATTTACAGCGTGATTGTGATGAAGCTGAACCTCACAACTGGGTTAGTCCCAAACTTCAATGTCTCAGCAGCTCTGCTTGCGTTTGTGTTTGTGAAGTCGTGGACCAAGTTCCTGAAGAAAGCTGGGTTTGTCTCCAAACCCTTTACAAGACAGGAGAACACATTGATTCAGACCTGTGCTGTTGCTTGTTACAGCATTTCTCTTGCAGGTTAGAGCCTTGAACAGGTTAAAGTGTTTTTTTTTTTTTCCTTTTTCTTTTTGGTGTATGTGTGAAGGTAAACTGACCTTAAATTGTTGGACTACAGGTGGGTTTGGGTCTTATCTTTTGGGTTTGAATAGGAAGACCTATGAGCAAGCTGGGGTTAACTCGGAGGGCAATAATCCTAGGAGTGTAAAGGAACCTGGGATTGGCTGGATGACTGGTTTCCTCTTTATAAGCAGCTTTGTTGGGTTACTTGCTCTAGTTCCCCTAAGGAAGGTAAAGGTTCTTACTTGTGATACTTATGTATTAGACTGTTGTTCTGTGCTAGAGATGGATGCACATCATTGAAATTTGTATATGCAAATTGTGCAAGCTTTGATTCATATTGGTGTTGTACTTATCAAGATTGAAACTTTTTTGGTTTTAGATCATGATAATCGACTACAAACTGACATATCCGAGTGGAACTGCTACTGCAGTTCTTATTAATGGATTTCATACACCTAAGGGAGACAAGATGGCCAAGTACGTATTGTTGTTCCCACTTGTTTGACACAGAACTGAGTTTGTTCCGTGTTTGAAGCCAACTCAAATTCCAGTAGTGTGATTCTGGTGGTGCAGGAAGCAGGTTCAAGGGTTCTTGAGGTTCTTTTCTTTGAGCTTTATTTGGGCTTTCTTTCAATGGTTCTACACCGGTGCACCCAAATCCGAAATCAATTGTGGTTTTGTTCAGTTCCCCACCCTCGGATTGGTTGCTTTTAAGAACACGTTAGTGCTTTCTTCATTTTAACCTCCAATCCTTCATCATTGTTCTACAGGTACCAAATGTGACCAATAGCTTTTTTGCAGGTTTTACTTTGATTTTAGCTCGACATACATTGGAGCAGGAATGATTTGCTCTCATCTTGTTAATTTGTCGTTGCTCTTTGGCGCCGTGCTTTCTTATGGTGTGATGTGGCCACTGATCGGGAGACTCGAAGGAAAGTGGTTTCCTTCAGGATTGCCAAAAAGTAGTATGAAGGGCCCCAATGGTTACAAGGTCCTTACATGCTACTGTCCATTTCCCTCCCTAAAGTGGAAGATTGCTAGACTAAGCCATGGAAATTGACTTCTCTCTTATCCTTTTCATTTCAGGTGTTCATTTCTATTGCTATGATACTGGGAGACGGGCTGTACAATTTCCTCAAGATACTCTATTTCACAGCTACCAGCATTGTTACAAGTGCAAGAACAAGAAGAAATGTCCGAACCCGTAAGTGAAACTTGTTCAAAATGTCGATTACATGACACAAAGTCAATGAAAGTTCAGAACTTCATGCTCAAGTTCAGTGCTTAATGTGCCTCACAGGTCCTGAGAATCAGAACCAACCTCCAATCGATGACCTCCGAAGAAATGAAATATTTGTGAGGGAGACAATTCCAATTTGGGTAGCCTGCGTAGGATATCTTGCCTTCTCCATCATCTCCATCATAGTGATCCCTCTCATGTTCCCCGAACTCAAATGGTACTACGTTGTGGTTGCCTACGTTCTCGCCCCTTCCCTCAGCTTCTGCAATGCATATGGTGCAGGGCTAACAGACATGAACATGGGCTACAACTACGGCAAAGTAGCCCTCTTCATCCTAGCAGCAATATCAGGGAAGGAAAATGGCGTCGTTGCAGGGCTCGTAGGGTGTGGGCTTATCAAGTCAATCGTCTCCATCTCTTCAGATCTGATGCATGATTTCAAGACAGGTCATCTCACTCTAACATCCCCCCGTTCCATGCTTCTCAGCCAAGCAATTGGCACAGCCATTGGTTGTGTCGTAGCTCCACTCACGTTCTTCATATTCTACAAGGCATTCGATGTTGGAAACCTTGAAGGCGAGTACAAGGCCCCCTTTGCTATCATCTACAGGAACATGGCGATTCTTGGAGTGGAAGGCTTTTCCGCCCTTCCCAAGCACTGTCTGCAGTTATGTTATGGGTTCTTCGCGTTTGCCATAGCGGCCAACCTGTCGAGAGACTTGTTGCCGAAGAAAGTGGGGAAGTGGGTTCCATTGCCCATGGCAATGGCTGTGCCTTTCTTCGTCGGGGCGTACTTCGCGATTGATATGTGTGTGGGGAGCTTGGTTGTTTTCGTGTGGCACAAGTTGGACAGCAGGAAAGCTAGGTTGATGGTTCCAGCAGTGGCTTCTGGGTTGATATGTGGAGATGGGTTGTGGATTCTGCCTGCTTCGATTCTTGCATTGGCTAAAGTGACTCCCCCGATTTGTATGGGCTTCATGGCTAGCAAATAGGGGTTTTGGAGATATGGGAAGGAAGTGAATTGTGAGGGATATGAAAGGTTGAGCTGGTGATTTAGTTGTAATGAGAAGGTAGAGGGTCAGGTGAAAATAGGATCTTTATATAGATAAAGATTGAGCTTTGAGCAGTTAGGGTGCATAGTCATAGCATGCTTGAGGTTTTCTTACCAGAACTGGTGAAAATATTGAGTTATTAGAAGAAGAAAAATGTATGAAGTTTGAAAGTTGATACAGAGAGCTCTACAGGGTTCAATTCTGATGCCTGGATTCTGTTCTTATGTTGATTATCAACTTTGACCATATCGCTTGCTCTGTGTTTGACAAGGAGCAAATGGAAGAGCTTAGCCGGCAATTAAAAATTGCTGTAGTTCACAGGCAACGGGCACATTGTCTTATTTCCAAGGAGTGTGAATATTATACTTCCATCAAAAAGACATTGTATTTCCAAGGAGTGACAAATCAATGACCATATCCATTGGGAACCCAAATTGCAAATGTAAGATGGATTGTTGTCACCAATGTTTTAGGTCAAAGCACACTTATTTTTTAATACTAATTGTTGTTCTAACTGATTACAAACGTGTAAGTTGTAACACATACGTTATGTAATTATATTCGGAAATCATTTGACTTTATAATAGACATCGGATAAAGATTATACATCATAATTCTAAGGTGTATAACTTAAAATATAAGGATAGGTAATGGATCGGCACGCTTCTAACTCACACAGTTACGTTAGTGATGAGTGATGTAAAAAGCACGCGGAGTGACTTAAACTTTGGAGAGCTCGACATCCAATAATCCAGTAGACCGGTACCCATAATCTTCATCCATATGAATAGACCTATGCATTACCAACACTAACAGCATAAAATTTGGAGACTTGTATGTAGCTCAAACGGTAGAGTGCTCGATTGTCATGCTTCCAACAATTTTTGGAGTTTCGGCCAACCGGTAAAGCCGGTCAATAAATGGCAACCTAGCCGGTCCCCACCATCTAACCGGCCGGCCAACCAACCACGCAACTACTACCGAACCAAACCGGTTACTTAATTTCCTCTTTCATTATACCCAAGATTGCCCCCTCATTCCTGTGGGCCGTCTGGGCGGCTAACCAAGGGCATCTCGTAAATAAAGTCAAACGTGAAGGGCATTTTGTCGGTTTCCCCAAAGCATGCCACATCCCTTCTTGCTTATAAAAACCACAGAATCTGCCGGCCACGCTCTCCCACCGATACGTCGGCAGACGTGGACAAAGAAACTGCTGCAGCGGAGAAAGCGGGCGAGGGAAGGAAAGAGCAACAGTCAATTGAGCCGGGCGAGGGACACTCCACCTCGCCACCAACTCTCTTTGATTCTGCATCTCGTGTCTCAGGGGTAATTCAACAACCCTTTTGAAGTTTTTGCTTTGTTTTGAATTCCAGCTGTTCTGGATTGTGTGATGGTAGTGTTTGTTTGGATGATTCTGCTGGATCGTTGTTTTTGGATCCCAATCTGGAGACTTTCCGTTATAAACTGGTCTGGGTTCTGATTAGTTTCATTGGGTTTTTTTGTGTTCAGTGCTGGTGAGGAAGTCAACAGGGATTTAGCTATGGCGTCAGATCCGAAGAAGGTTTATGGGTTCGAGGAGGTTTCTGGGCACAACAAGACCAAAGATTGCTGGCTTATTATCTCCGGCAAGGTAAGTTCTTTCCTTCTGATCTGAAACTTGTTCTTTGAATTGGTGTTGCCTGTTATCTGGGGGTTAGAACTGTTCTGTTCCTCTTAACCCCTTTTGGTTCATTGCTGAGAATATCTGCTATCTGATGTAAAGTGATAGACTTTGATGAATCTGACTGGTACCACTTCGCTTGTCTGTTCAAATATCAAACATCCCTACGGTTTCTTATGCTCGTCTGACGTTTCTTTAAAGTTCTGTTACCTTCAAAGTTGTGTTGATGAACGAGGCTATGGTGTGCCCAGCTTAATGAATTCCTTTCACGTATCATGAAACTCTCATCACGGATCACCGAACTTGTTCCTACCTCAGAAATGGCATTGAATGTCCAATGGTTATGAGTTATGACTTATGACTAGCTGTCCTGATTTGTATGATTAGGGATGTCCTTTGAGGTTACAACTACAAGCAGCTTTGAGAAAATTCTGGAGAGGCACTTTGTGTTTTGTGTTCGTTTTTTATTTCTCCTTGGATCCTATGAGCTATAGGAAGTTGGCATACTTTTCATGCTTATCCTGAGGGAATTAATGTTAATCAGTATGATGGAAAGAAAGACTACATGTGGATCCTGAATCCTAATCCTTTTTGTCGGACTTGATGATCTTTGGTGTGAATTTGGCAAAGGTTTGCTTGGCGAAAAAGAGATACTACTCTCGCATTACCATCAATGACAGGAATAAAGGATGGACCTGCTTTTGTTCTATGCCTTGTTCATGCTGTGTCGGGTTTCGTAGATGGTGGTGTGAAACATCAAACATGTCATCTGATGTTTGCTAATCTGTTAATCTTTAGGTCTATGATGTGACCCCATTCATGGAAGATCATCCTGGAGGAGATGAAGTTTTATTGTCGGCAACTGGTAAGTTGCATAATAACATAAGGGAATTGTTTTGCAGTTTGCTCCAGTTTTTCCAACTTGAAGTAGGACGGATAATCATATGACAAGGATTTTTTCTCTTTTCAGGGAAAGATGCAACAAACGATTTTGAGGATGTGGGGCACAGCGATTCGGCCAGGGAGATGATGGACAAATACTACATTGGCGAGATAGATGCAAACACAGTTCCTACGAAACGCAAGTATGTACCCCCACAGGAGTCATACAACCAGGACAAGACCTCCGAGTTTGTGATTAAGATATTGCAGTTTCTGGTTCCCCTCTTGATTTTGGGGCTGGCTTTTGCCGTCCGTAGCTACACCAAGAAGGAATAAAGGCTACTGCGCCACACCTTTGCTTGTGGATCCCCAACCCCTAGAATACTCAACTGTGGGACTCGAGAGTACTGGCATCTTTGTTTTAGCTTTCACTTGCATTATGTTTGTCAACATTTATACAAAATGTTTGTTTCGCAGTCAGTTCAGTGTCGATTGTTGCGTTTGCTGGACAGTCATGTAGCAAGGATTCTCGTACCTGCTCTTTCTTATTTTTCTAGGTAAGTGAGGGGTGATATGCACCTTGTAGACAGTCGAATGTCAATGCACGTCTTATGCACTGTTATCTGTACAAGATTCACACCTTCTAATTATGGGGAGTTCCTACAATAGAAGAGATTCCTAGAGACTTGTCATTTGTGGCCTCATGTCCAATGTCATTTGAGTTGGTATAGAAAGTGTTGTCAATCTCTGCATTGGACTTGTAAGAAAGGAGCATTTGATGCTTGAACACATTTTGATTTCATTACAAGGAAAGTTGGCCTGGTACTGGTGTACCATAAAAAAACAGAGGCCCTAGACCCCATGGAAAAGCACATTGGTCAACAGAACATGCCATCTTATTTTCCATTTATGCACAGCTTTCATCGACCATCTCAAATCTTCTTAGCATTCCTTTCTCTTCATCCTCCAGTTGCCAAACCTACAAAGTACAAACCTAATAGCTACTTCTCTTCTCTAGATAGACTCATAACGCTCACAATGTTTAATTCGAACAGGATGAACATGAACATATTTTCTGCAGAATAAAGCTTCTTCAATCAAGGAGTGCACATCCTATTCTCCTCCGACCATATTTGCGCTTCAAGGTGACCCTTGGTCGAGTTTGGTTGAACTTATACATGCAGTAAGCCCAGACTCGCAACGAACGAGCTGTGGGGAAAGTATCAAATTGTCTTTGAATGATCAAACAGTTAAAGAGGGGAATAATGTAGGATGTTCCACATCTTTAACCTATCATAGGCATGTAGTTCTCACCTTCACTTTGCCTTAGCTCACCTTAGTTCTAGCCTCTCTTCCTCCGCACACCTGCCAGAGAGTGTTCCTCTCTAGATTACAAGAGTGATCTCAAATTCAACCCAAAGATCAAATTGCAATCGAACACAAATTCAGTTGTCGGTTATCATAAAACTTCACTTATACTCTAACAAATAATATGCATCCCAGCAGCCGTGTTCTTTCTGTAATATTGAAGGGGGTGAAACAATTGGGAATTTAGCAATCAGTGTGTTTGTATTCATAGTCCAGTAGTACATAATGTTATCTTCTAGAATAGCCCCAAGTACAAGATCATACTGGCTCGGAATGCAGGCTATGTCTACTTTCAAACATTAGAAAGCAGCAGGGACACATTCCATGAACAACCTCCGCATCAAATATCGTAGTGCGGGTTTCTTTTTCAAGCATCGCATGCAACTGCTATAAAAACATGCTCGAAAGGACATCAGGAACCAGCCAAGAGCATTTCCAGCCTTCTGGATTCCATGCAGAGGTTTAGACGATCCTTTGAAAGAACTTCAGAAAAGAAAAGCAAATAAATCAGTGGAGCAACCAAAGTCCAGGAAGCAGCAGCAGCATCTCAGCTAGAATCATGACTCGATCTTCTCATGCAAGTTGACCACCAAGTTATGTGCATCATCCAAAAGCTTCCACACATCAAGTTGACCCGACATGCTATTGCACTCCCTCAGAATCTCATCCATACTGCTGTACTTCTCAATTATCAACTTCCTCTTCTGCAGCACAGAAGCTGCGATAGCATATAGCAACAGATCATCCGTCGGGGGCACTCTCTGCCTAATTCTGCTCCCTGCTGAATTCCCGATCCCAGCTCTGATAGCCGCCTGATCTGCCCACATCACCTCCCACAGACAAAGGGTCTGCTCAAAACTCAACTCCCTCCTAAATAACACCACAACCATCCTATAAACAAAGAAACAATCCTCAGCCTGAAGCTTCTCTAGATGCCTGTAGAGGTGTGAGTCCTTGAATTTGATAATCTTGGAAACAATGCTCAGCTGCCTTCGGATGCCTACCTCATCTAGTCTAAAGTTATGTCGAGCCTTCTTCATGAACCCGACAAAACACCAGAAGGCTTCGTGATCTTCTTGCATCACTGCAATGATTGGGCTAAGTAGATCGCTCATTCCTTGGCAGTAACCAATTTCAGGGTCGTAGAGTGCATAGGCCTCTAATATGGCAACTAGTCTTGCTGCATGGAAAACTCTGCATGGCTCAAGGTGATCGTGTTCTTTTAATCCGACTGCCTCAGCTGAGCATTGGGCTCTGACTTCAGATATGGAAGCCTGAGAAGGAGAGTAAGGGACCCACTCTGAGTTGGCACGCACTGCATCAACACGAATTATTCGTTGCCAGGTGGTGAAATCTTCAACAGCACGCCGAGTTGGAAGTGATGGAGAAGTATCTTCTTTGGAGGAAACATTCGCATCATCGTTCTCTTCTATGTTTTCTGGAGCAGATGCCTGAATGACTTCAGAATCTTCAGACAATTCAGAGTCATCAGACGACTCTGTATTTTGTGCAGAGGCATCAGCACCTTCAGAAAGTGTGGTACATGGATCATCTAAATATTCAACATCTGGACTCTTTCCTTCACTAGAAAGAGACTCCCGGGCACTGACAACGTCCTCATGACTCGAAGAGTCAGTATCATGAGCAGAACTTCCACCATCTTCTCCGTTGTCAACTGTTTCATCATTTTCACCCAATTTTAAGTTCTCGGTACTTCGCCTAAGGAGTCGACGGCACTGTCTCCTAAGTTTCTCATACTCTTTCCTGCACCAGATTATCAAGAAATAATCATGCGACCATACCAATAACCAGATAACAGAAGCTATGAGTGGAGGCTATGAATGAAGAATGAAGCAAAGTGCTGACAACATCTCAAGGAATCAAGATCCAGCTTTCAAGTTTCATTTTAGCTTTGAATTCGTTTGAGCATACCTTTTCTGGGTTCTTAGGAGCTCCCTTTCCTCTTTAGTACTGCTCAAGTCATAGCTGTTAAAGTAGGAGCAAAATTGTGAGTTAGGGAAGAATAATCAAATACTAATTAGTCTACAACTTACCACTGACTAACATTACAAAGAAGACTTAAATGAGATTAATGATTAATGCCCAAAAAGAAAGAGTTTGCCGCAATCATGGGTATGGCAAACACCTTTGCTATCTAGAACTAGATAATACTGCAAGTTGCACCAATTCTTTCCCGGACATCCCAAATACCTCCAGAATCAGAAAGATAAATGAGAAACATAAAGCTGTGACCGGCAATAAGCATGCTCCCCCAGAATTGGACCAGGCTGATCATAGGTGATCATGATGCAAGGAAAAAAGTGCACAAGGTTTTCTAACTAGTTTCAGGAGTGAAGAAGTAGGCAAAGTTGAGGCTTTACAAGGATTCTGGATAGAAGTAAGCACCTCCCTTTAGAGATTATTAAGGCTATTGGTCTAAACCAAATTAAGGTATGCAATGATCCAAAGATGGGTTGCTATTATATCCCCCAGATTTTAGGGATGCTTACAGCCTTCACTAAATTTATAATAATAAATGACATAACACATTCAAAGTATCTTACGGGATCATAAAAGTATATAGAGATTGAAGAATAGTAGAAAGACAGGGACGGGAGATAGATAGGAATAACCATAGATATATACGAACAGCAAGATCATAAGCACGTCAGAGACACCAGGGTTATGAGGGCTTACACTCCCAACAGAAATGGCCAAACCTCTGGTCTGATACTTGGCTCAACACCCTGTGTCAAGAAACAAGAAGATATCAATATAACAGAAATGCAAGCTTAGCATTTTAGAGTAAGTGACGAATCTACTCACTCCACTTCGAACTTTCTTCAAAAACTTGGCTCCACCATCACGGAGTTTCCCATCTGGTGCAAATAAATTACTCCATTGTTGAGGAGTAAGGACATGTTTTCTTTTCCTACGGGACCATGGTGATTTGAGACGCCCCCTGAAATGGAAGAGAATTCTCAGTTAGTCACTATATCCCTCAAAATAAGAAGCTTGTACATGAAATGACACAGTAATTGTAACCATAGATATACACACGCCAGCCAGAAACCGGGTTTGAGAAATTGGGAAGTCCATCAAAAGCAGGAAACATACATTTACAAGCATTCACATCCAAGTCAAGAAAATACAACTTTTATTCTTTAACTCCTATAATACCCAGGTGGATGCAGCTTAAAGACACCGATGGAAAGGAGAAAACACAGAAGGAAGAACACAGAAAAGAGCAACATATCAAATGCCAAACTCAAGAAGGCATTACCTATCCACTTTAGGCTAAGACACTAGTACCTACTTCAGGCAATTACACATACACCAATCAGACAAGAACCCAAACAAATTACACAACAACGTCAAGTGTTTCACCCATCTCTAGAGTCCTAGGGAAGCGACTTCATTTTTTTAGGACCAAGCTAACCCCAAAAGCCGCTATTCAGTCTACTGGGAACAGCTAGAAATGGAAATGAGAAACTTCCTATGGAAACCCCATTACTAACAGTAACCCAACAGGGAATCGAAAGTTCTGAGTCTTAACGCTAAGAAGTGTCAAGGAGAAGAAACGAACCAACTTAAAGCAGCATCTAGAGCAACCTGGGGGCGGATCTAAAGAAAACCCTCAAGAATTGAGGAGAACAGAAAGAGAACCAGAGAGGAAGTGTTGGGATGAACGAAGAAAGGGGAACATTTGATGAAGCAAAAAGAAAATGGAAGGAAAGGGAAGTGGGACTCACCGATCGAAATGGGAGTGATGAGCTTGTGAGGAGGAATTAACAACGAATAGGACCGAACGCAAGTGAATCCAGGAGGAGGAGGAGGAAGACGAGGTGGTGGAGGACGATGATCCTGAACCAGACGACGACGGAGAAGTAGTATCTGAAGACGCCGACGAAGTATGACTTCGTCTCAGAGCTTTCATCTACCTAAATATATAACTGAAATCTGGTTTTCTCTTTTTATCCCCCTTTCCCTTTCCTTTTCCCCCCTTCTACAAACGTCAGTTTTCTGAAACTACCCAACTAACAATCACAATCTAAAACCCTAGAAAGTTACAATCTACAACCACAACAACAAGAAGTGAAGTAAGAAAGAGAAAAAGGATCCGAGTCCTCTCTGCCGGCTGTGTTTTCAGGGGAGATGGAATCTGGGTTTTTTTAGGAGGGGGATTTACCTATTAGTGGTGTAGAAGATGGCGGCAAAGACGGCGATTCCGGCCAAGGCAGTGACGGCTACAACAGCAGCAGGTGAGGAAGCAGAGTGGGACCCACCCGCCGTCGTCAGCGCCCAGGAGAACCGGCCGCCACCGCCACCGGCAGTCCCGCCGTTGCCGGAGATGTGGAGGAATGCTTTGAGGCTGAGGAAGTTGGGGATGGGAGTGAACATTGAGGGGGTGTGAACAACAAAAGCAAGATCCGCTTTCAAATGGAGTCTCTCCGGAAAGTAAATTGTTGCAGCAGGAGCGCCGTCGTGGCTTTGTAGAGGAGGAGATCGGGAGGCGACGGAGGTCAGGGGAAGAGGAAAGCGAGAGAGAGAGAGAGAGAGGAAGTGTAAGAGAGAGAAAAAGTCGTCTTTGGGTTTGTTGGGCTCTTCCCCCCGCGTTTTGTCTTTGTCTCACTCCGGTCCGATCCACAGTTCCTTCTTCTACACTGTTATTGTTAAAAGAAAAATAGATAATAATAATTATAATAAAGCAGAAAAAGCAAAAAGGGGAAAGTGAGGGAGAAAAAGTGATTGAAGTGTGAACAAGATTAATTATGGGTAGTGATTTTTCATGAACAAGATTAATTAATCCTTCTCCAACCCGGATTACTCCAATGCTTCCATTTTCTCTCTTTTGCCTTTAATTCCTCCAGTACATAATGATGTGACTGATTACCATTAGAATGTATTTTATGCTCTTATATTATGTCAGTTACAAATTATTTTACAAAGTTTGACCGCACTTTGACAGTAAAGAACTCGACGATTATCGAATGTTTTAAGTCATATATCAACTCTCTTAGTGAAAGTTCCATGGGATAAATAAGCTATTTCCTCTAGTCCAATAGTTGTTGTGTTTGGGGAGGGAGGGGGGGGGGGGGAATTTCATGATAACTATGTGAGCATAACAAAAACGAGATAACTCGAGGTACCAATTTTCACTTTTTTTTTTCCAACAACCATAATGTGATTGAAGTTCAACGAACGAAGGGTTCAAAAATAGTGGTCGCACCAAACGACTGGAACTTCAGAGTACTTCAACCATGGAGGTCATACTATGTGAACGTGATCCTTTTGTGGCTTACACTACATTCCATATAGTAGTCAGGGAAGAAAAGACTCGTGATGGATATGATCCGTAAGCACGAAGTTCAAGTAGTATAACATTTTACGTCCTTGTCACATGAAAACACAGTGATGCGTTGGCAGACACAGCTCAACATATATATATATAACCATATGGCCATCGTTCCCATGATATAACTATTATTAATTGCTACACGCCTACACTAAGAAACTATTGTTTTAAGAATCCCCCCAAAAAAAATGTCCAAAATAATACTGTATCGAGTACACAATCCTCGCTGAACTGTAATTCTTCATACACTTACGAGATTTCTAAAGTTATATCGTGAATGGAAATATTGTTTATCCAAACCCCAGATCTCTTTTTTCCTTTGAATGTGTAGTTTGAAGTGGATCAACCAACCTCAATCATATCCCATCCCATCCCATGTTGATCAAGGCACAATAATTAAGTTGACCCCATACGTTGTCTCCGATCTGCTCGCCAAAACACCCTGCAATATAAAATCACTTTTCCATGGATCATGTGTTGCTCCTCTTGCTCACAATGCCCGTATATACATAATACTTTGTAATGATGGTGGTCTCCAAATTAAAGCCAGCCAGCTATCCCGCTGCAGCTTTGTGCTAATCTCCTTGCGATCAAGGGCGAGATCCAGCCGCCAAGCAAAATATCTTTAGTAAACAAGTCGTGGCTGCTGCCACCATGGGCCGGCCGCATGTCGAGGCTCCTCGTGAGTGCGCGCTGCAGGCAGAGCTCCAAGTGGTTGCTTACTGGGAAGTCGAGAAAGAGTCCCTAAAAAGAAAAGGGCAACGTGGGGCAAGCAATGCCGGTTAAGGCAAAATGCAGAGCTCTGGGAATCTGGATATGGACAGCAAACTTTTTGAACTTCTTGTTTGGTGTTTCTCGTGCAGAGTCGGTCCCCCTTGTCCTTCTGCAACTTGGGTGATCTGGGTTTTATGCTACAGCACCGGCGGACAGTATCCGACTGGCCGCCGAATGACAAGCAAGACAGACACAATGTCAGCCGGCAACTCTTGGGAGGATGATAAAGTGAGGGAGAGGAGTGACTGGGAAAATGGATTCTCTGACGAAAAGGGAGATCAAAGAAGATGACCGATAAAGTAATCGGAGCTTGGAGTGAATGACAACATGCTTGTCTTCACATTTTATTGAATAGCAAGGTAAACTGGGCAAACTCTGATCATTGGTTGGGACGAATATGTTTACATTCAACATCCTCGTCTCTCTACCAGGTAATCTGCATTCTACAAGGTCAGGAAAGCTGAAGATCGACATGACAGATCTTTCAGAGAAATCTACAGGGGAGAAGTATACAAAAGAACTGTAGTGAAGGCCTAGAAGTAGTACCGGCATTTGTTCTCTACAAACAGTTCTTCCTTGAACAACCCCCCTAACTCCCTTTTTTATTGGCCTTACAGAAAAAGGAAAACCTCAAGGCAGTGGGCAGTCCACCGTCACCTCGTAATGCTGCTATCAGAAAGCAGCTTTATCTGGGGAAAACTCGCGAGCGTCATATTGCTTCAGGAACACTCTTCGGTCCATCTAAAGCTTCGAGGTAGCAGCTTTGTCCAGAAACCATTTGAACTCCCCTTCAGCCGAAGCTAGCTGACAGGGCAGCGGCTCCTTGTTATTCCCACCGCTGCCCAGTGCTCTGTGCACAGCATCAGCCTTGTCACTTCCACATACGACTAGCGCAATGTAGGCAGACGAGTTGATCACGGGGAAAGTGAAGGTGATTCTCTGAGGAGGTGGCTTGGGGGAATCCAAGATGTGAGTAACCCATTTCTTGCTCTCCTTGCAAAGCGGATGGCCAGGGAATAGAGATGCTATGTGCCCATCTGGACCCATTCCCAGAAGCTGGAGATCGAGCTTCGGAAACCCACTAGCTTTCGACTTGGCTATCACCCCTGAGCTCACCAAACGCTTGAGGCAGGCCTCGTAGTCATCTGCTGCACCCTCGGCAGACAATGCATCGTTGATCGCGTAAACATTGCCTGGTGGAATAGGCACCTGACATAAATGTAAGGGCTTCTTTCATTAAAAATCGTTCTCCATCCATTCACGATCATGAGCACAGAAATGAACTCACCACTTGGGAGCAGAATGACAGCAACAGTTACAGTATCTTAATCAACACTGTTTTGGTTGAACTTTGAACATAGCTACATCATTCTCCTAAGTTCTAACTCAGACTGTTACTCCAGAGCTAACCATCCAGTCAATATCCCTATCAAAGGGGGCCATTCATTCATTCATTCATTCTTTCTTTCTTTCTTTCTTTCTTTCTTTCTTTCTTTCTTTCTTTCTTTCTAGATGCAGAGCCACAACATTGAAAGTGTTGAAATTGCAATGAGAAGAATATACCTTAGAGAGGAAGAGATCGAGAGCGAGCTTGTAATTACTGTCTTCGTGATTCTTGGGAACAACTCGCTCGTCTACCCAAAACACATGCCATTTCGACCAGTCTATGGAATCCTTATAAGGCGGCTCCAATAATTTCCTGAAAGTTCCCAAATCGAATCGAATTCGGGCAAATTGAAAACCCAGGCAAAAAAATCACTCCTTCAATTTCTAACGAGATCGATCACGGTAACGCCGCGAAGATGAAACTCACCTGAGAGAATTGATGAGAGAACCGCCGGATAGGACGACCGTGAACGAACCCCTCTCTTTACAGAACTTATCGGAGAGATCGGCGGTGTATTTGGCGAGAGAAACCGCGATATTCTCCTCCGTGTCGAAAACCTCGACCTTCTTCTCAGCAGCAGCAGCAGCAGCCATTCCGGCCGGTGAGAACGCCTCGGTCGGCCTGAGCTGAAATCTCCTCGAACAATCCGCTTTTCCGACACCTAATGCCGCGGGCGATCGATCGGGCGACCGAAATGAGAGCTTGGAAATCGGCAGTCCGCAGAGGGATCGCACCGATGACGAGATCGTGCTTCTGGTGCGGAGGAAGGTTGGTGAGGAGGAGAGCGATAGTGAGGCCATGGACCGGCGAGTGGGGAAGCTTTTATAGTCAACGTGCGATAATAATGGCAGCGAGTGATGGGAGTGACCGTGAACGGAGGGAATGGGACCTGACCGGAGATGTGTAGGGCTGGAAATGAGTTGAGTTGTTTACTGTAGATTTCGTGTTTGATTTTGAAAAAAATTGTTCGAAACTTTGATTAATTTATTAACGAGTTGAGCTAGTTCGGCTTGTTGGCTCGTGAGTTAACTCATTTCGATAACTTGTTATCTTAATATTATGAACAACAAGTTAATTCTCACTTTGAGCGAATCAATTTATATTTTATGAATTGTTTTTAAGATAATTCAACAGAGAGTTGTTAACTTATATATATGTTTAAATACTAATTACTATAAAATAATATGATATGAACTAATTATAGTTTTAATTTAAATAATAAGATATTATGAGCCATGCTTGAACTCGAGTACTAATTAGCTAAAAACTCGACTCGATTCAACCCCATTTGCAGTAGTATGTAAGTGCCAATCTCTGAGTTTTGTGGATGACAAGTGTTCTTCTCAAGGTTTGTGAAATCGTACATGAAAGTCAACAATAACGTATGTTATGGTGAAATTGTGATTTAATCATAGAACCAATACTGATATTTTGAGATTAAACCGCCGGTTACCGTAAGTTTGGTTCTTCTACAAAACTTTTCGGGCTACCTTGCGAAGAAATGGGCCGGCTGACTAGAACCACCCCATTACTTCAAGAAGCGTGGGCTTGTCTATTGGGCCATAACCCGCCATAACCAGGCTAGTGAGACGAAGACTGGATTTACCTCGCTAGAATCCGGGTCGAACCAAACAAGTGATTCGGGTAACCGCGCACCCAAACAGGCCTCATCAAAACCCTAAACCACAGAACGAGACCACATATAAATACTTCTCAAACGCAGCGGCGATAACTGACAGCGGGACGATCGGCGAGAGAGCTCAAGAGAGCGGCGAACAGAAGAGGCGAGAAAAAATGCAGATCTTCGTGAAAACCCTCACCGGCAAGACCATCACCCTCGAGGTCGAGTCGAGCGACACCATCGACAATGTCAAGGCCAAGATTCAGGACAAGGAAGGTAAGCCTTCTCTCTTTCATCTCCGTCGCTCTGTTCTTGATTCCGGCCGATTTCTTAAGATTTAGTATCGTGGCTGAGTTTTTTTTGGCGGTGGATGTTTGGATCAGGTATTCCCCCGGACCAGCAGAGGCTGATCTTCGCCGGTAAGCAGCTGGAAGATGGTCGTACTCTTGCGGATTACAATATCCAGAAAGGTGAGTTCCCTGGGGGTTTTCTCTCTAAGTGCACGTGGCTTGAAATTCCATTATGGTGCGGTGATTTTTGGAGGATTCTGTTAGTCGAACGGTCTTTTACTGAAACGAGGTATTTGTGTTGCAGAATCGACTCTTCATTTGGTTCTGAGGCTTCGTGGTGGGATTATCGAGCCATCGTTGATGGCTTTGGCCAGGAAGTATAACCAGGAGAAGATGATCTGCCGCAAGTGAGTTCTGATCCTGTTGAGACTTCCTAGTGATTAGATGGTTGCTACTTCACATCTGTTTTCTTGGGTTAAGCATGTATTCTCAGTCGGAATGATTGTATTCCGCTCTACCAAATACATGAGCATATATGTGTTTTCGTATACCATTTTGTGGATTTGGATTATTTCGAGTCATCGTACAAGCTTCAGCACTGTGTCTAATATGGTTGCTTAGGGGTTACGGCCTACGATCGCCTTGAATTGCTCTGGTAACTTGAGAGTTTTTTGTTTGTGTGCATATGCTATAACTGGAATGCTTTAGTTTGGGTGTTGAACCATGTAATAGAGCTTAGGAAGGAACTGGTTTTTAGTCTGAACTATCAAAGCTGCTCATTTCTTTCTAACGAACAGGTCTTAATCTGTACTGGACTTGATCCATCTTTCTTTTTGTAGAAGTTGTTAGTCGCCTTAAGTAATGATGCAATCGACCTTTGTTGATCTAAACTTATGCCAGTGTCGTTCTTCTCTCTATGCTTTCTGTTGCGTCTTAGACACGTGATCATGTAATAATCATGTGTTGGATATGATTTCGAATTCAGGTGCTATGCACGTCTCCACCCCCGTGCTGTCAACTGCAGGAAGAAGAAGTGTGGACACAGCAACCAGGTAAACTGTCTTTTTCCATTTTTCGTAACTTCTTAAACGTCGATGTCTTCTCTACTATTTGTGTGTTGGTCATTACTGATGCATGACTCGTTTTGTTACCTGCAGCTGAGGCCGAAGAAGAAGATTAAGTAGACTGTTAATCTCGGTGCTGCGGATGCCGTTACTGTTAGGTTACTGGTCATTCTCTTTTGTTGGTTTCAGAAATTTTGATGTAATAGTGTTATCACTTGAATGCTAGTACTGGGTTCGTTGATCCATTGGTTGTGGCTTGCTAGTACACTTCTGGCACTGAAACCTTAATGCAATGAACTGCTGTTTTGTTTTGAAAGTTAATATGGTATCTTTGTTCTATTCCTGTTACTCTTGTGGCTAGGGCTGGAAGTTTGGTACCGGTATTTGGGATGTACCGAATACCGTACCGAATTTGTCTATATTTGGTATTACCGAATATACGTATTATTTTGTGGGATTGGGATTGGGATTGGGATTGAATTTCAATTGTTATTCGGTATTAGGGATTACGGGATTGGATCGGTATATACCGAAATACCGAAATATAAGTTAGTGTGTATTTTATCCTCTCAACTAGACTCTCACATTCACTACTACACGACCATCAACCACCATAAGTGTCATTTAATTATACATAGATCATTATATCACTATTTCACACTATTATTAGTTGTCTCTCAACCTCAAATTCGTCAAATTAAAGATTACCAATTACAAGAACTTAAGATGTTAGCTCTAGGCAACTCAAGACTATTTGCTTAGTCTCTTCGCCCTAAATTAAACAATAAAATTTAATTTATATATTTAATTATTAATTGCAAAGGTAAGTAATTATGTATTCGATAATACCGATTGGGATACCGAAATTATTTAGGGATTGGGATTGGGATACCGATTATTTAGGGATTGGGATTGTGATTGATATTAGGGTGTAATTCGGTATTCGGGATTTCGGTATTTGGTATTGGGATACCGATACCGTACCGATTTCCACCTCTACTTGTGGCAACCATAATTACCATTGATGTGGTTTAGAACATGACTTCGCATTTAAATGCTGTTGTCAGCTCAAGTTATGTGGTGGCTATACTGGTACAGTCGAGCTCACCGGACGGTCCATATGTCCATGATGAGCTCAGTTGTTCGGCATAGGGAGTCAAGTAACTGTACTTTCTGTTGCTTCTAAGTCTGGCTCAGCAAGACAAGTTATCTGGCATGACACAAGTTCATGAGACTCAAAATCTGTAAGCAAATAGAAGCGATGTAATAGATTCTGGGTGGAAAAAAAGGGTGTGAATACGGCATATCTACCTTGTCTAGAAAACATTTTGGATAATTTTTCTGGGGGGAACTGGATGCTACTTGTTACAGATTCTAGCTCACTCTGCACCTTCTTGTCTTACCGTCTTCAGACTCGATATTGGAATCGCACCTTTGCAGATGCACCAATTTATTGCAAACTGTGATACGGTTTTGTTCCTCTTCGTTGCAATCTCAGAGAGCACCCTCAGCAGAGGTTCCAATCCAGGAAGAATTTGACCAAATATCAGCCTCCCCCCCTGCAAAATGATGGTATGAACTTCCTGCATATTAACAAAATCAGCACACGATTTGATCAGATTCGGATCGATGAAAGTTGCACACACATCTGGTTGGCAACCAACCACTTGCTGGGGGGTGGAGATGCATGGAATTTCATAGCTGGTGGGAGACGGGAAATGAATCATTCAGTGTTATCTTTTTGCCATGGCCAGATGAAGAGAAAGCTGGGAAGGCTTCAAGGCTGAAGAAGGGAAGAGGGATGATTGGAGGAAGCAAAAAAGTGACAAGTCTATGTTTCTTTGGCTTGTTTGTGGCCACGATTGTCGATCTGTCTTGCCGGTGCTGTTGCTAAAATGTAAACTGGAAATGGTGACGAAAAAATATGACAGCTGTGGGATTTGAACCCACGCCCTTTCGGACCAGAGCCTAAATCTGGCGCCTTAGACCACTCGGCCAAACTGTCAAATGGATGATAGACATTGGCAGAAGTTTCTCCTGGCACAAAAAACAATCAAAATTCTCAGTTCCCGTTGATTTGTCGATTTTTTTTACTACATCGAAGGGGAAAGCTGTGGTCTTTTTCTCCTGGGACAGTATGTGGAAATTGCAGTTTCTTGTTTTGAGCAGTTGAGACTTGAGGGGATAATCCCTTGAAATAAGGGCAGCGGCGTCGGATTGGTGGGAATTGTTTATATATATCAGGGATTCGTCTTACAGCGAAGCGGAATGGTTGGGATTAGCGTAAACTCTCTTTTGCCCACCAAGTGTTTGCGTAATTGTCCCTGTGACCTGAGAGCCGAGTTATGAGCCTTGGTAATTTCAGGGCAATGCATGCTTTGCTGACCCGAAGGATTACCAAAGAGAAAGTTGATACCTTGTTACCGTTCTTGAAGATATTCTAATCTTGCCTTTAAGTTCTATGGCTGAAGACCGAGAAAATCTTCTTCTGTTATCAAACCTTGCAAGCTATCCTTATACGTTATTGATAGACTGTCGAAAGTTGATACCTTGTAATTTTTTCTCCAATAGCCTAATACTATAGCTGTTTGGATTGTCTTCCCATGGTTCATAGTTGCATCTCATCTCACATTATGCTGCAGATTGCAGTCTTGTCTGTCTGCTTATTCATACAATTCCACACCAACATTCTTCCTCTATATGCATTTGTTGCAATGCTATAACTTACACACCATTAGAATTTTGAAATCTAAATGCAATTCCAGCTATGGGGTATTTGTAACTTGGTACTTTACAACTTAAATTTCCTAAATCGCCATCCTGCATGATGTCACAGTCAATATTTTTTGTCAAATTAGTGCTCATCCCCCTGCTGCATTCAATACCATGTTGTTCTTGCTCTAACCAATCTTAGTTTTTTTTTGAATAACCAATCTTAGTTACTACTAGCAAATCAAAGCCACCAAACTACAGGCATTTTCCTGTATGGGTTTTGGCCGTTCAACACCAGAAGTTGAACCATTGTGAACTTGCATTAGACACGTCAAATTGACAACCTGGTGGTAATGGACCTTCTGTAGCTTGAACCTTGTCGACGAGCTGCTGGTACCCATCATACCCCGGGTGCAGAAAACCTCTGGTCTTATCCAATTGTGAGCTCTGTGAACTTGTGAATACTTTGTTCTCTACTCCTTGCTGTGCAGGTTGAGGTTGGAACATGTTTCTGTCTTCTGAAGCTACCGCGACTTGGCGACTTCCTTCCAAGCCCTTGCAGTTATCATCTCCCTCCCATGATTTCTCCACCAGTGCGTTTAGAGTCTGCAACTGTTTCAAGAAGGATTGTGAAATGATCATTCAGTAGCTTAGAACTATAAGGAACCGTTTTTATTTATTTATTTATTCAGAACTGTAAGGAAGTTGTTATATACTGTCGGTAAACAAAAGTCACCTGTAAGAGCAAGGTCTGCCTCTCATCCTGTAAAGACTCGAAACTAGATGCAAGGCTGTCATAGTTGGCCTTCAGCATCTTGTAGTCTTTCTCAATCTGCTTTGACTTCCACCTAGCTCTCTTGTTCTGGAACCATATAGCAACCTGGCGAGGTTGAAGCCCGAGTTCTCCCGCCAGCTGCATCTTCTTCCTCGGTTCAAGCTTTGTCTCCGATTCGAAGATCGACTCTAGCAACCTAATCTGTTCATCACTGAATCTCCTCTTGCTCTTGTTGCTGCTGTTCTTCTTCTTTTTTGGAGCTTGATGGGATGGCTGGGAGCAGGCTAAAGTTTCAGACTTTGCATCTGGTGCTTCTGGAGACCACTCTCTTTGCTTCGTCATTTGAGTACTCATGTTGTGACAGGTAATTCTAGTATTTTTGTGTACCTTGAGGACAGAAGTAAGAGTTAAAGAAGTGTCCTTTCATTGGTTTTCTTCCTAAGTTTCAGACAATTGTGTAGAAGAATGCATGTGGTGGAACATATATATAGCGCTGCTAGATTGAGGCAGAGAGCTTCTATAACCATGTCTTGCACTGAGGAGTCCAGTAGCCAATAATCTTTCATAACGTGTGCCATTATACCTCTTCTGCCTTGGAGGATATCTCTGTCCTTGTTCCCTTTTGTCAAAATCAAATATTAAATCGGAGCTTTACTGTTACATCTTTACCCCGCAGCCAGATCATTATATACTTGCTGTAAATAGAAAACTTGTATTTGTGTCCCTTCTTCAGCTCAATTTGTTTGATGTGGCTGGTGACCACCTTATTGAAGTGGAGTAAATCAGAAGGAAATCTCATTTCTTGTGGGATTTCCTTAAGACACTGATGTGCTCTAATTTACAGTTCGTATTCTGATAGTCTTCCTGATCTAGAATCGTGATGTATTAACCAATGATTAACATGGTTGTGAAACCATCATTTTCTTTTCGAGGTTGAAGAAGTATGAGGCTCATGTTTGATTTCGTTTATATTACAGGAAAGATGTAGCCAGTTCACGCAAGCATGACCACAGGGAAACTTTGCTATGGTGGAAAACAAGATAAACAAGTCCTGGCATGGTCTACAATAATAGGTAAAAGGAGTTTCCACCTTCTACATTTCACACGGTAAGTCATCTAGAATAATAATTCATGGTTTTCCCAACATGAACTCTTCTTGGCCCCACCTTATCTGAAAACACTTGAGTAACGCCAGCAAAATGGAGGTTTCATCAGCACTGAAAGTTGCCTCCTTTTCGTCCTGGCTACGTTCTGCATTCGACATGCATGGCCAGATCGATAGCTAAATAACAGTGGTCAATAGGATGATGTCTGAGCAGTCACTTCTTACGATGGTTCTGGTATCAAATGGTGCAGAGATTTATGAATCGACAGGCACCCTTTTGGATATGCATGTACCATTTATTGTTAGATAGAGAGTTCAATTCGTCGTTCATGGAATTGTAGTCACTGCACTTTCTGTCAGCCGCAATCCTCTTACGCCCTGCTAGTACTAATGCCTAACCAAACCTAATGGGTAGAGAGGCAAGGTGGGATGCACCCTGAAACTAGCAAGGGGAATGCTTCTGATCTTCAATAATGTTTGATGAGAGTTTCCCATAAGGCGATGGAAGTGTTCTAGATGCTGAGAACTTGCTAAAAAAGCTCCTTGTTAGCAGCCTTGCAGGGACAACTGGTTAGGTATGAGTTGTGGCAAAGTCATCAACCTCAAAGCCAAGATGCAACCTTTCTGGGAAGACGCTACAACAGTAGTAAGTGGATAGAGATGGACAAATATGGGCAGTTCTTAAAGTGAATGAGCAAAACCCCCCAGTTTGGCGTTATATAGCCAATCATACCAAGCTGATTTTGGCGCAAGAATATAGCAAATTCTTTATCTGCAGCTTTTTCTCTGGTCTCCGAGGTAATAAAACGTGGGTGAAGTGTCAAAGTGCCTTTTGTGGGCAGTTTGGCCAGTCCTACAAGGAACATAGACAAAGAGTTGGTGAACTGGAGAAGTTTAACACATGTTTTTGGTCCCCCTCTGGTAGATTAACCTGTTCACAGAACTTTGTCTTGGAGCAAGTTTGGCTGGTGGGACAAAAGGGTACTTATAATATACACATACTTGTCCAAGACAAAGAGGAAGCTAGGCCCCTCCTCCCTCGTCTTCGTCATCAGTTGGAGAAAAATGAAAGGTAGGTATGAATTCAATGCATACGTCTTTTTTCTTGTTTGTCACTACCAAACACAGAGGGAAGGCTTAGTTTTCAACACCGAGTGAAAATGACTTGACTCTCTGTCGTTAAACGGCCATTATTGGTTGGGTGACTGCGGTGTTTGTTTGACACGTGTGCAGGGGGTGGTGACGGCGGTCGGCGAGGACGACCCGCCAGCAGCAGGTATAGCTTACAATTTGGAGGTTTCATATCTTGATTTGGGTATCTGTAGAAAGAGGGTATGTATGGCTCTCTGTTTGTAAAAGTTGCTGCTCATTTCTCCTCATTGGATTTGGGTCGATTTTGTACTGTAGGAATGACAGTATGGATTCCTGCATTGTCGTCGGTCTTCAATCACAGGGTTCTTTTCTTCTTCTTCTTCTTCTTCTCCTCCCCTTTTTTCGGGATGTAGTTTGCTTCCTCTTTGTTGTAATGTGTTGCGATGGATTGGGTAATTTTGGGAAACCACTACTTGCGTGTTGTTGTGATTTATTATATGTGCCTTCCCAAACTGGTCCATGAAACCGTAACGAATATAGTATCGGAAAAGTCAGCGATATAATATTTTATAATAAAACTGTGGTTTAATCGTAGCCCAACCGTTAGACCGTTAACTGTCACCTACCGGTTTAGTCTTCGATAATGATATTTTATGGTTGAATCGCCGGTATGGTACTGTTTCATGGACCATGTTCTTTTGTCCTCTTGTTGACTTTGTTTTGGGCTCTTTGTCAGCAGGAGTGAGTAACAGAAATTGAATTGACGAGATATATTGTTTTTTTTTTAAGAAAGTAGACCCTTATTTTGGATGAATACCTTACATCTTAGTTAGTTGAATTTTAGATGTTGAGATTTGTTGAATATGATTATATACTCTCGGAATTATGATGACTTCATGTATTTTTTTTTTTCCTTCTAATTTTTATTGCTATCATAGTTATTAAATGGATTTGTGGAATTTTACCAGTCAAGTCTCGGACTTAGTTAAATACCGATCAAAATCGTCAACGACTCTTGCAAAAATTCACTTGTTTTCTTATTCATTATTATAGGGTTGCTGGTTGGTGTGTGGATGGTATGAACCAAATTTGAATTTCATAACTTCACCAATACTTTAATAAATACATAAATAGAAATTATATTTAACAAATGAATTTTAAGGATTCAAAATCAAATGTAGCCTCTATGAAGTTTGCGGGCTCTGAATTACTATTTGGATCCCACATTTAACAGCCTGTACACAGGTTGGTTCGCTGGCACGGCCCAATATCATTAATATTATTCCCCGATCACATCACTAAGCCCACTATCCACCTTGGGCAATTCTTCAACTGAAGCTGCTGGATGAGGCCCGCCCAGCATTCAAATTGCAGTGCAACTCAATGAGTACATAGAAATATCAAACACAGAAAAGTTATTTTGGGGAAGGCAAATACAGGAGACATTTTGGGGAAGGCAGCAGCTGGCCCGCCGGGAAATCAAATTTAGCGGAGGGATATATAGATCTGTAGATTAGATTTCTTGCACTCAGTTGCTAGGCTGACGACGATGATCTAAGCTGCCAGAGACGTCTTTTTTATTTTTTTTTGGGTCTGTTGGCGAAGAACCCAACACCTGCAACTCGAAAGTTCACCATTGTTGTTGCCCCTGAAATAGCCGAGAGACCAACTAGCTAGCTTAGCTACTGCAGATTCTGCTCTCTCTCTCTCCAGGCTTTTTCTTCAGGAGATATGGAAAGGAAGATCTGTGTATCCTGCAGAGGAGAAAATGTGCGTGTAATTTGTGTATGTATAAATGGCGATGTGTATGAGACAAAAAGCGAATACCCAAGAGGAGAAAGAGTGAGATGATTGCCGTGGGAGCGAAATTGAACAACCTTTCCACTGCCATGAAAATTACTATTTGGTTGCTCTTATACACGTAACCTCCTCGCGCGCAAAGTTCTATGCTAAAGCTCCCCACACTGGATTCAATATGCACGAAGACGCAGAAATTCTATCAAATTCAAGTTTACCCAGATACAGATTTCACATAGTAGTGTCTTATGATCAGGAGGCAGCGCGCGGCGGATCCAGGACATAGTAGCGTTGTTAAATAGTGTCACATAGTGTTAAATAGTGGTTAAATAGTGTCACATGTTTCATTGTTGAAAATATTCTCTCCATAGTAGCAGTTGAAACGAGCTCTAGGTCAATACTAGACGAATCAACCGACAAAACCAATTTGTAGTGTGTATCCATCCCTGTTTCCACTAGCTTCTCTAGTAATTTTGCAAGAGGAGAAACTTCATATTCCTGGCTAATTAAAATGCGAGCAACTTCGCACCTTTTCCTGTGAACTACATGAGCGGGCATTATATCGTAGATCATTTTTCAAAAAATACATCTAACAGCGCTTATAGTATTCAAAATCTCGAGAATAAAGAGGACCAAGAATATATGATGAATCTGATTCTACGGAGCTTTTGCACATCAAACTCAAGAATATATATATGTAGCTTTGTGAAAAATTGCAGTAGCAAAAAGATGCCTATCTTTTTCACACAAGAAACATCAAACTCTACATAATATTGCAGGTTCTCCAATAGCTAAAGACTAAAGAGTACTAAGCATTCCTACCAAAAAAAAAAAAAGAGTACTAAGCATAACATATAGGCTATAGCTACAACGAGAAAGATGGGTTCCAGCCTTTACTGGAATATTGTCCCTCCTCGGCCACTTGCCTTGAACTTTCATGTCAGAGAAATGGATTCTCTTCATCAATTATTAATTAATGTTTAGTGGTATTGTTTTAGAATCAGTAATTAATTAGATTGGTATCGTCCACAGTCTGACTAGTCATTAATAAACAATCTATACATAAACATACAATTCATTTTAGTTTTGTTTAGTTTACTGTGCAGCAGAATCCAACCACTCCCACTAACACCCCCAATTATTATAAGACATCAAGCAATTGTATATGTAAATTAATGTCTGTCTGTCTGTCTGTCTTGGCCTTTTGCTGGTGTATGTTAGTGTTTGTTAAATTTTATCGGAGACTAAACTGATAGACGGCACTGTTAAATCACGGATTCATTACAGGATACCTAATTACTAAATTTCCTCGTACAACGATCGATACGGTTTCAAAATTCCTCGTACAACTTAAAGAAAGAAGTGCAGCAGAAAACCCTAGTTCACTTCACAGCAGGGAATAGAAGAAACAAAGAAAAAGCAGAGAGAGGCATGTACACAACCAAAAGTGATTCCCATGCATCTGGACTCATTCATCATGTGCGAATGTAGCTAGCTAGTTCAATTAAGAGCTTAATCATGATGAACCAGTGGAAAGGTCTGCTGATCTGGAGGATTTCCTTTTTGAAGAACAGCAATAGAGTGTCTAATTATAAGCGCACACACAGAGAGATTCATACTAATGATTAACCCCGTTTGCTAATTAGGGCTGCAAATGAGCCAAGCCGTTCGCGAGCAACTCAGCGTTTGAATCGGGTTTTAACTCGGCGTTTGAATCGGGAAAAACCCGTTCGATACTCGACTCGTTGTTTAACAAGCCGACTCGCGAGTAAACGAGCCAAGCTTGAGCTAGACCATGCTCAGCTTGATAAGCTCGTGAGCTACTTGACTCGGTGGCTTGTTGAGCTTAGCTCGCGAGCTTGCTTGTTTAGAGCTTGTGGAATGATTAATTACTCTTTTGAACATGAAAATTATCTTGTTAATTAATAAGGATGTGTATGGAAGTTAGATGTTATTTTTAGTTTCTAGTGTCATTTTTATCATTTTTAGTTTCTAATGTTCTTATTTATACACATTTTTCAGCAAAGAAAGGTTTCAAATCGAGCTCATCTTGAGCCGAATTTGTACTCGGCTTGACAAGCAGTGTTAATGAGCATTTATCGAGCTCTATCAAGCCGAGCTCGAGTTGAAAAATTTCTAAACGAGCCGAGTTCAAACTAAGCAAAAACTCGACTTGACTCGGATCGTTTGTACAGCTCTAGCTATATAGCAAGGAGAGAAGTAAACAAAAAAAGAAGAGAAGGGAACTGTTGGGTTGACATTACAAGAACAAAACTTAAAGCAATGATGATAGTCAAAATGCTCCATCATTGTACCAATCACCAACACCATCTGACGCCAACCCATTTCTCTAATGACAAGAGAGAATAACAATGGTGATGGAGGTGGCAAAGCAGGGGAAGCCAGAGTGATTGAGGGGAATGAAGCCTGGTCCGAGGACTACTATACCCATTTTGCATAAAATTTGCAGATCAGCTAATCATATATATGCAACACAGCTGAGCTAGCCTTGGACCAGACAACTTTCCCCACAAAACCCAAGCTTCTTTCTTTCTTTCTCCTCCATCGTTTTCTCTCCTCGGATCTTCATAGAAAAAGTGGAGACACAGCAGAAGAAAGTATAAACAAGGAAGAAGAGATGGAGGAGTAGTGTACTGTGAAGTGGAGGGGTCGGGGGCATATATATATATATAGCTGGGTTTAATAAGCAGCCAACAGCCAGCAGACAGATACTGCATAATAAATAAATGTATTTATTATAACTCGGTCACATGACCAACTCAAATTTAACCACCGTGATGATAGATTCGTGATGTTGTTTTGCTTTTTGTAGGTAGGTTTGGAATGTTGCATTTGGAAAACGAAGTATTTCGGTCAAATGACTCGGTTTTGGAAAGTTTGAAAACAATTCAAATTGTTGTAACCACGGAGGCGATTCGTATTAATATATACCAACATGTTGAATTTTCTTTTCCCTATCTAGGGGTGTCAATTCGGGTTTCTCAAAAAAAAAAAAAAAAAAAAAACGGGTTCGGTTTTTCGGGTTTACCCGAAACCGACCCGATTATATACATTTTCGGTTTTTCGGGTTTGGGTTCGTTTCAGGTTTTTCGGTTTCGGTTCGGTTTTGCTTATCGGTTTTTCGGGTTCCGGATAAAAATCTCCAATGAATAGAAGTCAGCCCGTATTTTTAAGTGTTAGGGTTTTCGGGTTTCGGTTTCGGTGATTTTTGGTTTCGGTTTTTCGGGTTTTTCGGGTTTCGGTTTGGGTAACCGAACCCGACCCGAACCGACACCCTTATCCCTATCAAACGACTCAACTCTCAAGTTCACTGGAGCTAAAACCTAAAATGCTTATATTACGAGATAATTTGAACAAATGACTCATCTAAACCATTTTACAAAAATTAGGTTGGAAGCCCCAAAATCAAACGTAGCCGACAAGTTCCACCAACAAAAATAAAAATATCGGGCCGAATACGGAAACTGTAAGCCCAACACCGATCAGGCCTTGGAGTATTTGAAGCCCACATTCCAACATTACTCATTATTCCACGGCGGGCCATTGAAGGCCCACAAATATACACGCTTTCGGATTATTTTTTTTTTATAGAAACGCTTGCGGTCAAATTATAATTAGTCCTATTGGTTCATTTATTTTGGGGATGAGATACCTAACAGCTAACTAATTATAATTAGTCCTATTGGTTCATTTATTTGACTAATAAGTAATAACTGATCCCTCATTAAGTTCCACTTACAGCAATTAGGTGCATTAATTAATCAAATATTCAAATCAAATTATTAATTATACAGTTAAAGATGCAAATCGGTTCCGTTTTAGTCCGAAAACAAAGCCCACATTCCCACTAACCAATTCCTCTCCTCAAAAAATAAAAAACGAAAAAAAATATATCTATTCTTTCTCTTCCTCTGTTTTCTCTTCTAATTAACGGTATACCGGCAGGAACCCGCCGCCGGCCGGTGAATTGGGTGGGGGGAGAGAGAGGAGACAACACAAAAACAAAGGAAGAGAACATCTCATCTCCCTTCTACCTCCTCCTCCTCCTCCGGCCACCACCACCGCCGTGACATGAAACCATCTCATCTCATTACATTTCTACGCCTTTACCCAAACCCTAATCTCCATCATCGTCCTCCTCCTGGCAATCACCATCGCCGCCACCACAAATGGGAGAGAGTTTGAGATTGAGATTCTGAAAAAAAATTGAATTCTCGAATCGAGCTCACAAATGCCATGGTAGACAACCCTCCTCCACCGCCATTCCTCCAATTCCTCGCGGATCTGGTCGCCCTCTTCTCAATCTTCGCCATCCTCCTCCTCTCCCTCGTCTCCCTCCTCCTCATCCTCCACCTCCACCTCAAATCCTCCACCGCCGCCGGCGGCGGCGCCGCCTCCCGCGGCCACCACCTCCGGAGCTTCAATTCCCTCTGGACCGTCCGATCTGTACTCGTCCTCTTCGTCTCCCTCTGGGCATTCACCGAGCTCCTCGTGATTCCGTCCTTCCGCCGCCACTACCTCCCCAAATCCCTAACGATCCCGCAGCAGATCTGCCTCTGCCGCCTCCACGTCTCCCTCAATCTCGGCCTCTTCCAGCCCGGGTTCCTCGTCGCCTTGCTCTACCTCGTCAAGATCTCCGTCAAGAAGAGCACGCCGCGCGGATCCCGCGCCGTCCTCTCCATCTCCGCCACCTGCCTGCCGGCGCTCCTCCTCCAGCTCGTCTTCATCTTCGGCGCCTCCTCCGGCCTCTTCCGCCTCCCGCCCTTCTTCAATCGGAGCTACCTCCTCCCCCGCACCGTCCTTTCCCCCAACAACAACAAGATCCCCATCGCCGCCGGAAACGACGCCGTGCTCTGCCTCTACCCGCTGATGAGCTGTGTCGTCTTCGGGGCGTTCGTCGTCTGGTACCTCTCGGCGTTCTCGATCTCGTGCTTCAAGGCGCTGACTCTCGTCATCAATCAAGGGTTGAGGTTTCGGCTCTATGGATTGACCCTCGTCGTGATGGTCGCCCTGCCCCTGCAGCTTGTCTGCCTCGGGTTCTCCGTCCTGTGGACGCCGCGGGACGAGCCGTACGCCGTGCTCTCCCTCGTCATCTTCCTCGCGGCGTTTGTCATGGCCGCGGCGGGGGAGGGAGTCATGGTGATTCGGCCGATCGCAGATTCGTTGGCTGCCGATCAGGACATTCAATTGGGCTCCGGGAAGGTGATTCAGTTGGGTTCGAGTCAGGCCGCGGCGGTTTTTCGGACGGAGGAAGAGGAGGAGAAAGCCGTGGTGGTGGTCGCAGCGGCGACGGAAGAAACGACGGCGGGTGGGAGTAGTCGTAGTGTACAGTTTTAAGCATCAAATCATAGTGAGAGAGCGGGAAAAGGGAAAAAAAAATGGGTAATTGTTTTGGTTATATGAATGAGTATACAATACACAGAGAAAGCTTTTTCCTGTGTGTTGAATTTTGATCATATAACAAGAAGAAAATGTGAATGTCAATTCTCCATTTCTCCTCCTTTTTACAGTCTGAGTTAGAAGGCGCCATTTTTGCAAGTTCTTTGTGTTCATTTAATTTCTTCTTTCTTGATTACCTGCGTTTTTTGTTGTTGTTGGTTTGTCGCCATTGTTACTCTGTTTGTTCATAATTAAGAGACCTTTTTCGTTTCCACCATTGTTACTCTGTTTGAGATTACCAGCTTAGATACTTTCTTGATTTCCTCCTATCATATTTGCAATGGAAAAATGTTAAAGAATAAGAACATTGTACAGGCATTACCAAGCAATGAAGCTACTTGACCTAGAATTCTTCTGAATCTCTGTTCTACCCGTGTTAAAAGAAGCCGAAAAAAGTATTACCATCCTAAAATCTTTACAATCTACGAGCTTTTGAAGAAGCTCATGCAAATGGGAGGCTTCACTTTCGCCAGAGCAAGGATCGACGAGGGCAGAATCCACAACCCATCTCCACAAATCAACCCGGAAGCAACTGCAGGAACCATCAAGCGGGCCTTACTGCTGTTCAATTTATGCCAGACGAAAACGACCAAGCTCCCCACACACATGTCAACCGCGAAGTACGCTCCTACGAGGAAAGGCACAGCCATTGCCATGGGGAGCGGGATCCATTTCCCTACTTTCTTCGGCAGCAAGTCTCTCGACAGGTTGGCTGCTATAGCGAACGCGAAGAACCCGTAGCAGAGCTGCAGGCAGTGCTGAGGCAGGGCGGAGAAGCCTTCCACTCCGAGGATCGCCATGTTCCTGTAGATGAGAGCGTAGGGAGCCTTGTACTCGCTTTGGGGGTTCCCGACGTCGAACGCCTTGTAGAAGAGGAAGAACGTGAGTGGAGCTACCACGCAACCTATGGCGGTACCAATGGCTTGGCTGACAAGCATGGATCGTGGGGAAGTCAGAGTGAGGTGGCCGGTCTTTAAGTCGTGCATCAGATCAGAAGAGATTGACACGATCGACTTGATCAGTCCACACCCCACGAGCCCTGCAACGACGCCATTTTCTTCCCCGGATAAGGCTGCAAGGACGAAGAGCGCCACTTTGCCATAGTTGTAGGCCATGTTCATGTCGGTTAGCCCAGCGCCATATGCGTTGCAGAAGCTGAGAGCCGGGGCGAGAATGTAGGAAATTACCACGTAGTACCATTTCAGTTGAGGGAACATGAGGGGGATGATGACGATTGAGATGGCGGAGAAGGCGAGGTAACCCACACAGGCTATCCAAATCGGGATCGTCTCCCTCATGAACACTTCGTTTCTTCGAAGGTTTTCGGATGGAGGCTGATTCCGGTCGTTTGAATCTGCAGATGCATGGACTAAGATTTTTAACATCAGTGATGTGTCCTGGTTTGTAAACAGCCTTCGAGAGATAAGAACATGGACTCTATTACTTACCAATTTTCAGGTTTCTTCTCTCCCTTGCACCAGTATGAAGGTTGGCAACTGTGCAGCAGAGTATCTTGAGAAGATTGTAGAGCCCATCCCCGAGGATTAAAGCGAATGAAATGAAAACCTGAACAAAACCACAAGATCGGTTTCATCATCATGTCCAAGAGTTTATGAATGAAAACAAGGGCAACAACAGCAGATAATATGTTTGGATTGAGGACCTTGTAGCCATTGAGACTCTTCATACTGCTTTCAGGCAGTGTAGAAGGAAACCAGTTTCCCTTAAGTCCATCGATCAACGGCCACATTACCCCGTAGGAGAGCACCGCGCCAAACAGCAACGAGAAATTGACGAGATGGGAGCATATCATTCCAGCTCCGACATAAGTCGTGCTGAAATCGAAGTAGAATCTGCAAGAAAGTTCCTATTCATCGATCAATAAAGAGCACATTGTACATTTGTACTGAACACCAACAGAACTAGTGAAAAAAGAGGTCCAAATTCAACTCAAGTATGCACAATGTGAGTTCTCCAGGAGCTAGCTTTAGCACTTACGAGTTTTTCCAAGCAGCCAATCCAAATGTTGGGAACTGCACAAAACCACAGTTCTTGCTCTGATCTTTCGGTCCACCGGAGAAGAACCACTGGAAGAAGGCCCATATGAAGCTTATAGAAAAGTACTTGGTGAAGGCTTGGACTTGTTTCCTGCATTACAAAACACCCCAAAGCCGAATCGAGCCATTTCAAACTAAAATCACAAATCTTGGTTTTGATGATCAGTTGGTAACGAAACCGAACCCAAAAGCAAGAGTAACGATTTACTTGCCTGGCCATCTTGTGCCCCTTTCGGGTGTGGAATCCATTGATGAGTACACCAGTAGCTGTTCCACTTGGATAGCTCAATTTGTAGTCTATTATCATAATCTGACACAAATCAAAACCATCCCAATTCATCAGATCAAATTGCTCATTCAATTCAACAGGCAGCTACTTCATTAAGACTTGATCACTAAACAAGAAAAAAAAAAATTGTTCCTCTCTACCTTCCTGAGAGGAACCAGGGCAAGCAGCCCAGCAAAGCTGCTCACAAAGAGGAAACCAATCATCCATCCAATACCCGGTTCCTTTACGCTCCGCGGATTGTTCCCCGCCGAATCAACCCCAGATAGCTCGTACGTCTTCCTGTTCAAACCCAGAAGGTACGACCCAAACCCACCTGCATAGTGAATTCGCCATTGTTACAAAACCATTGCTGTATATGAAAAACATAATTTGATGTTCTATAAGGGAAAACTAGGTTAAAAATCCCAAACCTCCAAAATCCATGCTGTAACAAGCGACGGCGCAGGTCTGAATCAAGGTATTCTCCTGCCTGGTGAAGGGAGTGGTGACGAATCCGGCCTTCTTCAGAAGCTTGGTCCAAGTGGTGACGAACACGTAGGCCAGCAGCGCGGCGGAAACGTTCAACGTCGGGACAATCCCAGTTGTGAGAATCAGCTTCATCACGATCACCACATATATAAACCCGATCGCCACGCTCGCCACTATCCCTCTCACCGTGAATTGCTTCGTCCACGGCGGAATCCTCTTGAATTCCTGCTCCCCTGTTTCTTCCGAATTCTCCTCCCATTCTTCCTCCCAGTTCTGGGCTCCTCTCGTTTCAGCCCTCTCTGCAGCCATCTCAATCTCCTTCCTTTCCCCCTCACCGTCGCCCATTGCAAAAAGGAACTGGCAAAAACGAACCAGAGAGAAAAAATTGACGACGACGAGCCTAAAAGGCTAAAACCCTGAACCCCCCACTGAAACAGAGGATTGGAAATCGGCGTTTTTCCGATTGAAGAAATCCCCCACTGAAATACTATCCTCCTGAATCCTGATCACAACAGATGGGGATTTGATTTCTGTTGGGAGGATAAAAATTGAATCTTTAGTGGGATTGTTGTGGGGCGGAAGTGGCCAGGAGGACTCAGTGATGGCTCGTGGCAGTTGGTAGTCAATTTTCTGTTACGCACACGTCAGCGCACACGTGGCGGACACCCGTATCGGTTTGTACTTCCCGCCCATTGCTTTCCACGGGCTAACGGCTTGCCACGTCGGCAAGACTCCCGCCTCCCACACGCTCCCGCTTCCTCTTCACAATTCTTTTTCCCTTTTTTTTTTCCTTCTCTAATTATGTACTTATATCGGCCCACTATGCAATGCATCCGTTCACGTTTGGGCCGGATTTGGGATTGGATATTTTGGGCCCGGTTTGGGGGTTGAAAAGGTAATTGCGCCAAAATAATAATAATCAATTTAAAAATAGAATACTGGTTTTTATCTAAAAGGGGGAAACATGGAAGGGGAAGCCTGGCCTGGTCTGCTCTTCTTTCTCAAGAGAATACTTTCTCGCCGGCGACCGCGGTTGCTTTTGAATTCATCGCAAAGCGAGAGACAGAGGGAGCGACGGGAACAGATCGATCTCGTTCCGGAAGATCCGGCGGCGGAAACGGCGACGAGAGAACTTGCTTAGGAACAGGGGGGGGGGAGAGAATGGAATTGGAGTAACTCGGTGCGGTATCCCGCTAAACCGCGCATTCGGGAAACCGTATGTTGGCACGCGATTGGTTAGGAGGCCGGCGAAGCGAGAGGCACAGGCAATCGCAGATCCCCCGGCAATCGAGCGATGAGTAGTTACAAGGCGCTTCTCCGGCCGAGTCTCGAGGATTTGGTGTTCGACTCGCTGAGTCAAATCGGCCAGGAAAGGTATAACTCGGTCGGTGCAGGAAGCTGGGGGGCGGCTTGTTTTTGTTTTCCTTTCTTCTCCTTGTTTGGCTCTGATATACCGTTGTGTGTGTGTTTCTTTTTGACAGAAATTCGAACAATGACGATGCTCTTTCCGATGCCGATTCCGTTATCCTGAACGGCCCGGACATCTTCGACTGCGAGAATCAGGTGCGTTTCGTCATGGATTTGATTCATCAGCGAGTGGAACAATCTCAGGTAATGGGCCTCGATTCACATTTGGTTTCGGAGGCCCTGAATGAATCCGCCTTCGGTGCTATTGACGAAGAAGACGATCATAATGCCATCAGGAGCTTAGAACTCGATTTAGGGTTAGGGTTTGGTCTAGGCACGCGCGATTATTTTGGGGGGTTCCAGGATGTATACGCCAATGATGATACCAGCAACATTGAGTATCATTGCAATACTGTTCTTGATGATATTATCGAAGACGACATTTTCTTCATCAACAGGAGGGTTTCTGGGCTTGAATCTCGGGTTGTTGGGTTTCACTCGGATTCAGAGTCGGAGGAGAACGAGAACTCTCTGCTAGCTCTAGATTTTGGTTCTCATGACGAATATGGATTGGATGATGATGTTCATGTGGAAAGCGGTCACTATGATTATGGCAATGGAGAAGGTGATGTTTTTGATGATGATGATGCGAGCATTACGATTCCCTTACGTTGGAACTCGCTTTCCTTGGAGGATCAAAGAGATCACGAGAATGGAGATTTCGAGTGGGAGGAAGTTGATGGCCATGTGGATGAAAGAGAGGTCCTAAGCATGTTTCTGGAAGAGGATGATGAGGTCGACGACGACGACGATGAGGCCTCTGTATCATTCTCAATCTCTCCAACCATTTCTCCCGAGGATATGGTTAGTGTGGACAGGGTGGTCGGTTCGGGGAATCTCGAGTGGGAGGTCTTGCTGGATGCCACTAACTTGGGACCACTTCCAGACCCAGATCAAGCAGCTCGATACTTTGCTGGTGGTGGTGGTCACGACGATGACTATATCTACACAGCAGACTACGAGACGGTGTTTGGGCAGTTTGCTGAGATGGACACGGTGCTTACGACAGGTCAGCCCGCTGCTTCGAGATTGGTGGTCGAGAGGCTTCCCTCGGTCGTGCTGACCAAAGAAGATGCGGAGAGTGATAACTCGACATGTGCTGTCTGCAAGGACGACATGAGTGCTGGGGAGAAAGCGAAGCTGCTGCCTTGCTCGCACTGGTATCACGAGGACTGCATTGTGCCTTGGCTTAATATCAGGAACACTTGCCCAGTTTGTAGGCATGAATTGCCTACTGATGATCCCAATTACGAACGGAGGAAGATGGTGGAAAGATCGACTTCTGCTGCTTCTGCTTCTAGCCTTCATCACCACGTGATTACGATGTGATGCGAAGCGATTAACCTCGTCGTTGTTTGCTGCTGTGGAAGTCCCATTCCCAGGTTTACGGCAGAGGGTGTTAGTATTTTTGTGTGTATCCCCGTGTCAGATAAGGAGTTACCGGCTTGCTTTTGTGACGATTGCAGTAGTGGTACTAGTAATAGAAGAAGAATGCGTTTTACTGTATTGACTTTCTGAAGGGCTTTTGTTTCTGTTTTTCGTTCTTGGTCGTGGAATAATGGGAGAAATGGTTTGTTGTTCTTGAATAGTTATTAGCCTACGATGATTGAACGACTCAATGTAAGCACAAGAAAAGTTTGTGAAACGTGAAATTGTTGAAAGAGGTTTTGTATGATTATTCAAATGCAAGTTTTACTTTCACGAATGAAGATCGTGTGTGTTCAATTTTTTTTTTTTTAAAGGAACTATGTAAAGTAAGATTTCTCGCAAGTAAACTAGTTAAGCACCTCACGTGTGAAACACCTATGTTTTCGTACCATACATAATATGTCACTCGAGTTCTACACTTTACATGCTGTAATTCGTGTTTGTTAAATCTAAAACATTATACGATTCTATTGGGTTAATTGCATGATTGGTCACTAACATTACAAAAAGCGTTCATGTTTGGTCACTGGAAAAATTTTAATCCATTTTTGGTCACTAACTTTACAAAAACCGTTCATTTATGGTCACTCTCCGTTAGTTGCCGTCCAACGCCGTTAATGGCGTCCGTTAAGTGATGATGTGGCTGACGGATTCGCCTAATCAGCACCTTTTAACCCGAAAATTGACTGACCCGGCCCGTCACGTCATTTAAACCCTCCATGTCAGCCAAACCTAACCAAACCTCTACCCAAACCCGACCCGACCAGCTAACTAAAACCAAACCAGATCCCCAAAATTGTTTGACTAAAACCCTAATCAAAGATTGTCTCCAATCCTGCGCAGCCTCCATCTCGTCGACAACGCCACCAGTACCGCCGCCACGATCTTCCTCCAGCACTGCGCCTGGTCCTTCGCCGAGAGCCAATTCAACCCCGGGGACGCCGCTGTCATGCTCCACTACGCCGCCGGCGCCGCGAACGATACCCGAGTACAAGTAGTCCAGCAGATGCCGCGGCGGCGGCGCGAGTCGTTCTTCATCAGCCGACGAAGAAGAAGGGTCGTAAGGAAAGTCGATGTACGTCGTCGCCGCCGAAACGATTTCAGATTTCGCGCCGCCGAAAGTCGAAGAAGAAGGGTCGTAAGGAAATCTGCGAAGCGATTCCAGATTTCGCGCCAGCACTCGATGTACGTCGTCGCCGCCGAAACAGCTCACCGCCTCCGCCACAATCGAGATCGGGATCTGGTTCTCGAGTAAAACGGCGTCCACCTGGCAGCGTTGTGGACAGTGACAGCACATAATCCGAAAAAAGAAGACCTATCCCCGTCTTCGAGAGGCAGCGCCGCTTCCCCCGGCGACGAGGTGCGGAGGCGAGATAAAATCCCGTCAACGTCGCAGAGAAGCTCGAGGAGAAAGAGCTCGTCGATGGCCATCGTCCACGCCAGCGTCGGAGAAAGCAATTGGAGATCGTTGGGAAAGTAGTAACAGCGGCGGATCCGGGGGAGGAGCGGGTCGAGTTGTCGGAATCCGAAGTCACAAATCCCCCTGCCGCCACGTCTTTCCCCGATGTGTTGGACTCCACCGATTTCTTCACGGCGCCGTAGGCGTAGTGGAGCATGACGGCGGCGGCCCCGGGGTTGAATCGGCCCTCGGCGAAGGACCAGGCGCAGTGCTGGAGGAAGATCGCAACGGCGGTGGTGGCGTTGTCGACGAGATGGAGGCTGCGCGGGATGGAGGCAGTCTTTTGATTAGGGTTTTAGTCAAACAATTTTGGGGTCTGGTCTGGTTTGGTTTTAGTTAGTGGGTCGGGTCGGGTTTGGATAGAGGTTTGGTTAGGTTTGGTTGACATGGAGGGTTTAAATGACGTGGCGGGTCGGGTCAGTCAATTTTCGGGTTAAAAGGTGCTGATTAGGCGAATCCGTCAGCCACGTCATCACTTAACGGACGCCATTAACGGCGTTGGACGGCAACTAACGGAGAGTGACCATAAATGAACGGTTTTTGTAAAGTTAGTGACCAAAAATGGATTTAAATTTTTCCAGTGACCAAACATGAACGCTTTTAGTAATGTTAGTGACCAACCATGCAATTAACCCCGATTCTATTAGACGAGTTCCATTTAAAAGCATAAAATCTCTGTTAATTTCACCGAATTCAAAGAAGAGGAGTATGCCCTGGTACTAGCGCCAATTCCCACATCGGTGGAGAATGGCAATATAAAGTAGGATATTAACCCTATTTCTCTGACCGTCAAGCGCCGGGTTGATTAACGAAAACCTGTGACCCGAGTGGGGGCATTAAGGTGGGGTGGAGGAATTTGGGCCGGGCCAGTTCTCCTTAACCTTTGGGCTCTGATGGGCCAGCCGAATACGTCTTGTGGTGTCGTTTCACCGAAAGTCGGTGAAAGTGTCCCGTAACGCTGGGAGAGGAAATATGGGCCGTCAATGGACGGGCCCGACTGAATCGGCCGTTCGTGAGTCATATGAACGGTTCAGCTGAATACTCCCCGAGTCCGAGTCTCGGGGGATGAAACAAAGCCCACTCCGATGTGGAGAAGGGTTGGTGGTGGGCCCAAAGAGGGTTCTCGCCGATGCCCTCCCAGAAGCTGATACTGGCACCTACTGCTGACTTGATTAATCTACAAATCTCGTTAATTAATTAATTGATTATCATTAGTTTGATTTCCTGACTCACGCGAATTTCACGACTGGTTCCGTGAGCCAGCTAAGCAAGCAAGCCGACCCCACCCCACGCGCCTTTTCCCCTCATTTTGTGTAATTCAAGCTAAGCAATCCATTAATCCCTCCTCTTTAATTACCTTCCCCAATACGCTCCCTCCTGATAAAAATCCCTAATTCCCCACTATAAATACCGCACACCGCCGTTGCATTACTTTCCCCTTCCCTCTTCATCTCCATCCTCAGCCAGAACCAGAGATTTCTCCCCTCAATTTCCAGTTGGTTTCATCTCTGCTTTACATGCGAAAGGAGCAATTAGAATGAGCAACATTCCGACCTCGCTCACAGACTCAGCGCTCACCCTCTTCAACCTCGCCATCTCTTCCTCCGATCCCTGGCCTTTCTCCGCCGTATCCCTCTTATAATCCCCTGCCGCCGCCACCACCGCCGCTAGCTTTCTTAATTTCAGTTTCCTTTACATATTACGTTTCGGATTTTCCGGCTAAATATGGGGAGCAGTAGCGTCGCGTCTGAGGAGAGCATAACACAGACGATTCCACCAGCAGCCGCCGCCGACGGCGGCAACGGCGGAGGCGGCGTGGGAGGGGGAAAGCACCACCACCACTTCCAGATCCACTTCCCGCACCTGGATCTGTTCGGCGGCGGCGGGGCGGCGAAGAAGGGGAGGGTGGCGGTTATGGTGGGGGAGGAAGGGGAGGAGCAGCAGAGGTTCGTGGTTCCGGTGATCTACATCAACCACCCGCTGTTCCTGAGGCTGCTGAAATCGGCGGAGGAGGAGTTCGATTTCCACTACCACAAAGGGCCGATCACCATCCCCTGCCACGTGGAGGAGTTCCGCAACATCCAGGGCTTGATCGACCGGGAAACCAACAACAACAACCTCCACCATCATCACGGCCACCACCACAGCCAGCTCTCGTGCTTTAGGGTTTGATTGGATTGGATTGGATTGGATTGGATTCGCCATTGATACACATTGTATTTTGTGTGGTTCAGCGATATACATAAATTGATTTAATTGTGTAATACGAATTGCTATTAATGTATCAATAAAAAAGGGTAAGAAGAAAAATGTGTGGGTTGTGATTAATTGCAACATTTGTTTGATGTACACAAGAGAGATGACTCAATCCACACGATATGATGGTTGGTTGGATACAATGTTGATGATAAACTCAAATTGTTCGCTCGTATGAATTTGTCAGGTTTTCATGTAGTTGTGCTAGTATTCGAGAAATTGAAAGTTGTTTAAGATTTTGCTTTTGCCTTTTCTTTTTAATTAATGACTTTGTTGATGCAATTTGGGGTGGGGTGGCCAAGTAATCTTCCAACTTTCTTGTAAGTGGGAGAAAAGTAGTTGTGCCAAGTTGGGATGTTACGTTTTGCCTTTTGGGCTTATTGGAGGGGTTTCTTGTTGTTGGATGGAGAAGGAAAGGGCCAAACGCCCAACGCCTTCAACCTTCCTTCATGCTTGCTCGCTCTTTGATTGTATGGTTGCATTTGCTTGGTTGGGGGAGTTGGGGCCTTTTCCCCTCCTTTAAATGTCACATTCCATTCCCTTGCTCCTTCAATCTTGCTTTCTATAAACTTTACATGATTGGGAAGCTTTTTTCTTAACAAACATTGATGGAAGGTTTTGATTTAAAGTTGCAAGTGGAGCAACTGGCCAATTCACAACAGGTTGAAATCGATTCAGGTGGCGATATCAACATATTGATATACGAGACGATGAATCGATAACGATTGTCTATGTACGGGGTTGAGGAATTTTTTTTTAGAGAAATGAAATTCAGTTGGGTTCTCGTCGAGCCCGATTACTTATTCCCGCACTCCATCTTATTGATATTGCGGACAATCAACTCTCTACGTATCCAGGAGAGAAACTAATTTTGTTGTTGCTGATCACATTGTCCACGAGCATCGGTAGTTTTTTATTTTTATATTATTAGCCTTTCAAATTAATGCATTTACTTACGAAATTCTATGTATAGTTGTTCCAAACACAAAATTCCTACCTTGGAGAGACCGATTTTCATCAGGCAAAGCATTAATTATCTAATCCATGGTACGGCCCATCTACTAATTATAAATGGCTAACAACAACGATGATGTGGTCTTCCACTAAGCCAAACCCAATAGATGACAATCTAATCATAACTAATTATCAAGAATATAAGTGGTCTATCTTTTCATATCAATTTTTTTTTGTATAAGTATCCTAGAAAGAACACAATTAAATACAAAATATACAAAACCCTCGAAAGATACGAAATTTTGCCGATTGCAAGCACTTAATTTGTTGCTGTTGTGCGCATGGTGGCCGGAGTCACCCAACATCATCATCATAGCATTCTCATGGCGTGGTATGGAAAGAAGAAAGGTTAATAATAATATTTAGTGGTTGATTAATGGCAAATCGGCAATGGGGTTAGGTTGGGTGTCCCAGTTTCAATGGTTGGTGCAAAACCCAACGACGTCGTGCTGATGTAACTTTGCACACCTTATATTTCTATTCTCCAGACCACCACCAAATCCACAAATGTCCCCCACGCCTTCTTTGTTCTTGTAGAGGCGGCAATGGATGGCGTTAAGAGGCTGGTATTGTTGTATATTGGGACTGGTCTGTAACCGTTTCCTTTGTCAGATTGGATTAGGTTTAGACCCACATGGAGAAGTACTATAAATACTTCTCATACTCCTCTGTAATCTGTAATCTGTAATCTGCTCGATATAGTGAAACTGGCTCTCCCTCGCCCGAGGACTGGCTAACACACATCGTGTTAGTGAACCACGTAAATCGTGTGTCGTATTTTTCGATTCTCGCTTTCGTATTCTTGCTTTGTCGATTCCGGCGATTTCCCGATCCGTAGCAGCAGCGCGTTTATAACAACATTGAATCACAAACACAAACCTTTCTTACTTGAAGGAACTTCTAAACTTCTTGGGACGCGCGTTATGCACACATTTAGCAACAACGACACAAGCATATATCGTTTTGCAGTTCCACCTGGTACTGTTGTCCCCAAAGAAATGGGATTAGACATAGACACAGACTGAATTTGTGCAGTGCAAATGGAGGAATATGTTCCTCTCGAATCCTATGGTTTTGGTAAAGCGATAAAAAGGAAGACAAAAGAAGGCCTGCTACTTTGGCCCTTTGATTCGTTGTATAGCCAAAGATGCTCTTTCATCCTGTGTTAATGAAAAAGCGGTGGAGGACAGTTAGAGAGAGAGAGAGATTCAGTTGGAAGCTGGGCCATGCATTAAGCTTTGGGCTGTGTACTACGTACGTTTGTAGAGAGAGTGACTAGACAGTACAATTTGCGACAGTCACACCGGCCACATGTGAAGAAAGAAGAGCCGCTACACCTTAATAATCTCCAGCAACTTTCGGGCCCATGAAACAAAAGCCTAAGCCCCAGAGATCCCGGCCCGTATCTGTCTCTCTTTTTTCGCCAAGTCCCTTTCCTTCCACTTGAAGCAAAGCATCCATATCGAAATCAATCATGTATTCATGTTCATATCTTGCTAGCTAGGCCGGCTATTTGGTCCTAGACTGTTTGGTTTTATCCGAAATCGGACCGTATAACTTGGATCCGGATCGGACTGGGACCGGATAGCAAACAATACAATCTCATATTCAGGCTTAGATTTTGAAGTAAAAAACCCGGATAAAGACCGGATAAGAGACCCCCAACACCTAAAATCAAGATCAAATTGGGACCGGACCGGGTCAAGACCGGACCGAATCAAGACCGGACTGTATCCAATCCAATCTTTGGTCCTTATATTCCCGAAAAGACCAGACTGGGACTGAATCAATTTGGTCCAATTTAACCGGACCATACAGCAACTTCGGGCCCATGAAACGAAAGCCTAAGCCCCAGAGATCCCACCCCCACTAGAGATGGCAAACTAGTCGATGAGATTGAACCGTGACTCACGGTTCCGGAGTTTTGCTTGTAATCTCAAATGAGAGTACGCCATGCATACGTGTCAGAATTTTTCTCGTTTTATCGATCGATAAATCGGATTTATACGGTTGTTACAATATACATGCTTGAAAACCTGCAACAAGCCGTACCCATCTCGGCCCGATGTACCTCATCATTCCCCCAATTAACCGCCTCAGTTTCAACCTTGTACACCAAATTTAACAGCCGACAACCTATTTCTCAACGATGCCTCCGATCGTAAAACGCTCGTCACAATTACAGCACAAGCCTCGCGCCTCAAGGAGGTCCTTTACTTTGTCGTCGGTTGTTGTGATCGTTGTTTCAATCATAGTGGCCAGTGAATATAAAAAAATCCCCATTTTATAGCCATTAATCCTCATAGGTGAATCAAAGCATGCAGTGTAACGATGTAAACTGTGCGCTGAAGCATATTGGACGTCAAGAGATTTTACGATGGATGAACGACAAAGACGTGTTAATTTCTGTCAAACTAGGCTTTTACAATGTTAACCCTCGATCTTCTTTTCCTGTAGCACTCACACGTTGACTCCTCCCTTGTAAGTTATCCATACGACGCTTATAAATAGGTTGACTCGATTCACCTGGATGACTATTCGAACTAATGCACTAATAGAACCTAATCAACCGACTTGTTGAACCTTAAGAGGAACCTTCCACCGCCCTTTCTTTGACCGAGTAACTCACTAGAACAATGCTTAACGTGTATCTTTTGTTAGGTGCTACTTGACTTTGTTTCCCACGGCATCTTTTTGCTCAATGTACAAAGATACATAACTTCCCAAATTGAAACACGTAATGAAACTCCTCAAATCAAGGCTGCCTATGTTATGGGTTCTGATACAGGCCAGGGAGAACACGGACACCGCAAACTTGGGCCAGCTGGCCCAGTTCTTGGTTCCTTGTAGGATCCGTCAGAAAGCAGGGATTCGGCAAAGGCAGAAAAGTAGTGATGGCAATGGGGTAGGGCGAGTAACTCAATTTTCATGTCTCGTCCAATGTTATTTTGAGTCGGGCGGATAAAACCCGTACGGATACGGGACAGGGCTGGTCGACTTACTCTTACATGTTATTTGAAGAAAAAAATAAAAAGATGCATTTTTTATTTATTTATGATAAAACGAATGTGAAAACACTTTATGAGTGAAAAATAGTGATAATAGAATGGATAAATGAGTCTAAAAAGAAAGTTGAAAGATCGACTCGAACAAGTTGAAGAAAGATCAAAATAGGATAAATATGTATAGATAATGTAAGAAATTGAGATAGAATGTGTTAAGAACGGGGCGAGGTGGGTCGAAAGTAGTTACCCATGCCCGCCCCATGCTACTGTGGGTTGGGTAATACCCACCACATTGCGGGTCAGGTCGAATAATACCTGTAGGGCGGGTTAAAATTGTCATCACTACAGAAAAGCACGATGGCTGTCCCTTAAGACATTTGAATACTAGACGTTTATGAAAGTATGTCATGGAAAACTAGTATTGATAGGTTACTTGAATATTAATTTCTAATATATTTATTCATATAATTATATATTATATAAAAGGACACACATATTTCGATCTTCTGGCTCTGCCACTAGCACAAGGTAGGAAAGTTCTTTGCTATACATTCACTCGCATTGCTAGGCGATATGCCTGATCGCATTACGTTAACAAATTTGATTAGATGATGTCTATAAAGAGGCCAACTTTACGCCTGACCATCTTGTTGCTATAGATAATTTTTATCGTCGGAATTTTTTTTCCCTAGCTTATAACTCTTTCTGGGTATTGATTATACTTTAATCAGATCTTTCGAATTCGTTATGGCATAAAGATTGGAATACCTTAAAAGGCTGCTGAATTGGTCTTCTAGGTAAGGTAAGGTACCCATTTCCATCACATCTTCCTTCCCTTTTGCTAACCCAAGTTTTCCTTCATTCTAATGATATCTTGGTCAAATCTTTAGAAGTCATACACCCATGTGGGATTTGTTCCATTCTCTATCCTCGTTTTCAACGTTAAGGTATCCCTACCTCACTAATCATGTTTTTAATTATGGGTTAACAAAATAAAGGGCTTCTTGGGTTAAACGCGTGAAGCTTTCTCTGGTCTTTGTTTACCGCAGTTCTTAGGTAGTATTATTGACTATTGACTTTGCCGTCACTAACATCACATTATAATACATATCGGTGGTGTTTCTTGTTTGTTATGAAAGTGAAGTTCGAACGATGCAAACACAAGAGGTTCCATAGGGAATATTGGACCATCCATTTCGATGAGATTGATGATGTTTGGGACTCTTGCCTCCACCCTCTTGTTGTGAGTTTACGGTAGGACGAAAATGAGAATCATAAGTCGTTTTTTGTTGGGTGTGATTTGAAAGGACGAGACGCTTGTGATGTAATTGGACAAATATATCGTTTTTGGTCCACGCTTATATACTTAGTATTCGAATAAAATTGAATTGACGCATGCCGTATCAGTTGTATAAAAAGAGGATGCAGTCTCGAATACTCGGAGGGTGGCAATTACTCGAAACCCAGTATAGGACAATGGGCCTTATGTGTATTTTGCCCGCTTATCTATCTTAATTTTTTTTTTATGTCCCCATCCCAATTCCCATGTCCCCCTCACGTGGCGACATGAAGACGCAAAAAGGAGATAAATAGTGTCGATTTCCTTGTTCTGTTTTCTCCTCAATTGGATGGAAACATATTTTAGTATACTAACGGGGTTCCCGGAAGCGCCAAAAGATCGTACAAATCATCATTGTTGCAACACAGGATCAAAATCCAAAAAAAAAAAAAAATGTGAACACAAAATGATTTATGCCCCATACTTATTAGTTAATCCGCACATGTACCCTAAGAAACAACATAGATTGACTTTCCTCGCAAGAAATATGTAAAACAATAACGAGAATGTGTAAAACAAAGACCTTTCTAGTCTCTACATAACATAATCAAAGATTAGTTGAAATTTGGTAAGCTTGCACCATCAGGCTTTCTCATTGATCCCTGAATGTGGATGAGCTAACCTTTTTGAAACAACAGAAGACAAGCAAATAAAATACTTGACATCAACCAAAGCCCTCAAATCATTTGTATGTTCAGATTGAAACCAGTTTTAGGTCAATCGTGTCGTAATATTTTTGTATCTTAAGGTGTAAGGTTCGAGACATTCATATTTTGTGTTGATTATCTATTCTCTTTGTCTAGAGATTGCAAAATAACTTCATTATCGAGACTTGAAAATACTGGAATTTATTTTATTGTGGAAAATCAAATTGAAGTAATTTTTGGGTCCTTTATTGCATTTACCATCCTACTTAATTGTGATAGTGATATAAGAAACAAGTCTGAATACAGTATTTCCAAATATCAGAAGGTGCATTATTGCATTTAACAATACATCAATTTTTTTTCCTTCTACAAACAGGTTAGCTATTAACTATAATCATTTCCCAAAATTTGTTCATTTCGTCGACATAAACATGACTTATAAAAACAGGAAAAATAAGAGAAGAAACCAAAGCTTCAACTTTCAATCATCATGCTCTTGCCTTTGCCTTGAAAATGTCCACATCTCTGTCTCGACTTCCTTTTCTCTTCTTCCTCAGCTCTCTATCACAACCTCCACAGAAGAACAGGGAGAACAGCTACAAGTGAAAGGACACTCGTATTCCCCCCCTCCACAACAAAAAAAGAATAATGGCAAACAAATCAAGATAATCTAGCAGCTAAATAACCCCGTCTTTCTATCTGGGTCTGGTGTTCGTACTCCGTATAGTCACACCACGCAAGAATTTCGTATATCCAAGAAAACTCAACCTCCCGTCAGAGGTTCTGATACAGTCTGCGAGCAGCGAATGAGCTGCTGGCCCCAAGTTCATTTCCTGCATTTGGCGAAGAGCATGTTACAATGCAAACTCTCAATCTTTAGACACGCACGCACGATTACGGTTTGTTTGTAAAGGGAATTGTTTAAAGGGAATGCTTACCAGTGCCAGTTCCTGCACCGATATAACTCGGTTTCCTTCTTGTTCGAAGTGATCGAAAGCTGTTTTAGCTATCTTGTCCCACCCGTCATGGGCTTCGAGCTGATATGTACTGATAGCTGCCGCGCAGAATTCTTCAAACCCCATTTTCTTGTAAGAGAGTGGTTCAAGCTGATAATGGAATTGATGTAATAATGTTAGCCTCGCACATTAAAATTCTAACATGCTTTACTGTACGCAGTAGCAGTAACAATACATTCTTCACTTGGGTTAAACTCACTGTGTGTAAAATGTCGATAACTCTCGACTCCTTCATGGCATCGGTCACATTTCTGGTTAATGCCTGCATAACCAGAAAATAAACTTGCACGTCTTTATTGCGGCACTACATATTTCTCTATCAATCATGTGAACTAGATTGACACTGAACATTGTGAATCATGTGAAATAAATAAATAAAAACCCGAAAGTGACAGAATCGTTCACTAACCGCTCTGAAATTGTTAAGGGACACATATCCATCTTTTGGTTCTAGGAGCTCAAATTGAGCTCTCAGATAGACAAGTTCATCCTCAGGAATTCCTTTTGAAAGAGCCTGCAATCGTATTAAAAGGCATGAAAGAAATGTCAGAGTAGACAACCTCCTAATAAACATGTGCTACAATGACCTAGACAACTTGTCTCTTATTTCCATGTTTTTGGAAAGATGGCGACTGAAAGTTCATGCATTAACTGAATACCTTCAGTGCTGCACGTCTGAAAGGTGTGGCACGAACATATGACTTGACTGTCTTGAATACAAAAATATCCAAAGGCACCTCTTGGGCTTCACTTCTTATCCATGGATGAGCTACAAGTTTGAGACAAGTAAACCACTCCGTTAAACTAGGGAGCAGAGTAATGAAATTTTTTTCTTGTGTTAATCATAAATACAAAACTACTTACAAAGAGCTTGGGCAGCTGTCATTCTTTTTCTGTGGTCCTTGTTCAGAAGTCTTTTCACAAAATCTTTTGCTTCTGGTGAAACTGAGGGCCAAGGAGAGTCATTGAAGTTAGGATCAGCTCTCAACACAGACCGGAAGATCCCTGATTCAGTCCTAGCCCAGAAAGGTCTACTCCCACATAGTAATATGTAAGTTATCACACCAACACTCCACATATCAGCCTCAACGCTGTATGATCGGTGGAGCACTTCAGGTGCCACATAGTATGCACTTCCAACAATATCATTGAGGCGTTGTTCTGCAAACAAGACAATGTCCCAAATGTGTATTGCTTCAGAATAACAGTCCAAGGCAATGAACTTGAATGAAATCCAAGAGAGGGTGATTTGGTTGTCAGAAAAAACAACAACAAAGAGGGCTTTCAACTGTATTGATGGCGTAGTTGCTAGAAGACCCCAAACTACTCCTGGATTTACACAAAAATAGTCTCCACAATTGAGTGAAATTAAAAGCAAAAGAGTATGCAAGTTGCTTCAACTACACCAAAAATTGAAGAAACCTTGAGACTAACATAATTTACTGAAAAACAAAATGAAATGCAATAAAAAAGTCTCCAGAATCAAGTAGCATATTCAATCAATCATGAAGTATTCGATCACAAACGCAATCTCTCTTATCAGCGAACCACTAAAAAATAATTTGAGGAGCTTGAACATATCTACAAAGTTCATCATTGTCTGCCTAAGTTCACTAATATGGAAATGATTTACTATTTCCTTCACTTAAGCCTAACACTTAAACGGGTCGAACAGATATGAAAAGATACAAACACTTAACCCATGTTTGTTTCGGTGAACTGAAATTGTAGGTCTGTAATTGGTTTTGCTTGACGTGAAAGCTCAATCAATGATTACAGTAGTTTGGAGTATAGCGACTCTTACCTGGCCTAACATAGTCAGAGAGGCCAAAATCAATAATCTTCATTGGAGCATCCTCATCTTTAGTGGTGAACAGAAAGTTCTGCGAAAGGTCAGAGAGAGTATTCAGTTAGAAGCTGAGAATCAAAAATTGAAGAGACATGACAGAAGATCTTCAAGACACTTTATATATGAACTTCTGTTCAATTAGACTACAAAATGGAAAGCAAAGAATAAATTCCATATATGTGAGTATAGCTGCCCACAATACAATCATAATGTTATACCTCAGGCTTTAGATCACGGTGTACAACACCTTGAAGATGGCAGTAGGAAACTACACCTAAAATTTGAATGACAATGGCTTTTGCATCCTCCTCAGTGTACCGCCCACCCCTACAATACAAACATAACCCAACGCGCCAATTACCTCCTAAATAAAGGAGCAAACTGACATGTGCATCATGAAACTATTCTAATTAACATGGAGAATTTTCAGCAACATTATCTAATCACATATAAAGAGGGAATATGAATTGCTATTACCTCGATAAAATTCTGTCAAGAAGTTCTCCACCTTCACACAATCTGACAAACAAACACGTTTAGATCACATTAGAAACATTTTATAGCATACAAGATAAGCATGACAGCTAATCTCGATAATCTTACGGATTGAGCAACATTTTCTCAATGGTCAAATCATTTTTCCTTTAACCACAAAGAAACTGATATAATAAGACAGACCCATTTATGTAAAAGAGTGAATACATGTACATACTCCATAACAATGTAGACGTTATTGGCATCCTCAAAGGCGTCATGAAACCTTATCATGTGCTTATGCCCACACAATGACTTCAATATTTTTACCTCCCGGCGAACATCCTCAATGGCAATTGCTGTTGTCATCTGCAATGAGAACAAGTTAGTGACAGAAGAAGTTTACAGAACCCAATGAGTACACTAAACAAATGCAATTAATCACCAGTTTAGGAGCAACAGTAAAACAAAGACAATGGAGCCGAAGTTAAATCTTCTAATGGATTTAATGGAAGTAAATAGGATATTCAATCATCAAAAATACATATATCGTCATCCCTTCCAGTCGACTCCACATTCATAATCTTTCCATCTTCTGACTAATTGCCAAGTTCCTCTTTTCCTCTTCCAACTAAAAGAACAAGCTCTCAAGGTAAACACTGCATGATTCTTTGGGAGAGTATAAACGCCTCCACCCAGACATACAAGTTCTCAAAGATAAGCACAGTCCAAGACCTTCTCGCTCACCCTTCGTATGTCAACTGTTTTGCTCTAAAATAAAAGTATAGCGCACCAGCAACACATTCCTCATAGTGACAACAGCCTCCACCGCCATAATTTGACAAAAAAGAAAAAGTTAACCAACAGACGCTGCAAGGTCTTTTTCCATTCAGACATGTATTGTTGTCTTCCTTGCTCACGACCTAAAAGGTGATAGATACACCTTACCATCTTATCCTATACATTTGCTTTCCACAACCTTGTATCCATCAATATGTCTTAACACATACCATCTCCTAATCCAGAGACTTCCAGCTTTAATCCCCCAGAGATGACAGGTGTCAATGCTTCATGCCAGCAAGCATTGGTGGTTCCAGCTCAGAATGATACCTAAAACCTGTAAAATTTCCTCCAAGTTTCCAGCAAGACGAAGACACTCCACAGGCCACTTCTTGTCCTCACTCCCATGAAAGCGAGAGGAGCAAGAAAACAAAAGGGAAGGAGGAGACAAGTAGGGAGAGACCCATCAAACTCTACCACCATTATTTGCAATCTTGTTGCTTTTCCTCTAAGCTATAAGATCATATAATCAGCTGAGGAATGTGACTACTCATGCTGCAAAATTCCAAACCACCCACTTCAATTCTCATCACGAATTATCTAGCCCCCTTGAAACGTGGAGTTGAGCTGGACTGTTAACAATCTTAGTCCACAGCAGCTGACCAACGGAAAGCACAGTGATCATCCCGCAAATCCTAAGTTAGCTTTGAAAAGTTCATAAACCAACAAGTCAAGCAAAGCACGAAATTGCAGCGGTGGAAATTGGGACGCATTCTCCCCCCCAATTTGCAATTTCAATGGATTAAAAGTCAAACCCAGAGACCTCGATCAGATTTGACCAAGCCATCATGAACCAATCAGTTGGAAAACGAACAGGAAAAAATGAAAGAAGCGAAAATTCAGAGAAAGAGAGGAAGAATTGGACGGCATTATACGCGCAGTAGTACAGTACCTTGGCCTTGGAAATGACCTTGACAGCGACGGACTCGCCCCTGAGCTCGCCTTTCTTCCCCTTAGCCCAACAAGTATGCCCAAAATGCCCCCTCCCCACCTCCTTCCCGAGCTCGTACTTGGCCGCAATGTTCTTCGGGTACCCGAAATTCTTGTCCAGCGGGACCTCGCTCTCATCCCCGCCGCCGCCTCCGCCCTCCCCGTCCTCCGGAATCGGGCCTTGCTTGGGCGTCTTCTTCGTCAGGCCCTTCTTCCGCATCATCCGCATGATCGGCTTCGCCGGAGACGGCGGCGGCAGGGGCCACTTGAACTTCCTCCCTGGCGTCCCCGACGGGGAAGGAGACGGCGGGACCCCGTGCGGCAGGGGACTCTGAAACGGACTAGCAGCATACGAACTGCCGTTATTTGAATCCCCGGAGACCGGAGTCGTCGGGACAGACGACGGAGACTTCGCCGCACCCTGATGGTTGTTGCTGCTGCTGTTGTTGTTACTCCTCCCCGGCGCTGCTTCATTGTTGCTGAAGGACGCCGATTGCGGCGCCTGATCGGACAACACCGCTCCCTTCGCACAGCACTGCCCCATATGTAGTAGGGGTTCGTGGAATTCGACGGGAGATGGTCAATTGGGTACTGATCGGAGGAGATCAGGACGAGAATTCCCGGCGCATTTCTCAGTCGGCCGGGGACGGCGTGACCGAGAGATAGAGAGAGAGGAAAGATGGAGAAGCTGGGAGTTGGGTTTCAAAGCATTTGGGGGAAAGTTTTTTTCTTTCTTTCTTTCTTGTTTGTTTGTGAGATTTCGGGTTTGGTTTGGGGGCTTTGAAGAAGAGAGAGAGAGACGACAATGGAAGAGAAGGAAGGAGGAAGAAGAAATGGAAAGAAGAGAGAGAGAGAGAGAGAGAGAGAGAGAGAGCCTGTGACATCGAGCTATACGTAATCAATGTGGTTTAAGTCCTCCTCTACCTCTCTCTCTGGCCGTTGAACAAAATTAAAAATTAATAATGGGCTTGCTCAAAGAGCAGCTGGATTGGGCTTGGATTTACAAAGCCGGCGGATTGATTCGGTTTAATAAGCCCAGTGCATACATTTACCTTTGGGCCTGACAAATGGCGGGAGCCCAATCAACCACTCGCATCTTGCACCCAATCATCTTCCTGTCTCTCGCAATCACGTAGTCATTTTTCTTTCTTCGTCGCACGCAATTCTTCACTATTTGCACGTCAAGCCCCTTGAAGAACCCTCTAATTACATACAAAACCTCCCGGGCTCCGTCTTTCTCTCTCACTCACTCGCCCACTCACAGGACTCAAGTCGGCTCCAATTCTCCCTCCTCCGCTTCGATCCCCATTTTCATGTCCTTCGTCGTTTCAGCTCTCTCCCCTTCGCGGCTAATTTAGCGGATTCTAGGGTTTCTTCTTCGCGCCCGTTTCTCTCTCTCTCTCCCCCACCTCACGCGCGCGCTCTCTTCTAGGGTTTTCTCTTCTTGATCGTCGCCGGAGAGGAGGGGAGGTTTGGGGATTGGACTGCTGGTCGGTGACTTCCTTGATTGAAAAATGGAGGCCGCGGCTGGTGTCGCCGCCTCTCGCGGTGGCTCTCTGCCGATGAGTTCGTCCTCGAGGAAGGAGTGGCGTGCCGTGTCGGACCACCATTCTGCTCGAAACCCCAGCGATGAGGTAGGGTGTTATTATGGGTTTCCCTCTACTATTTTCGTTCGAGCTTGTGTTTGGGTTATGGGAGAGGAATGTAGGAATTTGACGGTCGTCAGGTGCAATCCGTGTTGCGTAATTCCTCGAGTGAAGTGGAATAGCTTGTTTTTTTGCCTAGCGTTGCCGTGCCTGACTGTGGTGGTATTAGCCTTTTAGGGTTGCGCCTTCTCTCTTTTGCTTGTAGAAATGTCTGCATGTGTGGTAGAATTGCTTATTTGCAGATTCTGAGCTGTTTGTTTCATATGGGTTTCCTTGAAATTGCTGTTTCAGTAGCTTGGTCGTAGGTTGAGTTGGCCATCTAATTCCGGATAGCAGCCTCTATGCAGTCTGTTTATATGGGAAGCATTTCTCGGCAGTAAGGAAATGCTGAAATTAATTGGCTTTCGTGAACATTTTTGATTTTGATGATCCGTGGCATTACCTTTAGCATCCTATAAGGTCACTATCTTAGTCAAATAACTAGATGTTGTTGATCCTAGGAGTTGGAACGTTCCAAGTTAGGGCAGTATGATGAGAGAACAATGTAAAACTTGGCATTGCCAGGCTTTGGTTCATGTTCAGAGTAGAGAAAGTGAACTCGTTTTTGTTATTTATCAAGGTGCAGCATGGGAGAGAGCCAGTTGATGTGGATTTCTGCTCTATTAATGTTGATGGGAGTTTGGACAATGACATTTTACGTCAGCGGGTTCATTCCTTTGCTAGACAAAGGGAAGAGCTGCAGCAGATGGAAATTGAGCTAAGAGCACAAATGATTGCTAGATCGGAGATATTGGAGATTCAAAATAGCTTTGATGCTCAAATCAAGGAACGTGAAGATTCTTCTGCACAACTTCAGGTGGGCTATTATACTAGCAAGAGTGTGCATTTTGGTAATCTGCCTCTATGACATTCTGCATGCCTTCCGCCTTCAGCTGTGAATACACATTGCATTTCAGGAAAAACTCCACGAGAGAGAGCAGGCCATACATGACCTGGAAAGAAGAATTGAAGAGATGAACAGGGAGCTACATGCTGTGAAATTGGACAATGAAGCGGTTTGTGGGCTTCTTTCTCTGTCTCTTACATCAGGTGCTGTTTGTTACCTGTAAATTGTGTGATTTGATCTTCTTGTTTACTTAGGCATGGGCTAAAGAGGACCTTCTCAGAGAGCAAAACAAAGAGCTTGCTACTTTCAGGTGAGAGTATGAGATGCACTTTCTTTTGATCAACCCCTCCCCCGTCTTATTGTTGGTCGTTCGGCGAAGAAATACCCTCAGGATGTAGATGAAGAGGAGAAATATATTATCTTATTATGAAATGTATTATGTGTATATTGAAATCAGTAAATCACTATGTTTGTCGACTGCCAGACTCACTTCTCTATCTGGTCTCGAAGTATTTTAGACTAACAGCCTGTATGTTCAGTTTGGTTCTAATGCTTTAAAACCGTTATTAGATATGTGCATTTCTCTGGTTCTTCTGTTGATCCAAAATCTGAAAGAATCTCAACGAACTTTTCCTTGTTCAGAAGGGAGCGCGATCACTCTGAGGCTGAAAAAGCACAGCACATGCAGCAATTACATGAGTTTCAAGAACACATCCAGGATAAAGAGAGACAGATTCTTGAGTTGCAAGAACAGGTTAGTTCATTTATGTTTCTCGCGTGGCTCATGGTCTATCAAGGTTCGGTGTCTTGATACTCTGTATCTATTTGTTATTTTTCCTGTAAATCTTACATTGAATTGATTGAAAGGAATCCTGGTTGGAGTCTAGAAGATTATTTTCCATGAAGCAAGGATGTCTAATGCCATTTTTCTTTCAGCGTAGGGTTGATCAGGAGACTATCTACCTGAAGGACGAACAACTGAAAGTTTGGATTGCACGTGTTCAGGAGATGGATGCCTTGCAATCTAATTTACAGGCTGAACTGCGTGAACGGATTGAGCAATATAATCAACTGTGGCTTGGCTGTCAGAGACAGGTTTGTTTGCTGTCTTGTGTTTTCTTAAACTTTGCTGGTCTGTGGCTAATTAGGATTTACATTTATACATGAAATGGTTGTGAACCTGCTTATGGCAGTGTTTGTCATCTGTTTTATTTTCTTTGCTTCATCTGTCCATCGAACAAACTGATTTATTCATTTGAAAGCTTAATTCAAATTGATGCTTCGTTATTTGGTAACTGTGGGCTGACGTATGTCTTTGTTGTTTTTGGTTGACATTGCAGTTCATAGAAATGGAGAGACTTCATGTATATACCATACAACAGCTTCAGGTTGAGCTGGCTGATAGGACTGGATCCTACCCTGATGAGTCTCGGCTTTCTCAGACGAATTCAAAAGACTCAGCTAAGCTTGGTCAGACTTCTGGAAACCAACTAGTTGTAAATGGAAGTGGGGCATCAAATGCTAATAATGGGGCACATTCAAATGGGAGTGCTGATAGTGTCTCATCATTTGCATCCTCTGGAAATGCTGCAAATCAGGTAGGCTTTGCAGTGAATGGCTCCTCTGTTCTATAGGATATTATATTCGAACCATAAATTCCTCTAGGTTTAGTAACTTTAAAGGGTCTGCAGTGAATGGCTTAGTGGACAATGTAAGATTGGCGGAGCTTTATGCTGAACAAATGAACGAGCTGGAGAGTGTGTGTATGAACCTGCTTGGTGGATTCTTACTTGGCTTGCTATCTGTGTTTGTTTGAGGCTGGAGAACATGGATTAATACAAGGATTGTGTTTTTAATTTTGTCTAGCAATTCATATGCTGTCCGACTTGTGCCTATTTCTCCCTTGTGCTGATCCAGCATTGGAAGTTTCAATGGGAAGTAAAATTTTGTTTTGTGTTTGTTGCCAGACCAACAATGTTGCTGGCATGCCGATCTCCTCATCATCTTTACTGGGAATGCCAACCTACATTCCACCTGGACAGATGACAGCACTGCATCCCTTCATTCTGCATCAACAGGGGATTCCTCAGTCAATGCCATCACATGTTCATCCGTCTCAAGTGGGACATTTTCACTCAGTACCAGCAATGTCATCCCTTCCACAGTGGCAGGCTCAGCAGGTTCTGTTGAATGTTATCTTTTAAGCTTGTACTTCTACCGTCCCATGGTTTAGGAGCGGTCTGACTTCTTTTGGTTTGGGATTCAAATATTTGCCTTGTAATCCTGTTTGCTTTACTTCTTTGCACTTACCTACAGGCTGCTACCGAAGCATCACACATTTCTACACAGGATCAACTGACACCGTCTCAAAGTGAGCAGAACCTTGATAGATCAGAAACAAAATATTATGACATGTCTGTTAATGGGCAAGGATATCGATCAGACTATCTAGATGTTCATATAAATCAAGGGGCTCATCCTGATTCTGTGATCTCATCATCCAGTGTTGACCAACAGGTTCTTGTTGTTAACATGTTTTAGTACGATCAAACAAGTATACCACTTTGATTTTTTCATTAAGTAATGAAATTAGTATGTTTTCAGGTTCTTGAGTCGATTGATAGAAGTTACTTGGTTGGGAATCAGCCGGATCAAAACCTACAACATATTTCTGTTCAATTTAGTGAAGCATTACGGTTAAACTCTCTCGAGCAGAAAATTGAACCACAGGTTTTGTCTACATACCATTCTTCTCTTTTAGAATTTATCATTGGTTTCGATATCAAAGTTTTGAGGCTTAGAGATTACTTGGATTTGAACTGGTGCAGGAGCAAAATGTTGTTAGCTTGGCCAATGATGGATTACAGAGGCAGATTGTGTCTGAAGAACAACAGAGTTCTGCTGTTGGTGTCTCACTCCCTGAAGCTTCAGTTCAATCTGCTAGTCTCACTGAAACAGTCATTAGTAATGGGCCTGGTACAACTGTCCCTGAAGCTTTTACGCCGACTGGTCAGGCCAATATCGCGACTGCTGGAAAGGCATTGGAGCCTCCCCTTATTGATGAACGATCTTTATTGGCTTGCATAGTTCGCACAATTCCTGCTGGTGGTAGAATTCGCATAAACTCAACGGTTTGTTAGTACTTGGCTATTGAAACCAATTTGCTTCAGATGTTTCTCAAGCATATTCTTGGAGGACTTGAAATAACTTGATACTTTTTTCTGCTCCATTGCAGCTACCAAATAGGTTAGGAAAGATGCTAGCACCTCTTCATTGGCATGACTACAAGAAAAAGTATGGGAAACTAGATGACTTTGTTGCTGGTCATCCAGAGGTATGGTT